AGGCCAATTTCATATTTCCATACACGCGCCCACCGCAGCGAGCGAGCGCCATGCCATGCTACCGCTTGCCTGCCTGCCTGCCTGCCTGCCTGTTTGAGGATCATCATCATATGCGATCAACGGACTTGCTTTGCATCACATCACGTCGTCCACAAACGTACAGTCCTGTACGGATTCGACGAGAGGGAGGCAAAAGAAGCAATCTACGGCTCTGCCATGCCGGGCAGATCGCATCAGAGAGGCAAGATAAACATTTCAAGATATCGTCCGCACTGCAGCTCGGTCTTGACCGCCGTGGACCACACCGTGACGCGGGAAGGTATGCCGTCCACGGAAGCCATCGCGCCCCCCGGCGGTGCACACCACATCTCTCAACACCCACGTAATAAATCATACGTACGAATCTTCCGTCCAGCCCCCCCTACCTTTGCCCACTCGATCAAGCAAGCGGCCGGCGCCGCTGCGTTGTCAATTGGAAAAAACAACAACGAAAAGGGACTTCGTGTAAAAGACAGCAAAAGACCTGGCCTGGGCCCCGGTCCAGCAGGTATCGCCAAGGCGCACCCGGCGTGAGATTTCCTCCCCCCTCTGCTGCACGCAGCACGAGAAGGCGGGCGCGGGCTGATGGGCGGAACATGTCGCCTGTTGAGCCTGCGTTACATTCGCAACCCTTTCCCACTTATTTCCCCCTCACCTTCCCATTTCCTGCCCCCAACTTTTTTCTTGCCTGTCGCCTTGCCCTTGCGCTTGTGTCTGTCTGTGGGCGAGATGCGCCGTCGCCGCCGCCGCCGCCGCGCCTCCTCGGGGAGTAATATGTCAGATTTCCCAAGCGCTAGTAGCATGGGGAGGGGTAAAGGGTCGACAGGCCGCGAAGTACAGCGTACCCTGAGTACAGAGTACATGCAAAGATACGCAGTATGACAGAATGGTGCGTATCCCGCGCTGCTGAGGAGCTGAAGTCGAAGCGGCGGCGAAATGGGGCATCGCCAAAACTCAGCACCGCCACTAATAGGACGATGCCTTTAAGCATACGACGTGAGAAAATGTTGCGGTACCGCAGTACTTGAGGGCTTGCCCGCCACGGACGGAATTCCCAACCACGGAGGCAAAAAGGAAAAAAACAACTGCTAAACATCCGTTGGCAGTTGAAGAGGTGAGCGGCCAATCATGCCTCCATAGGTAGTCCTAGATGCAAGTATGATTCGCATATGTGCCAGTCGCGCAGCGGTAGTGCTACTGCGATTAGCATGTAAGGCAATGCAGCGGCCCTGGCTTTGGGAGCTGGCTGCTGTACTCCGTACGCCAGTATCCGTATCCGTACCTCAGCAGCAAGACCAACGAGACGAGACGTCCAGCCAGATGCCGCCGCCCATTGTTGGGGAATATTCCCTTTGTACATTGTGCGTGTGCACTTTGTTTCTTTTGGCTTTGTTTCTTGTCCCTCCGCGTTCCTCTCCGTCGGTGACAATGACAATAGGGACTGGACGGCTGCACTGTACCCTTTTGGTCAAACTAAGAGCAAAAACGATGACCTCGGCGCACTTTGACTTCTGACAGCCGCCCTCCTCCTTGCGAGTCCAGCGCACAGTCGTTGACCGGTACGTAGCATTAGATGGATGGCGGCGCCGCCCATTCCAGTGCGTCTTTTTTCCCTCTAAAAAGTAGTCCCAATGAGGGGGGTGAGGTATCTTTTTTTCCCTCACGCGTATTATTCTTCGAATTATCCCGAATTTAGCTCCCGAGGCAAGACAACCTTTTTGTCTGGGACACGACCGGTGTGAGCCAGGAGGGTGGAATGATAATACCTATGACAACAATATTGAATGTTGTCGTCGTCGGAATCGATTGCGGCCGGCCTGTTTTCGAGCAAGATATCCACCAGGGCGCGAATCCCCCGCTTGCTCGTCGTCGCGTTCACAGGGCCGCGACCAGGTCGATCCGCGCGAAGTGGATGCCAGATGGAAATGACAAACCGCTCCTTCCTTACCGGACCAGGCAGCTGTCCCCGGAAGAAGAAGGGTCGATGGCCTGCATGCGCGTCCGGACGGGTATGCATGCTGCCCATACATGGGGTGGCGGCGGCGAGATCACGGATCGCAGAAGTGCCCCGGGGGGAAGAAACTTGCTTGCTCGCGGCTTGCTCACGGACACGGAGCCCTTGAGGAAACAAAGCAGGTATCGAGAAATGGCTCCTGCGCACCTGGACCGCAGCGAGCAGGCGCATGCTGGGCAGATCATGTAACTGTCAGGGACGGGGTCAAGCGAAAGTGACGTGGAAACTCGTCGGGCACGACCTGGAGTTCCCTTGCCGCCGCTTGCGAGTACTTCCGTAGCACTGCCATGTCAGCGTCGTCAAGTTGATACTGGATGAATCGTCAACTTGGGCGAGAACTTGAACGCTTGAAACGGTTCGCCCCCCTCTCATTGACCCCCCTTGCGTCGGTCCCTGGCGTCCCTGACTGATCTCACATGAGAGATAGGGAGCTTGGGGCTCGGTGAGGATGGGTGATTGACTTTTTGCTGTCTTTGCGAGAGCCTTCCTGGCCCGTGGCCAGGGCCATCCTAGAACCCTGCGGTTTTGTGAGATGACTTTTTGTCTTGTCTTGTCTTGACTTTATCCCGACTCGACGAGGCTTGTCGTTGGATGAAGTCGTTCTCGGAGGTGGGATTACGTAGTTCAGGCACTGGTGCAGCAGCAGCATGCGAAGCGCAGCGTTGAAGAATGCGCGGCGGTTATGGCGCGCACACGCACAGAGTATGCAAGCCTCGGTGCGCTGTCGATTTCAGCTTTCTTTTTCCAGTACTTTGGTCGTTTGTCATTTCTCAGAGAGTTTGCGATGAATGGCATGGCATGTTGGTGGTTTGATGTAGGAGCGGCAGGGCATGGCACATGCCGTGGATGCTGCTGCCGCTGCTGATGCTGCTGCCGCCGCCCCTGGGAGCATCCTTCACCTTCCGCCCTGTCCGGCGAGTCTAGCCGCGAAACACTACGGCGGGAGGGGAGGAGGCTCGGGGGTTTGGTAGTGGGCAGCGGGCATCGTGCATGAACTCCTGGTACGGCATGATTAAGATGGTTGTGTTATACATGTGACGGAGCACCGCCTTCTCTGTTGCGTTTCCAAGGGTCGACCCAGGGGGAATCCAGGACCAGACGCAGGAGAAAAAAGAGGGAAGAATGGAAAAAAAGGTTCGCAGGCAAGGAAGGCTGCATTTGCTGGTGCGGTTGGCGTGCATGCGTGTGTGCGTAAGGTGGTCCGGGAAGAGGCGAAGATGGCAGACATGGGAGTCCCCGAGTCTCGACGATGCGCCAGACCAGGTCCGGGGCGGAAAAGACGACGACGACCCTTTTCGTTTGGTGTTTTCCGCCCTTCGCCGCGCGGCAGGTTTGGCGTTGCAAGTCAATTGTCGCTCCGGGACTAGGTGTTCCTGACGTTGAGAATGGAGAGAGCTTGGATCGCGTCAAGCTTTTTCCTCCGATACCTCTTTGGACTGGCGAGTGGGTGTGCGAAAGTGCAAAGCTTCGGTGATTCAGTGAAGCATGGTAGTCCGGCTATGCAAGCTTTTCTTTCAAGGTGCAAGCTTCGGCCGATGGAGAGGGCGTGATGTGCATGACTGGCGTCTGTGGGGGATGCGCTGCCACGGCGGGCGGTGTTGGAGACCGATTGGATGGCTTTATTTTTACCGCAGACGGCGTGGGCCCCCGGGGTGGGTGCGACGATCAGAGGACGGAACTCTGTTTTGTCTCTTTTTGTTTCTTTCTTCGAGGTAGGTAGGTATGGATGGCACCTTGGGAGAAACAATTGTATTGTTTGATGGTGGATATGAATAGGCTTCTGTTGAGGGCGTTCTGGTGGTGGGAGTGTGGTGGTGGGAGACGGATGGCCGAGAGGGAATTCGAAAGGCCTAGTCCAGTAGCTTTGGTCGTACGATCCCGATGCCGACCCCGACGGCGGCGTAGGAAGGAGACAGAGTTGGCGATGGCTGTTGGGGATTCTGGGAATCGGCCGAGGAAGGATTTCGCACTCGCATCTGGGCATCTCGAGCTCCGTGTTCCGACCGCAATTAGATCGAGACGTCTTGTCGAAGCAGAGGCAACGAGGTGGATTGGACCCCTCCGTCTGCTCTTTTGCCGCGTCTGTCCTTGCCCACGCCCCCGTTCAACCACTGACAGTTCCGGTTCCGGTTCCGTGGGCTCGTGTGCGCGAGGGCATGTGCGTGTTTGTGTGGGCTCGTGGGAAGAAACAGTGGTTGTTTAGAGAGAGGGGAGGGGTGTCTGGTCTGGTCCGGTGTTTAGGCTGATGGTCGTGGTGCGCAGGCATTGTGTACCTGCAGGAGATTGAGAGGTTGAAGCTGAGGTGAAAGGTCCCCTGAGGTCGAAGCGTTCGGTTGCTGGTAAACAAGAAGGTTCCAAGGGACTTGAGGACTTTGACGTGCGCATGCACATGTCCATGTCCTCCTTGGACGGAACTTGGGACTTGGAGTTGGGGAAAAAGACTTGAGGGTTGGTGCGTTGAAATGGCGACACCCGGACCCGACGAGGGAAGGGAAAATGCGAACACTGAGTACGTTAGAATGGACACAGAGATTGATCGGGCGATCGCCCATCATCGTCAATTACCTTAGTAGGTGCTTCCTTTCAGCTTCTAGCTTCGAGCTTGATTTGTGTATGTGGATGGTCATGTGACTGCGCGCTTGCCTCGCGGGATGGTGCCTGATGCCGTTGCGCTTTGTGTCTCTGTTTTGCGGCTCCCCCACCGCGTGACCCGCGCTTGCTGACGACAGAGACTGTCTTTGTTTGGTGGGAAAAGGCTGTCTACCTACGCTAAGGGGAGCCGAAAAAATAATCATCATTACGACCAGTCACTTCTGCCATCGCTCCATGAACTCGGACGACATCCCAGTGTTGACGTGCATGAACACCACTATCACAACACCATCCGACCTCGCGTGCAGAGGAAAAAGCAAAGAAAAAGGAGCATCTCCGCCAACCACATAGCGAGATGCCACCACCCGGGAAGCCTGCCCTACCGCCCGTGGCTCAGCCGCGTTTCGGCAAGAACTTCGACGCTTACAACTCCAGCGCTACGGGCCATCAACGGCCGGAGACGAGACCCGGGCTCGGATGGCGGGACAGCCGTGCCCGCAAGTTGGCCGGCCAGTTCGCCGCCGGCCACTCGGGCGGAGAGCGCATGAGCGATACCTACGGGGCCGGGAGTGAGGACTTTGATGAGAAGCTCGGCATGATCGTCCCCAAGGAGGTGAGGGCGAGGGCCAAGATGAGCGTCGCCGACATGCTCTCTCGGCCTGGTTTGATGAGGGACGCATCATCAGTCTCCGATGCCGGTTCTGCCACCTCGATAACATCTGCGACAGGAGGAAATCCGAGAAGCGAGGAGGACATCATGGAGGCCCGCAGGAAAGAGGACGAGGCCAAGGACGAGAAGGCGGCTGCTGGGAGGGGCTTGTTCGACGGCCTCACGGTGTACGTCAACGGCAGCACGCATCCCATCATCTCGGACCACAAACTCAAGCGCGTGTTGGTGGAGAATGGCGCGCGTATGTCTATCCACCTCGGCCGGAGGCAGGTTACGCATGTCATCCTGGGGAAGCCGTCTGGAGTCGGAGTTGGCGCCGGTGGTGGTCTCGCCAGCGGCAAGTTGGAGAAGGAGATTCGGAAAGTCGGCGGTTGCGGAGTCAAGTACGTCGGTGTTGAGTGGTGAGCTATTCCTCCCCCGTCAACCATGTCCGAAGGAAGCTGACGAGCCGCAAAGGGTTCTTGAAAGTCTGAAGGCAGGAACGCGGTTGCCCGAGGCGCGCTTCGCGACCCTGAAAGTCGCAAGAGAGGGGCAGAAAAGCGTCTACGGCATGTTTGGGAAACAAACTTCGAACGTATCGACGAAGTGACCTTAACGTCGTTGCTGTCTGCGATTGTTCATGATGTACACGAACTTGGATCACACTTTTGCATTGTTTCTACGGCGGCTTGGGATAGATGTGTGACATCAGGGTTGGGACTGGAAGCATCAAGATACCAGGCATTACCAGGAGGCATACTTGCTCTAGCATACGAGGCGTTGGTCAGTAGCTTACACGAAATAATGACTTTTCTTCATCTCTAAAGCTACCCCGGCAGGAACAAACTGACCCGTCCTATCTACCTTCTATGCCCTCCGCTCCTCGCTCGTCGTTCTAGCCCTCGCCGAAAACCACGAATTTTTCCGCCATCCTCGTCCGATTTCCCGTCCTACATCGCATAACGCAGATCTCGCCCAGCCTCGGAATACATACACAAGCGACCACCACCACCACCTCCTTCCCTCGCCCCTCGCAACATCCACCGGGGGTTACACGGGTTCGACGTCCCGTGGGCCGGGCCCAAACATGGTACGACGACACGACTCGATACGGGTCGGGTTGGACATCAGGCCGTTCTTTCGTGGTGGCCCCCCCGTACCGTGCCGGCTGCAAGCCGTTTCGTTGCTTGGGAACAAGACCAGGCCGCTTTGTGGCCTGGCGTTGGTTACACGGCGTGGGCTAGGGGGCGACGAAACGACAAGGCCGTGTGGAGGAGAGCGAGCGAGAGGAAGGTGTTTTTCCCCCCTCTGCTCCTAACTCCTCCTTCGCAGTCTGTGATACCAGCGCAGCGGGCGCGTGGTACTCGTAGGCGGACGGGTTCAAGTCGCACCGGTCCGTATTATCTCGGTGACATCCGTTTGAGCGAGGCCACACGGGACGTATGATGGGGCCGCGTGTTTACGGGTGGGGGAAGAGGAGACACAATCGTGTTCGAAGGCCGCGCCGAGGAGATGACCAGATGTGGTTCGAGGTCTTTGGTCCGGGGAAAGGAAGAGGGGACGAGGATGATTGTCAAACATTCCCATCTGGCGGGTGGACGTCGACTCGGAGGTGAACAATCGACCAGATGTTCACGCTACATCGAGCCTGGCCCTTTCTTCATCTCATTGTTGGCTTTGTTCTTCTTTCGGGCACTCCCGTCCACGATCAGCATCATCCACCCCCCTCGCGCAGGTCCCGGTGTGGTTCCTCGAGGGATGGGAGGGGGAGGGCATGCGGTGCCAACTCAGCAGTGCCATCACGCCGGGAAGTTCTACAGCATGGGCCGGACGTGCCAGCCGCTCTGCCGCAGACGCATGATTATGTGATACTCTCTCTCTGTTTTGTCGTATTCCAAGCAATGTGGGGGTTTAGTAAGTATTGTGGACTTCTGGATATTCATTTCACGTACACACATATACGCCCCTCAACCGGCTTCTCCCGTTCTCCTTCACGCGTTCGTCGTACCCATAGCGTTGTATCTGTAAAAAAATAATCATCCTGTGTTGTTGTCGAGATGGTTGCCGCGAGCTTATATGTGCTACTCGGCATAGGTTACACTCAGACAAACGATACTGAGCTGCGGTAGCCGCTTGAATTTCGTATGTACCGTACTGCACAAACGCTTTAACGGGTTTATAACAAATACTACCTCTGCGAGAGAGAAGCATGATGATACTACAAGGGAGAGTATACTCCGTGCCAGAGCCAAATTGTAATTAGTAGATATAACCAAGGAGACACAGAAGCCATCACAACGAATTATCCCCTGTACATGTGACATGTGACCCGGGGTCTGTAGTTGGAAATTGATGTATTGACGATGATGCCAGACTTCTCTGAGACTCGTTCCATAGACATCGTCGCCTCTGTCAGTTGTAGTCCAATCTCAACCGAAGACTTGACATACCATATGAGTTCGTCATCTATCTAACCAACACCCGCTCAATATATCAGGCAAATCGATCCAATATACAAACAACACTCTCCTCCACCAACAATCCGCCCACAAATCCTCAAAGTTTAGCCCGAGCCTCCGTGCTCTTATGACTCTCCCCCTTGACCTCCCAATACTCCCTCACCTTGGCCCTCGCCACATCGACAGCCCCGGCGTCCTCGACGGTGCTCGGCACCTGGACCTCCTTGTCGAACTCCCCGTGGACCGCGTTCTCCAACAGCTCCCTCAGCACCCGCCGCAGCGTCTTGCCGCTCCGCGTCTTGGGAATCATCCCCTTGCCCTGTATCAGCCCGCCCAGCGTCGCGATGGCCCCGACCTGCGACCTCACCAGCGCCTGGATCTCGTCGACCAGCTTCCCGTCCGGCACCGCCGACGTCGGGTGCTCGGGCGTCGAGAGCGTCACGAAGGCGAAGGGCAGCTGGCCCTTGAGCGCGTCCGGTATGCCCACAACGCAGGCCTCGGCAATCAGGGGGTGTGAGGTTATAGCCTGTTCCAGGCCGCCTGGTCATGTTTCGTTAGCAATGTCGATTCTGCTTTCTGCAATAAAGACTCACCACTCGAGAGGCGATGGGCGCTGACGTTGAGCACATCGTCGTTGCGGGACATGACGTTGACGTAGCCCTCGGCGTCGATGTACCCAGCGTCTCCGGTATCCAGCCACTTGCCATCAAACCGCTTCAAGTACCCCTTATAAAACCTCTCCTCGTCCTGCCACAGCGTCCTGAACGCCGTCGGTGCCAGCGGCAGGCCCAGAACGATATTGCCCATCGTGCCCCTCGGAACCTCGCGCCCTTCGTCGTCCACGATCCGGACGTCGAAGCCCGGCATGGCCTTGCCGGCGCTGCCGGGCCTGATGTCGGGCGGCGGGTGGCCTCGGACGTCCGTCCTGCGGTCCTTACCGGCGTGCGGCACGAGGGCCCGCCCCGTGATCGGCGACCCGGCCTCGGTCGACCACCAGTTGTCCACAACGTGGGCGTCGACGGCGCCGTACTCATTCAGGAGGTCCTGGTACATGGTGATGATGGCCGGCTCGGACCGCTCGCCGGCCAGGAAGAGGCCCTTGAGGGTCTTGAGCCCCCCGCGCTGTCCCACCTGCTTCAGGAACTTGTTCTCGGGGTCGTCCCGCTTGATGGCTCGCAGGGCCGTGGGCGCGGTGAACATGGTGTTGACTTTGTACTCTTCCACAATCCTCCAGAATGCCGAGCCGTCTGGTGTCCCGACAGGCTTGCCCTCGTAGAGGACCGTCGCGGCACCCGTGAACAGGGGCGCGTACGCAATGTAACTGTGCCCTACGACCTATATAATGAATGATCAGCAACACATACCACAAAGATGTGAGGCCCGCCCCTTACCCATCCGATATCAGATGCCGTAAACGACACGCACCCGGGCCCGTGGATGTTGAACAGGTAGCTGATAGAAAGATGCAACCCAACAGCGTGACCCGCAGCGTCCCTCAGAACCCCCTTCGGCGACCCCGTCGTCCCGGACGTGTGGATGATGTAGATGGGATCCGTCGACTTGACGGGCACGCAGTCAGCCCTGATGCCCCTCGCGCGGCAGCTCTTGACGATGCTCTGCCAGTTGCGCTCGCCGTCGTTTCTCCTGATGGGGTGCCAACGGATCTGCTCGCGCTGCCAGACGACGACTTTCTCGGGCTTGTGGCTGGAGATCTGGCAAGCCTCCTCTACGAGCGGTTTGTAGCTCATGGGGGGCTTGTTGCCGTCGATGCCGCACGAGGCGGTCAGGATGGCGACGGGCTGAGAGGCCTCTATGCGCTGGGCGAGAGCGGCTGGGGCGAAGCCGCCGAAGACGACTGCGTGGATTGCGCCGAGGCGGCTGACGGCGAGGATGCCGATGAGAGCCGCTGGTATCATTGGCACTGATACGTGTTAGTGACATCGTATGTTTTGGGAGTCGGGCTTTTAGGTGATTTGAGACTCACTGTATATCAAAACAACATCACCCTTCTTGACGCCCTCGGCTCTCAGCGCACCAGCGAAGACCTCAACCTCATCCAGTAGCTGCTTGTACGTGAATGTTTGCTTGGTGCCCGTCACCGGGCTATCGTAGAATATCGCGGGCGCATCGCCCTTGCCGTCGTGGACGTGCCGGTCCACGCAGTTGAAACAGGTCGAGATCTCGCCGTCCGGGAACCACTCCCACGAGTCGTGGGTGACGCCGCTCTTGAGGGTCTTCTTGGTCTTTTTGAGTGTTGCCGAGGGCTTCTTGTGCCAGTGCAGGTGCTCGGCCTGGTGCGCCCAGAAGCCTTCGGGGTCTTGGAGGGAATGCCGCAGGACCTCGTCCTGAGGGTGTAAGTCGTTTTCCATGGTGGGCCTGTGGTCTCTTCACGGTGTGCGCAAGGTGGTATTTGTGAACGTGTTTTCACGCAAACAGATTCCGCGAGATGAAGGCTGAAGGTTGAGGTTTACAAATACTTCAGAACATCATCCATCTATGGGTCTCAGACAAGGGGCACGATGCTGGCCGCGGCTCTCTGAAGCAACAACCGGGCAACTGGAAGTTGGATGACTTGGGACGACGGTGTATCACTGAAGAGAAAACATGGATATCGATGCTGCTGCTGACGTGCTCTCGGCGAGGTGCCTGCCATCCATGGCAGACGTGCGGCGAATGGTAGGTAGGTAGGCAGGCACCTGGCCTTCCCCGCATTCCGTTGTCCCGGGGTAAAGGGACCGTCATTGCCGACCACACCGACGTCCCAACCGAACCTGGAGGCTTCCTTCGGCCGGGCCAATCCCACGGGGTTAGACGTAGGTGAATGTCACCTACCGGCGTGTCAATAATAGCTGAAGAGGGCGATATCGTGTTGAAACCCCTATTCGACGTTTGAGCTTGAAGCTTGTGAATTGCTTTGAAATGACGTAGTCAATCACCGGCTTTCTGCAACGATGTAAACGCTGCAAAAGCGTATCGCCCATGCCCAAACTAATTCGGACACACGGAAGTTCATGGCTGGTGAATATTCCCGTGAAGAGGTACGAAAATCTCGCGTTGTCCCAGGACCTTGTCCAACAACGAGGGTGATCGGCTCTCGAAGACGAGAAATGGCCGACTTTACCCCAGAGTCCGGCGCGATCTCTCCGCGTAAAGGTCCCACCGAAGCCCCGCAAGATCCATTCCCTTTACCAGTGCATCGACAAGCAACGCTGATGGACACGAATAGATTCAGGTCTTCGCCTCCCGACATCGCACTGCTTCGAAGCGACAGACCGCGGCGAGACAGAACTTGCTTATCTTCCAGACATGGAACACAGGGGGTGAACCAGAAGACCGAAGGCAGCCCATCGATAGATCCACGATGGTGTCCGCCGCCTTCAACACCTCCTTGCAGCTCCGAAATGCATCACCTCTTCGCAGCCCGCCTCATCTCAGGTTGAGACTCGAAGCCCCTCGAACGGCCGTTGTGGTTTCTCGGTATTCACTAGCCGTCATCTCGACCTCCAAGTCAGAGACACGGAATGATGGAAGCAGGCTGGCTAGAGCAAAGCCCGACGATTCCGGCCCCCAATTTCCCTCCTGCTCGACAACCCCCTAGGAATCCCTGACCTGTGAAGAAAACCGCTCAAATGCAATCGACGAGCCCGAAAGGGAAAACCACGAAACCCCAGCGCCAAGGCGAGCTCGACAAACCTACCCGAATCCCCCGTCCCCGCTTTTCCGTTCAACTTTCCGCGACCGTTTCTGTGAATCCAGATTAATGATGATCGGCGCGATGAGGCCCGTACAGGATGCCAATCTCGCTTCGTGTCCAGCATGCGGCCGGGGTGGATTCGTCGGCCTTGTGGTAATGAACTGGAGAAAAGGAAGAAGGGAAAAAAAAAAAAAAAAAAGGAAAACTGCTCGCTTTCCCGAAAAGGAGTGCCATTAACAATGCATCGGGGAACACAACACAATGATATTGTCTTATTCGGAGTTCTTCCTTGCATCGTGCGTTGGATCTTGTAAATGGTAACAAAAATTCCATGTCACCACTGGAAGGCAGGGACGACCGCGACCGCGACCGCCCACGCCCGGGCCAAGTGAAGCGCCCACAATGTGACCCACACACCCACTTCGTCGCCCCCGACCAATCCGATGCCGTCGGTTGCGTTCTCGCCCAGCGCTGCAAGACGCAGGTACGAACACCACGACAGCGCTCCCCCCCCTCCCAGAGGTCCCTGAAAAGGATGCCAAAAAACAACCTTAACCGGGGTTCAGATCGCGACGACGTCCTCGCCCGAATTGGCGGTCAATCAATCAATCAATTCCGCAGCCGACCCAGCCCACAGCTCTCATCTGGCATGATGCGTCTGCCCATCTTACCTCCGCGTCTTCTCATGTATTTGTACCCAAGGTAAGCGGGTAAGGTAGGTAAGCTGCAGCAGCCGCAAGAGGGAAGCAGAAAATCGCACGAACGGGAATGCTTCCATCGAGAAACAGCCGGCGCAAGCGAGATGAAGGCCGTCTCTGTCTGTTTGTCTGTCCAAAGTCAAATAAACACACAGATCTAATCCCCCAAAACAATACACCGGGGAATAGACATGCGCTCGGGCGGCTAGCTTTGGATCGTGTTCTGTGGTATGCCCATGTCTCGAAAAACCACGTTGAGTGGCGTCTTATCCCAAACCGCCGTCTTCCTCACCCGGCTTCCAGAAGGATGGGCGAACGACCGGCACGGCTTGGGTATCTAAATCGGGAGGCAAACAAAACAATGTTCCTCGGGCGGTGCCGTTATCCAGGAGTCGAAAACACTCTTCACCATTTTGGGTATTTGTAGGGGGGTGCGCTTTCGTAAGAGTTAGGTCGGGTTCCGGTGAGCGTCGCATCGTGTCGTGTCGTGTCGTGGCTCTGCCTGACAAAAACGGTCGTGTCGACTTCACATGTTCTCCCCCCGCGGATCCCGACTCTCGGATCGTCGACCGCCCACGTGTGGAAGGGACCGCGACGGACGGAGTTGACGTCACGTCTCGTCCTGGCTGGCTCTGAAGATCCAAGAATAGAAATCGGATCAAGGACACGCCCTCGAGTGAAGGAGATGTCAAGTGACAGAGACGTTGAGAGTCTGGGGAAGGATGCTCCCCGTAAGCTTCACAACCGAGATCGAGAGAGAGTATGAGTGCCGGACCAAAACTGGTTTCCTAGCAATGTTCCATTTCTACGGTATCCTCAAGAAACATTGTAAGAGGATTGACGAGAAACCATAAAACATCCAGCTGTTTTTCTTAAGGGAATTGGAGTTTCCGTGCCCGCGTCCGCAATACAAAACGACATCGACATGATCAGTATACATGAAGAGATATATACAAAAATTAGCAGGGCGGAGCGGACACGGTAGGTGGCAATAAAGAAGTCTTTCCGGAAGAAGAATATGAGTGAATTTGTTTACTTGTCAACAGGTTTCTCTGCAAAAGTAGAGGACAACAGAATGACCTATCGTGATCGCATTATATTCCCATTAAGCCCCCCGAAAAAGGTTTTGTGGTATAGACCGCACACAGATGGCTTTGAATCCCCAGTGGGCGTTTGATTTTGTGTGGAAAACGGGGCCTCCTCGAACAACCCGAGACAAGAAACCGTTTGTAAGCAAGTACAAGAAGGTGTGTGTGGCAGTATTGACATTGAGGCTGCGAAACAGCCTGTGCCGGGATTGGGTGTTTGTACTGGGGTATTTTCCGTGGTCGCGTAGATTGACTGTCCTTCTTTCCGCTCCTGTATTTTGACTCCTCCTATCCATCCCAAAAAAAACTCCGTCCAAATAAACCATCCAAAGGGTATTCACAACCGCGCTCCAGTCATTACATGGCGTTGGCTCCCACGAATTAAGATATTATCGTATATGCGTAGGGGGAGACGTGGATGGCGAGACGTGACAGTGGTTGATTTAGAGGACGAAGGCGGCGAGACCGAGGACACCGGCCAGACCGGCGCCAGAGAGGGCGGCGGCCTTGCCGGCACCGGCGGTAGGGACGGTGGCGGGCTTGGTGGGGGTGACAGCGCCGGGGGCGGTGCCGGCGGGGGCGGTCTTGGTGACAACGGGGGGAACGACGGGGGCGGTGCCGTTCTTGCCGGTAGGGACGGCGCTGTTGGATGTGTTAGTTGATGGGTTTCTTTCGTGGTATGGTTTGCGGGTTTGAGCTTACCAGTTGCCGTTGTCGCACTTGACGACGGAGGAGGTCAGGACGGGCTTGGTGACGGTGCAGGGGCAGTCGGTGATGGTCAGGGTGGTGGCCTGTGAGAGAGTAAGTTAGATGCTGTCTCGACGATTGATGCTCGGAGACGGATGATGAGGCTCTCAAGTCGCAGGGGCCCTCGTTGATCGGCGCTGAGCGTGCTCTCGCCGATCTCGCGGCCCCCGCCAAACCCGATAACGCCATTCCGAACTCCAGATTGTAGACATACCGAGGTGATGGTGTAGGTCTTGTCGGCGTGGGTGATGACCGTGGGGGCGGGGCAGTAGGTGGTGTAGGCAGAGACGACCTCGGTAACGTAGGTGACGTTCTTGTTGGCCATGACGCCGGCGGCGAGGACAAGGGCGGCAACGGAGTACTTCATTTTGACGGTTTTGGTGGGTTTTGGGTTTTGGTATTAAAAACTCGAAGAGTCGTAGTTGCGAGGTGCGTGAGGATTAGGTTGTTGGTCTAACGAATGAAAGCGACTAAAAAGTCTGGGTCGGTATGGTAAGAGAGTGTGTGGGTGAGGAGAGAAAGAGAACAAGAGATGAGAGGGTCTGGAGGAAATGGACTTATATACAAAGATGGTAGCAACACGACATGGGGACTCAGGCTGGGGGTGGTGGACTACCTTACGGATACGTTAGTGTGTCCAGGTGTGTGTGACGGTTACTGTAGTGTACTCTCCGTACCCTGCGGCGGTCAGGTAATGGACGGTTCGCCGTCAACAAGTGCTTTGCCCGGTTCATGATGGGTGTGGAGCATCTCACTTTGGATCTCCTGCTTCTGGAGATGAGAAGAGGAGCTGGACTGGGAGCGCGAAAAGGGCACACGCCGCCTGGCCCCTGGTCCCCTGCGAAGATAGGGCGAACACCCATGAACTCACAGGGGCCCCGGTTTTCCGCTTCTCTTTTGCTTTTCACTGAGCCAGCTTATTTCCCTCTGAGCAAATCAGAAGCAAGCTGTCCGCGAGAGTGACGGGACCGGGGGTGAACACGAAGGAAACGGCTGTGTGTGTGGTTGTGGATGAAGTGGACGACGGGAAAGGGGGGTGGGCCATGTTGCTGTGTTGCCTTTCTCGGCTTCTTTCTTGGATTGTGGCTTTGGCAACGGGGAATTGGCTTGACTGGCTTGGGGTCGACAACTCACACACTAGAGTGATAGGCGCCCCTTGGCCGAGCAAGCGGGAAACGGGAATGAGAATTGAATGGGTGGTGTGTTTGAATGAGAAGAGAAGTCGGCTAGACGTCGTGAGGTACCCAAGGTAAGGTAGGCTGGTCTAGAAGACCGGTACGTACCTGTAATTCTCTCTTGGAGAGTACGGGATAAGATCAGGGGGTCGCGGAAGTGGGTGTAGGACATGCATGGAAAGGGGAGGGACCATGAAGAGAGAGAGAGTGAGAATTGAGACTTGAGAATCATTTGCCATTTGCCAATCGACTCTGCTTGCACACTGCGCGCCACTCGGAATCGGGATGTGATAAACACGGCATCAGCAGAGGGCAAGCGCTTGCTTTGTCCGGTGCGTGCTTCGTTTGCGCAGTATCGCCTTTGCCTTCTCCTGGGAATCGGGCCTTGGTTCCAGTACAGCCCGGCTCGCGAACCATTGAAACCAACCCGAATCTGCAAGGAGGTCGGTTGAGCGAGATGAGTTGATCCGAGTCAAAGGTAAGGTAAGCTTGGTTAATTTCGGTGGGGATGAATCATCCATCGTCCATCCCATCCATCCATCCACAAGTGAAGGAGACTGCCAATGGACGTACGCAATGCCAATGCTCGTCCTGACATGCCGGCTCCGGTTCGTTGTCACTGTCCAACTGTTCTTGAGCCGACATGCCTGTTTGACGGCGGGGGTTGTTTGCTTGACGTGCAGCCGTGATCCGAGATTCCAGACCGCCCTCTCGTCCGTCAGCTTGTCCATTCGTATCTTTGATTTGACTGCAGGACGCTGCCCTCTTCCCTGTCTTACTATTCGTGGCTCACGATGCTTGGCCCTGGATGCGCCCGGCGTGTTGGTCAAAGGCCCTATCATCATTCAGTGACAACAGCTGCGCTTCCCGACCTTCTGCAGCCGCTGCTGACGGCTGACTGGTCTGCGTCATGAGCAGTGAGGAGTCGCGCGAATCAGGTACCAGACATTGCACTAATGCAGGTACCATGCATCGTAGCCCGTCGATAAAATTCCAGCGCTCAAAGTTGAGGCGGAGATGGGCCGGGGGAGCTGTGCACTATTCCACGCCGCGGGCTTGGCCGAGAGAGGCCAAAAATAAAGAGACCGAAACTATTGTACGAATAGTGGACTATGGTAGCTGGCTACATAGTACAAGTCTCCGGGAACAAGACACGTCGTGGCGGCTGGAAACGACCTTATCGAACGCCGCGGCTTGCATCCTTAGCCCGATGTATCCGTCCGGCACGATACCGGTAGACAGGTACGCGTGTTAGTGTCTTGCGGCAGCGGCAAGCAAGGCGCCTCGAGCTTTGTGTGCTCGCATGGCTTGAAACCGTTGATCAGACTATCTCGTCCCTAAGATACGGTAGATAGGGCTGCTGTTTTTTATGTTGCTCAGCTGCGCTGTACAGTCGCAGTGGTCCTGCTGTGCGCAAGAAGGACAGATGAGGGGTTCATGTTGGCGCGACGGACAATACAGTCGCAGTTGCAACTACAGGTTGCAGAAGCTGTCATATGAGCAGAACATGGGAAAAGAGAGAGCAAGGCGTAAGGCGGCGACAGGGTAATCAGCTCAGGGGAATTGAAAAGAATAGTTGTGATTGGTTTAGATGCAAGAATCAGGTGGAATACTTGTCTGATCAGAGCAAAGTGCTCGCTGCTATTAGAAAACGGTTCTCCAGCCTGTCACCCAGCCGGAATAATATGCCGCAGCCGAGTCAGGGTCAGGGGCGTAAGGTACCTACCAAGCCTGCCCAGGTCTGCTACTTCTCTTGCGTCAATTTCCCAATATCCCACTTGACCTCCAGTCTTCCCTATCGAGCATTCATGCCCGTTCAAGCCAATGCCAACTGTCTGCCACGTCTTGGGTGATCCAGTTCGCTGAGAGCCGTACCCTTGGCCGAATCTTTCTCTGAAGGATTTGGCAGCTCCTTCAGAGCCCAGGAAAGTCTTCCAAGATCTTCCAAGGCCAGCACAGTCGACCCAGAACCTCCATGGAAGGGCCAAGCACCGTCTGGAATACCGACCGAGTCTGTATTCAGACGAAAACTCCGTGTTTAGACCCGGTTCGTCCGAGAGCCCTGCGGTCAGACTCAAACACGGGACGAACACCACATCTGTATGACTATTTGGTGCCAAAACATTGGACGGCCACCCTGAAGCGAGAAGGTGCATCTCGTCCCCTGCCAGCAGGCCTGGTCTCTCCAGGTTTTCCCGCACATGTCAGCGTCTCATCGACGCAGGGGAGCAGGTGTAACGGTCCCCGAACTCCCCGCCCGACCCCGGAGGCCCTTTGTTTTTGATTTCCCTTGCCATCGAAGACGAGTCGACCATCGCTCGCCGCTCGCCGGGTCCTTATTTCTATTCTAGAGCCAACAATTTGATTGACGTCCTTGCGTCCGGCGGAGATCAAGAGCGGATACCAGAATACGGATGTTTATCGCTCGGAGTAAATCTCGTTGATCAGCCCTCGCTACAATCGATATCGAGATCTACTACCACGTTGTACGGTAGGAACAGCGGGCACCCGCCTCCGGACTTCAGCTGAATCTCCAACGGCATCATCGGTCCTGAAAAGAAGCCCGTTGTGCCCGTTCCTCGTCCCAATGGAGGCATACACGGAGACGGCTTCTCCTACGCAGGGTTGGCCATCCTCTTCGTATGGAAAATCGAAACCTACTGATCTTCCCATAGGACTACACCCATTTCGTTGAGTACATCCTACGGCACAGCCAAGAGACGGATAAAGAATTATTAGAGACACAATCAAGGTGCCGACCATTGGCGATGGTTCGAATAGGTTGTCAGATGGATGCAATACCCGGTTGAGCCGCTGGCGACTCGGGAGGCGGCATACCCGCCCTGGCTCGGCCTAGACGTGAAGCTCTCAGTCCATGTGAGCGACCTTAATTCCTCCGGCATACGAGTCTGAGAAGCGATTCGACTTGAACAATAAACGCCGCCGGTTCAGATTGCCTTTGCGGGTCGCCTGCCCCGGCGGCCTGCATTCGTAGTGGTGGTCAGTGCAGCAAAATGGGCTGCCACCATTTTCTTCCCGCCTCAACATCTAATTTCCACATCACACAGACCTTGGACGACTCAAGAAGCACTATTGACTGATCGTCATCCTTCCACCCCTCCTTCTCAGTCTCTTGTTCCTGTTCCCGTTCCTGCTCTCTTTAGGTCGTCAGTTTGCATGTCGCACACCAGATGATATGGGATTCGGGAGTGGTACCTGCAGCATCCATCCTGCAGCTCCTTTGCTATCCCTTCTGCTTTGGGACTTAGGAGTGTAACGGTCCGAAATGACCTCGCTGACCAGGCATAAAGACGCGCCCGAATCCACAGCTGGTCGCGTCATCCGGTTTTGGTAGGAGTTATTGACGCCTCTTATCACCATTTCCCTGGTTTCCATCTGTCAACATTTCCACGCCTCTCGCGTGGTTTCTTAGCGACTCCACTGGTTGTCCCGTCCCCGGAACGAGGCAACAGACTCCGACCTGCCGAAATTGACATTGTTCTCTTCCCATGGCCCAGAACCTGCGTTTTTGCAGGGTACTTCATCGACCAGGCCATTATATGGGTGCCTCGGTTGATGGATTTTGTGGAAGAAGCCCAATCCAGCATTACGACAACACCAATTACGAAGTACGAGGGAGCATTTCACAGCTCGCCGTTGCCCAAAATCACAGGAAGTTTCAACTATCGCGCAAAATTGGGCAGCTCTGCCAATTTCCTCCAGACATCTTCAAAGCCAGTGGCTCCCAAGCTTTAGAGACCGTTCTATTCCACGCAACATACTGCAGATGGCAAGTGTCAAGACGGCCTTCTTCCACGCCCAGTCATGCGCACATGGCGGTGGCTGCCTCCAACCAGCGTTGGATGAAATTTCAGTACCTACTCGAGCAGTTATGTTCGGTCTCGCTGAAGAGTTCTTGAGTCTTTGGAATGCATCAGCTGACAGCAATGCCGCTGGTCAATGCTGGTGTGACAAAACTTGTCCTCCGGCCATAAGAGACTAACTTCGTTCTTCCCACCCACGAGCTTTTCTATCGAGGTTAACGATATTTAGGTGATCCGAGAAGAAGGAAGAATGAGGTGGCCAGAGGGATATCCGCCAGCGGTTCTCGGAGACAGCAGGGTCGAGGCATGCCTACACCAGGGAGATCGACTGATCGGAATATCCATGCACTTCGCGGCAAGCCCAGCTTCACAAGGACACTCGATTGGCGAGATAAGCATCAAGGACCGTCATTAATTGACATGGTCGGACCAACAGAAGTGCTCCAAAGGTAACACACCACGACTGTTCTTGCCTCCGTGGCCTGTCGGGTTTACTCCAGCTGGTACGAATTGTGGATGCTTTGCCCTGGTTGAGCACAGCACCTCAGATAGGGCTGGATGGCGATCGACCACTGCCGTTTTGGGTCGGAGGGGCCGCCCGCAAGTTGGCGGGGACGGGACGGAAATATCGGGGGTTGATCGCCGGGTGCGCTACGGGGCCACATAGGTTTAGCGGCCCCGAATGGATTAGTCAGTGGAAGTGAACGGAACGGAACGTCATTGAGGGGAACAGGGATCGGCTTCACAATAGGTATCTTTATGAAGACCTTCCGCATTTCAAAAATCTCCAGCAAAACAGACGCCGTTTCTGACTTTCACCTTCAACCTATTATAGTGCCGTGATCACGATACGAAAATGGCTTCAAAAATGAGAGCAGTCGGTAAGCAATCCCATCTCGAAACCAAGGCCTTCACAGGCTTACAAATCCGTCAGACATCAAGGACGGAAAGGGTCCGAAAGAGAACCTCTTCATCAACCCGGACACGCCGAAGCCGGCACCGGGGAGCGGTGAGGCTCTCGTCAAGATCAAGGCCTTCGGTATCAACCGCATGGACCAGATTCAGCGTCTGGGCATGTACCCGCTCCCGCCCCAGGCGCCCAAGACGCTCGGGGTCGAGTTCAGCGGCACGATCGAGTCGTTCGGTGACGGCGACCACAGCAGCTTCAAAGTCGGCGACGAGGTCTTTGGTCTGGCGTACGGCGGCGCGTATGCCGAGTACATTGCCGTCAACAGCAAGATGCTGCTGCACAAGCCCGACTTCCTGTCATGGGAACAGGCCGCCGGCATCCCAGAGGTGAGAAACATTTTGCAGTGACTTCGGCTGCTGTCACCCTCTTTCAATGGCATATCCGATAGTGCATTCGTCTCTAACATTGCGACAGACCTGGATAACCGCCACCCAAGCCCTCTTCCTCGTAGGCGAGTTCTCAAAAGGAAAGTCCGTCCTCTGGCACGCCGGCGCATCCGGCGTCTCCATCGCCGGCATCCAGCTGTCCAAGGACGCCGGCGCCTCCGCCGTCTACGCGACGGCCGGCTCCAAGGAGAAGTGCGACTTCGTCGTCAACGAGATCGGCGCCACGGCGGCCTTCAACTACAAGGAGGAGGACTGGGCCGAGAAGATCAAGGAGGCGACGGGCGGCCAGGGCGTGGATCTCATCGTGGACTTTGTCGGCGGCACCTACTTCCAGAATAACCTCGACGTGGCCGCGCGCGACGCCCACATCGTGCTGCTGGGCCTCCTTGGCGGCGCGCAGGTCGAAAACGCCAACATCGGCCCCCTGCTCTACAAGCGCATCAGGCTCGAGGGCAGCACGCTGCGCAGCCGGGACGTCGAGTACCAGGGCAAGCTGCGGGACCGGCTGGAGGAGTACGTGCCGCACTTCAAGACGGGCAAGCTGAAGGTCGTTATCGATACGGTGCTTCCGTGGGAGGAGATCCAGAAGGCTCACGAGCTGTTGGAGGCGAACAAGAACTCGGGCAAGATCATTTGCACCGTCTCGTAGGTTACCGGGCCGTTGCTAGCCCCAAACGTCCAGTAGAACGCCAATACCTGTCACTTTCTTCGATTTGATGCACCGTTGTTGATAGTTGTGTCCCGCGGCATTTGCCCGGGGGAGCGGACCTGAGTAGATTTCGACCGGACCCGCTGAACCGTTCGTTCGGGGGCTGTCACATTGCAGCCACAAGAGGGTATTGTGATGCGTCTTCAAGTGCCCCTGAGCTACCAGCGAGGAAAACAAAGACAAGGCTTCCCGTGTGGCTTCTCATGACAACTTCCACACATTACGCAGTATCACATTTCATGGCGTTTCGTTTCATTGAAAAACGTCCCCCATCACCGGTAAACCTCATGGTCGGGCCCGAGGAAGCATCCTGCGGGCTTGCGGTGGCTGGCCTAGCCGTCAAGCCGCTTACAGTCTTGGCTTGACGCTCGCGGCTATCACTCCGTCCAAGACGAGTCAAGCTTCATTCTCGAATTCCGGCAGTTGTCTTGTCATGATGTCTCAGTCTGTTTCTGGACTGCTTGCGGGCGGGATACGGCGCGAGGCAAGACATCATCCGTCGACGTGGCGAAGAACAACCCACCCCTTATTTCTTTCTCTGTCCACACGAATCGACAGCTGTTGAATTTGCTCATCAGCATACCTAAGCTTGAGTGCCCCCCAAATCCTCTAATCGAACCCTGCTAAATCGCAGAATTCCCGCTCTAGACCCCCGGACTGGCGAAGCGGAAAGGCACGGTCGACGCCGCTAGCGACTCATCGAGCCTTAGGCCCTGGCACTATGGGAATCCAGCGTGCCTAAATCTTTGTGTTGTCGCAGTCGTCCCGCCGTCGTCATTCGCAGATCGAAACACACGACGGGAGGTAAGGGGGGAGGGAGAAAATAGTGTAGTGTCTGGGAGGCGATTTGTTGTTTTCCGGGGAAGTTCGATCCGTCCGTCATATGCGGGAAGACACACACACTAATATGACGAGGGGAAAAACAAAACCTGAACCTGGCCCGTCCTCCCACCGGCAGGGTATCCTGACTTCTCGTTGTGTGTGTTCGCTGTCAGAAGGGACTCAAAATGTTGACTCTTCGACTGTGTATCCTCGTCGGCCTGCTGAGCCTGTTGAGCCTCACAGCGGCCCAGTCCCTTGCAGATGCCCCGCCATGCGCCGTTAGTATTCCCAAAGCTGCTTGTTCACTTTCCGGTCAAGGATTAAGCTCTGTTCTTTTTTGCGATTGCGAATCTCGATTCCCCGATGATGCTAACGATTTGATAGATCAAGTGCTTTGGCCAGGCGCTGGCCCAGCCTGACTATGCCAGCAAGACGCAGGCGCAGCTGTGTGTTGATCAAGGGTTCAACAATGTGGTTGGCGCTTGCGTGCAGCAGGCATGTACTGTCGTTGAGTCGCTGTGTGAGTTTCAGAGTGAACCTGCGAATGTCGTGAGGGTTGATTGCTGACGAGGTTACGCAGCTTTCCTCAACATCACGAGGACGTCGTGCGGGCTTCCCGAGGCGGACTATCGTAATGAAGCCCGGGCGACCAGTCTCGGCATGTTCACGGTCGCGACTTTCTTCTTCGCGTGTCGACTCGCGGTGAAAGTTCTTAGGTTCTCTCCGTGGAGGATTGACGACACTTTGATGACTGTCGCTTATGTAGGTTCTTGTCGACTCTTTCTGGACTGGGTGTGTCGCTGACTTGGCGCCAGGCCTTTCTGATTCCGTTTATCGTCATGATTCAATACAGTGAGTACATTCTTGATGTTGCTTTCATCGTAATAGTAACTGACAAATACTTTCAGTGATTCCTCAAGGATTAGGTCTAGATATCTGGGTTCTCAACGAGAACCAGATCACTTCCTTTCTCAGAGTCAGCAACCACGGCCTCCCCTATTCCATAAACACGTGAACTCACATCAAATAGCTCTTGCTGGCCGTCCAAACGCACTACATCTTCATTCTGGCCGTTATAAAAGCCTCCATCCTCTACTTCTTCCTCAGGATCTTCCCCGACACGAAGTTCAGGATCGCGGTCTGGGTCACGCTCGCGTACGACCTCTTCGTGGGCTTCATCTTCATCGTCCTCAGCTTCGTCCAGAGGCAGCCGACCTGGCTTATCTGGGAGGGTTGGCGCGACAAGGACCCCCGCGGCGTCGTGCTCGACCTGAACAAGCTGGGTCTGGCTCATGGGGGAATGAACATCGCCCTCGACGTATGGATGCTTGTTCTGCCGCTTACGCAGCTGTACAAGCTCAACCTCAAGCTGCGGAAGAAGCTTGGAATTATGGCCATGTTCTGCGTCGGTATCTTGTGAGTCGATCTCTTTGCTTTGCTCACTGAATAAAGCTGACTCGGAAACAGCCTCACTGTTGTGAGCATCATCCGCGTCCATAGCCTAGTGTACTTTGCAACTTCGTCGAATGCTACTGGTGAGTCAAAGACAACAAATGCTTGGAACACCATTGTTTGCTGACTGCCCATTAGCTGACGCGCGCGGTACCATCATATGGTCCTGTATTGAGCTCTGCACTGGCGTGGTGGTGTCGTGCATGCCCAACGCTCGACAACTTCTGCGAGAGGGCACTCGCCAGTTCAGAGATATCACCACAAACTTGACGCAAGGAACTGGCGCCAGCAACCCAGCGTCGCAGCGCGCACTCCACGAACGCTCACTCGAGTTGAGGGTCGCCGTCAACTCGCCCAACGCCACTACGGCACCTGGAAAGGGCGAGTCCAGCAGCCTTACGACGCCTACCACGAGCCACGGTCACTCGAGCTTTGCGAGTGACGCGGACTTGAAAGTATAGTAAGGATTCTCAAGCAACAAGTCTATGGCGGCGAGTGCACCCCGGCCTAGCCCCGCGTCCGTCGGTCGGCTTCTCGCCCGTCTGACTACACTTGACTGTGTCTGATGGTTTTATCAGTTCGCAAGACGAACACGCCCGAGAGGGTGGCTTAGAGCGACGGCGACGAGGATGGCGAGGAGAGCACCTGTGACATTCGGCGTTCAGGGTTTCTAGCGTGTAATATGGGAACTGGAAGTTATGTTATATTGGATACCCCCTGAGCTGGTAGAGTGGTTCACCCGAAGAACCTTGTACATCATAGGTCATGAAATTGACCATCGTAAGAGAAGCATGGGCTAAAACAATCGAAGCATTCGTTCCGTATTGACTCCTTAGTGCTCCTTGAGCCACTTCAGCATTTGCTCGTATGCAGTGATCTGGGCCTCCTTGATCGATGCATCCTGATAGTCGCCAACAACAGCGAAACCTATGCTACTATCAGCTCTGAAAAGACACCACCATTAAGTGGGAGCGGAGACTTACCGTGAGGCACGCCGGGATAGACTTGGACTTCGTGCTCCAAGTTTGCCTTCGACATGACATCCTCGCCATGCGTACGAACCTCCTCCGGGAAGAGGGGGTCGTTCTCGACACAAACAAGGGAGATAGGTACTTTGATACCGTTGAAGTCATCGGGAACAACAGATGCGCCGTGAGCAATCGCGCCGACCTTGATGAAAGGACCCTTCTTGACTTCACCGGCTTCGGCATCAGCCGCCTGTCCTTGACTGCCCGTCGGCACACTCCTGTCAGATCCAAGGTGCAAGATGTATCGTCCACCAATGCAGTAGCCAACAGCGTAGATGCCGTCGCCGGCTTTGATCGCATCGCTGAACTTCTCCTTGCAGCCGTCGACGACCTTGTAGAGGATGGGCAGGACCTTCTCCTCCGTTTGGCGCGCCAGCCACATGTCAATCTGGAAACTCTTGGCCGTCTCGACGATCTTGAGCTTGAAGGTGTCCAGGAACGAGCCAGTGTCTTCGGTGTCGTCGATCGTCGACGAGTTGGGCGCGGCGTCGCCGTTGAACAGGTCGGGCATGACCACCACGAAGCCCTCGCTGGCGAACTTGTCGGCCTGGATCTGGTTGTTCGTCGACTTGAGACCCGTGCCGCCGGTCAACATGAGGAGGAGTCGGGAGGGCGCATGGGGGTAGTCGGCGGGCTTTGATACGTAGACCTGCGCGGGGTTGTTCAGCCTGTGGTCTATGGCGCAGCGCGCGCGAAAGCTCGCGACGTTGGGGAATAACTCACATCGACATCGTTGATCTTGATGATCTCGCCGCTCGCAGACTGGCCAGCGGCTGCTTTGAATCAGTATTGCGCATCGAAGTCAGGCGCGCGGGGCGCACTTACGGGTCGGTCGATCCGTCACGCAGTGCTCGCTGTGCTCTCCAGCCCCTCCCGTCGTAGTCGTTGGGCTGGTAGACTGTGCCGGAGTGTCGGCGGCAGAGGTTGATTGCGTCACGGGCTCAGGGACGGTCTCGACAGTCTCGGCCGCATCGCTCTCGGGAGCTTTCGTTGCGACGTCGATTTGGGTCATCTTGTAGGCGGGGATTCGGGGTAACTGTGCTTCGCACGGTAAAAGGTGGGGGGATCTGTGGGAGAGAGAATGGAAGTCGAGAGGTTTGAGGAAACGGTGGTCGAGGTGAAAAGGTAGAGCTAGCTGAACGATGCGATAATAAACATGGACTACTTGAGTACCATGCAAATCGTCTCCCTTGGAGCGGTCAGTAGGTACTGGCGTACGTGTATTCGTACATGCACAAGCTCGTAACACCACCAGGGATGACGTCTCAGCTTGATGCTGGTGCACTGAGCTGCCCCGCGAAATAAGGTACCCAACGAAGCTGCCTGCCGCGATACGTACACTCCTCCACGGCTATCTTTTGCTTGTAACAGCTCATTACGAGCAACTTCTTCTTTGTGATTGCGAACACCGCTCTGTCTCCTGCTACCACTATTATTGCTCTTGTTGGTCACTATTCAGGCAAGTATTCATCCAGGAGTAAGGTACCTTACTGACCATCTCCACAGCGGCATGTGAGCGGGACTGATCGCTGAAAGGCAGCAGCGCAGGGACCAGCTTACCTAATAGAAGAACCCCGCCATCGACCCAGGACGTGTAGTCATTAAACAGGACGCGTCGAAAACGCGTACTTTGCCTCCCGCATCTCGCGAAGAACTTGCTGCACATCCCTCACAACTCAACCCAATTTCAGCCTACTGACTTGCAAAAAACGACCTGACTGCGATTGAGATCAAAATGAGTGCTGAATCCAAGATCACGAAAGGCGCCTTAGAGTAAGCAATCTTCTTTTTCTCTTTCCTACCGTTTCCCCTGTACTGATATAGCTTTTTACAGAGCCATCTTCAACGACCCCGACAACGCCAACACGAGATACCCCGTTCCTGTTCTCCAATGCCTTCAGATCAAGCCTTTGGCTGCCCAAGCAGGGGGTGGTGCTGAGAGATACCGTATTGTCTTGAGCGATGTCAACAACTATGTCCAGTGCATGCTGGCCACACAAGTGAACCATGTCGTTCATGACAACAAGCTGGTCAGAAACTGCATTGTGCGCATCACGCAATACCAGGCGAACTCTGTAAAGGGAAAGAAGTATGTATTGCTGCGTCTCGCTTAACCTTGTAGAGATGCAAAAGCTGACTTTTCCGTAGCATCCTGATCATCTTGGGCCTCGAGGTCGTCGACAGCCTCGGCACACCGGACAAGATTGGCGAGCCCCAGGCCTTCGAGGCCAAGGCACCGCCAGCTGCCAACACTACTATCGGTGGTCAGAACTTCTACGGCGTCAAGCAGGAAGAGGCCAAGCCCAAGCCTCAACAGTCGATACCTACACGATCCGCCGGAGGAGCTTCTGGCTCACACGGAAGCAACAACATCTACCCCATCGAGTCTCTCTCGCCTTACGCCCACAAGTGGACCATCAAGGCCCGCGTTTCCCAGAAGTCTGACATTCGGACATGGCATAAGCCTAGTGGCGAGGGAAAGCTGTTCAGCGTGAACCTCCTCGACGAAAGTGGCGAGATCAAGGCGACTGGCTTCAACGAGCAGTGCGACCAATACTACGACCTACTCCAGGAGGGCAGCGTTTACTACATCTCAAACCCTTGCAAGGTTCAGCTTGCCAAGAAGCAGTTCACCAACTTGCCGAACGATTACGAGCTCACGTTTGAGCGTGATACCGTCATCGAGAAGGCCGAGGACCAGAGCAGCGTGCCCCAGGTGCGCTTCAACTTCTGCAATATCCAAGATCTGCAGGAAGTTGAGAAGGACGCCACCGTCGACGTTATTGGTATTCTCAAAGAAGTTGCTGAGGTGTCGCAAATTGTTTCCAAGTCAACTGGCAAGCCGTACGAGAAGCGAGAGCTCACTCTCGTGGATGACACCAACTACTCAGTCCGCGTCACTATCTGGGGCAAGAGTGCTACGAACTTCGATGCCAAGCCAGAATCCGTCGTGGCCTTCAAGGGCGTCAAGGTCTCCGACTTCGGTGGCCGCAGCTTGAGCTTGCTGTCTTCCGGCACCATGTCCATCGACCCTGATGTCACAGACGCACACCGCCTGAAGGGCTGGTACGACTCTTCTGGCCGCAACGACGCCTTCAACACCCACAACAACATGGCCAGCATGGGCAGCGCCACTGGCCGCAAGGACCAGGACAAGTCTATCGTGCAGGTGAAGGAGGAGAACCTGGGCATGGAACAGCAGGACTACTTCAACCTGAAGGCCACCATTGTCTACATCAAGCAGGACAACTTCGCCTACCCCGCCTGCTTGTCCGAGGGCTGCAACAAGAAGGTAACTGACATGGGAGACGGCACATGGCGCTGCGAGAAGTGCGATGTCTCACACCCGAAACCCGAGTACCGCTACATCATGTCCGTCAATGTCTGCGACCACACCAACCAACTGTGGCTCAGCTGCTTCGACGATGTTGGCCGGATTGTCATGGGCATGAGCGCTGATGACCTGATGGCTCTGCGTGAAGAGGACGACACAAAACTGGCTCAGGCTTTCGAGGAGGCCAACTGCCGCAAGCTCAACTTCCGTTGCCGTGCGAAAATGGACACCTTCGGCGAGTCTCAGAGGTATGTGACTGGATTAAGACGTCACCTTTTACGATAGTGTACTAACTTTCTTTCAGGGTACGCTACCAGGTCATGAGTGCCTCGCCCATCGATTTCAAGGCGGAAGGCGCAAAGCTTGCCGACCTCATCAAGCAGTTCGGAATCAGCTCTTGAGATCGAGTTGTGTATTGTACGTTATGTGGGGAGTTACTGCGCACCTTCCTTAGCCTGCTTAACCTGCAAAAGGAGTCGGAAGTGGGTGATAGAATTTGATGAGCTACGAGGCAAGGACCGGTGATCATGCAATTATCAACGCAATGTTCGGTTCGACCAAAAAAAGAATAATGGCAGACAGAGAGAATACCATTTTTTTTGCTACGACTTGTCTACTTTCCCAAGTCCCCCAAGGTGATGCGAGTGGTGAAGCAAACGCCTCTTATCGGCAGTGATGTCGTTCCCTTAATGAACCTATTCTCGTAACGCCGTCCTGATGCCCACCATCAGGAATGGTAGCTGCTTAAACATGATCACATCTCTACTCCTCTGTGAGATTCTCCACGCGCAAAATAATCCCGTCTCATGCCTTCATGACTTCGTAAGGCTTGCGTGCGTGACGCCACATGATCTCAGCTTCACTCCTCCGAAGCTTTTCTTTTCTGAGGGGGCAGTCCTTTGCCAATCTAAGGGTGCTGAATGCCGGTCATCAGATCCTCGTCCTCAATGGACGCGTCGAATCCAAAGTCGCCGCCGCCGGCTGCGCCGTCCTTATCCTGGCGCTTCTGCTCGCGAATTACGTGCTTGGCGTAGTCCTTGGACGCGGCGAGGCGGGCGTCGCTTGCACGTGTCCATTCGTTGAGCTTCTTGATGCGCGCTTCGTCCTTGATCTTCCTTTGGAATTCCGTGTGCTCCATCTCCTGGTCCCGGGGCAGGAACGTGAGGCACTTCACGCCGTCGGGGCTGGTCTCCAGCACGCCCTGAAGCATTCCGCTGTTGATCATATCCTGGAGGAGCTCCTCGACCTGTTGATCTGTCTCCAAGTTGTTGGCTGTCTCGGCGCTGAGTGTGTTCTGGCGAATCTCCGAGACGCTGATCTTATGGTATACATCGGCGAGGCCGAGAATCTGCCACTTCTGGTACGCCTTCACGACCTCATTGAGAAGCGTCGTAGTCTGGTCGGTGTTCCACGTCTCGGTGCCCTTCTCGACCTCTGACTTAAAACGCTCCGCGTTGCTTGTGGAGAACAGGCTAGCAACGTCCGCGTAGGGCTTAGAAAGGGAGTTGTAGGCCTTTGTGGCAGCCGCGCTGGCATTGTTCGGAAGTGTAGGCGTCTGGCCAAGGCATAGGAGGCCCGTGAGGATCCACCGCTTGTGAGACTCAGTCATGATCTTGCTCGTGGCTCCTTCTCGTCCTGGCCAGGAGATGATTCTTTGATATGCCTGGTGTGCATCCGCCCATCTCCGCTTGCCCGTAAAAACCTGAGCCACCAGGTATTCGTGATGCATGACTTCCTCCCGGTTAAGCTTCAGGGTGAGCTGTGTCTTTGCGCTGATGTAGGCAGCAGGCGAGGCTGTTGTGTCGCAGAGATACTCCGGATGGCTTTGGTCCTTCATTCCAGGGAGGAAAATCCAAGGCTTCTCGATGATTGGAAGCACTTCATCTTCGTTGCCTGTCTCGCAGGCTAGCTTGACTGCGGCAACATGTAGGCTCGTGAGTATGGCGGAGTCGGGGTCAAGTCGTCTCAACACAACAGCGACGATATCGATGGCTTGACGAGCCTGCGGAGAAAAGAGTTAGTTCTCAGAAGAATCAATCATGGCAAGGTGTGTTGCATACCGGGAAGTATTTGCAGTCCAGAACATCCTTGACCAGGTCGTAGAAGACATCCCCCACGTAGCGTATTTGTCTCTGGTCGAACGAGAGCAGGAACTTGAGAATGTGTTCCCGGAGGACATCGGGAGAGAAGGGCAAGGCAGCTTCGTCACAGTGCTTGAGCGTGTTGAGGATTGCGAGGTGGGCGATCGAGTGGTCCGCAGGGTTGACAACCTGCCGTAACCAGCGGTTAGCAACACCAAACCAACAGCGGGGGCAAGCGCTAACGGACCTCGAGGAGCTGTGGCGCATTGGCCACGATAACTTGCGACTGTTCCTTCAAGAATAGTGTCGTGATGTTTTTGATGTAGCTCTTGATGGCCTTGTCGTAGGCCTCGTCTGTCGCGTACTGCTCATGCTCAAACGAGAGCAGAGTAACGTCCATCTTGTCGGGTGGGCGCTTTGCCGTTACTGAGATGTCGTGAGGGCGGCAAGCTCGTGCGGTGACGGATTTGAGAGCAGGAGTCAAAACGCCTGCTTTTGGTCGACGTGAGTTCTCTGGAGAGACGTAAGAAGTCTCCAGGAATGTCGCGTGGGTTGCAGAAGTTGGCTGTCAAGGAAATATTGTAGCTACGGAGGTAGCCAGAAGGTAGGCAGCCTCGTAAGGTAAAGGTGGGTACGGAAGCTTGATGGCACCCACAACAGCACTCATCGCAAAGCCGAGTGGGTCACTGGTGGTGGGGGATTTTATGGTCCGTGCCACAAATTCAATGACGCCGCGACCCCCCTGTCCAACACTAACATCAACTCTCCAAGTCCTTAAGACCCCGGCACCGCAGCTTTCCAAAATTCTTCAATCACGGATCCTACAATCCAAGACTGCTGCACTTTACCTGTCGAATATACGCCTGCTGGATACCAGGAAGAAAGGCAAAGAAACAATCACACAATGTCGCACTTGGCACGCACCATTCGTCCAGCGGCCCGCCGCCTCGCTGCCGGTCGCCCGGCTGTCGCGCCCGCGCCTCTCGTAATCCAGAGATGCTTCGCCGACAAGCCCCCCATCTACACCGAGAAGGCCGTCAACCACGAACTGGGTGTTGGTGAGCTCGAGGGTATCAAGTTTCGCGTTGAGCCATTGCGTCGTGTTGGCGAGGATGAGCGAACCATGCGTGCCCGTCTCCTCTGTGAGCCCCCCTTCTGTGTATTCTCTCTCCGTGAACGTTCCTTGTGTCTAATATAGAGACACGTACAACAGACCAATCCCGCAAGCGTGGCACCCTCGAATCAGATCTCCTTCTTTCGACCTTCGCCAACGAGAACCTCCCCACCATGACCAAGGCCCAGATGCAGCAGTACGACCTCTTCCTTGACGAAAACGACTGGGATATCTACTACTGGGCCACACAAGAAGAAGCTCCCTCCGCTTCTGCCCCGACCACCGGCGGTTCCGATATCCTCGCCTCGTCCACGACCAACGCTGCCGAGTCTTACCGCGGCGTCGGCGACGGCGCCAAGAAGACCATTGACTCGGGCGCCGGCGCCAGCACGGTCGAGGATGTGCAAGTCCAACCCCCGCGCGCAGGAGAGTGGTCCAACACGATCGGCACCTTTAAGGCTGCATACCGTCCTGTGCCGGTCCGGTGGAAGGGCAGCGAGATCCTCGAGATGATCCGCGCGCATGTAAGGAGTCGGAGGGCCGACGGAACCGTGGGCGTGCACCGGGATGTGCAGGAGAGAAAGGAGGGCGGCATGGGCTTCATGCCACCTCTTTTCGATGTTGACCAGGCCAGCAAGAAATAAGTCTGGTGGATGAGATCAGGACGAGACTAGGAGAGCTTGATGTACGACGTGTACCATATTCTTTCAGGAAAAGCATCACGGAGAGGACGGGCATGGCATTTTGGAGTAGCTTTTGTCGGCATTTTGGCTTAGAAGTGGTTGTTGAGCAGCCCGGCTTCATCCGGGACTACTATCACATCGCTCAGATAGACGATGACTGTACAACATAGAGACTGTAATATGACAGAAAGCTACCATTGTAGCATGCGCTACAGGCTCCCATCGCTTGTTTTGGAGATGATGTCGCCCAGCAGGCGAGTTGCTCTTTATGTCTTATCAACTTCAGAGTCTTGGACGGGTTGTAAGAAAACTCATCCTGCGTCTGAGCCTCGGTAAACGTGGTGAATAATCCAAGGCGATGATTTGCTTGCGGGTTAGAGTGGAGCAATACCCCTACACTAACCATCACATGTAAGAACACAATCATCTCCTCATTTCTGGCTGAACGGAATGGATTGATTAATCGGACTATAACATGAACACTTCTCTGGAGACGAAGACACTCAGATCAAGAGTTTTCAAATCGCAAAATGACTTTCGTCGCGGCTCATGAGATACCCTGATGCTTGAGTCAAATCTTGGGGAACCCGGCCCCTTACCCCGCCCCCACCATACTCCAACGAAAAACATTTCGAGATAGTGCACCCAGCACCTTATCCAAGTGAAACGACGCAGTGAAGATATTCTATGAACTCATCACAACTCCTTGAAGTAGCGAAATTGGTATGAAGCATCGGATCAATGTGCGCCTTTTCTGTGTCCAATCATTGACAAAACTCTCAGAATATACACCTGAACTACTCCACCATGCCTCTCCCCGACACCGTCGAGTTGCCCGCGGCTTTTGACGCCCATGTCCACCTGCGCGATGGCGACATGCTCAAGGTGCGGCATCAATTCTCTCAGCTATAATTTATCCGTGGGGTTGAAGCTGACGGGATGATTCTACCAGCTCATCGCACCAACTGTCCGATCCGGTGGTGCGTCAAGGTGCCGCTGAACAACCACACCATGAAGCAGCTCATGGATCGAAATCAACTAACTCGTCCCCAGCGCCCTGATCATGCCCAATCTCAGCCCGGAGCCCGTCACAAGCGTGAAGAAGGCCCTGGACTACTCCTCGCGTATCAAGGAGGCCCTCGGACCGGATGAGGTCAAGCTTTTGATGACGCTCTACCTCCACCCGGACGTCACCCCCGAAGTCATTAGAGAAGCGAAGAAGGCCGGAGTCGCCGCCGTAAAGAGGTGAGAAAATATCATCCCTGGTTTCATGAGACCATTGGACTCAATTTGAGATTGTTTAGCTACCCCGCCGGCGTCACGACGAACAGCTCTGCTGGCGTCGTCGACTACGAGGCTTTCCACGAGGTCTTCAAGACCATGGAGGAGGTCGACTTGATTCTGTGCCTCCACGGAGAGTGCCCGTCCCACGCCGGCAGCGACATCACCACCCTCAACGCCGAGTCCAAGGTAAGTGCCTCATGAAGTTCAACACCGAAGCCAAACGAGGCATACTGATTCTTGACCAGTTCTTGCCCACATTGAAGGTTCTCCACAACAAGTACCCGAAACTTAGAATCAGTGAGTCTTGATCGATTCCTAGTATTGAATGTGGGCTAATGTCGTAGTCCTCGAGCACTGCACGACGGCTGAAGCTGTCGAGGCTGTGAAGGCCTGGTGAGTTCGGAGTCACTGGGATTAAACTGCATTGCCAAGCTAACATCACACGAGCGGCCCCAACGTTGCTGGCACAATCACCTGGTAAGTTCTCGATCGCTGCTTGATAACACTGATACATGCTAATGAGACAAGCCACCACCTCTTCATTACCATCGATGATGTCGTCGGTGACGCGGTACACTTGCTCCGCACCCTTCCCAACTTTCACACAGTGAGTCGCTAACATCAGCACATAGATGAACTTCTGCAAGCCGGTCGCCAAACTCCCCCACGACCGCCGCGCCCTCCTCAACGCCGTTGTCAACAGCAACGGCAAGTTCTTCCTCGGCACCGACTCCGCCCCGCACCCCATCACCTCCAAGACGGGGCCCTCCAAGGCCGCCGCCGGCGTCTTCACCCAGCCCTACGCCGTGCAGTACCTTCTCACCGCCCTCGAGGAGGCCGTCGCCCGCGGCGAGATCAAGGACGGGGAGGTCACCCAGGAGGCCCTCGAGGGCTTCGTCGCCAACTACGGCCGCAAGTTCTACGGCGGCTTCGAGGACGAGAAGAAGGAGCGCATCCGCCTCACCCGCGGCGGTGCCACCGTCAACCAGGTCTTTGAGAGCGCGGGTATTCAGGTCGTTCCGTTCCGTGCCGGCAAGGAGACCTGGAGTCTTACGTGGCTGTAGAGGACGGAAAGGAGGACCGGTGGGAGGGGCTTAAAAGGAGTTCAACAGGAAGTGAGTGATGGGTGACTGCGAACTTCCATTGCTGGCGTATGTGTTCTATAATACATACAGTCTCTCAAACTGACAAAAGCAATTTTTCTTTGAAATATCCCCAATCTGTCATTATGCTTCATATCTCGTTCCCGGTTGATCCTCTTGTTCTGCTTTTTAGGTGTTCCTGGCGGGATCTTCAAAGGCCGTACCGTGATCCAGCACCTTGCTCGCCCATGTTGTCCAGCATCGCGAAGTGATTGGAACCGCCGAAGTGTCCCATGTTCTGGTGGTACATCTGGGTGTGGTCGGAGGTTTGTTTGGATGGAGGACCGATGGGACCCCAGACGCAAGGGGAGGTGGGAGAGTCCACGCGCTGCTGATAAGCGGTCCTCTGATCTGCTTCAAATGTCAGAAACAATCCTCATGAAGTTAATATCCGAAATACTTACCGACAGAAGTCTTGTACCCGCCTCCACCCTGCTTCACCGGCGACATCGAGTCCATACGCCCCTGCACCCTTACATCCTCGATTCGTCTCCATGACTGGGATGCTCCTGCCGGACTCGAAAGGTCCTTCTCGGACCTGATCGGCGACGGCAAGGTTTCCTGCTGCACTTGGCGGGTATCGTAGAACGCCTCGGGGCCACTGCCTTCTTGTTGTTCCTGCTGCTGCTGCTGCTGCCGTTGCAGCTCCGCCTGCTGCTTCTTCCACCACGTTGGAAGGCCATGAAACAGGCCCAGGGAGTGTTGTGTCGGCTTGTCAAGCGGCATCTCATGCTTGTACTTGCAGCCTTGCTGCGTGAAGGCGCAAACGCCCTCGTGAACCCACTTGTCGCAGTAGATCTTGGGTTTCTTGGGCGGGACGGGAGACGAGGCAATGATGTGATCGATTCTCTTCTGTAACACCAAACGTCAGCGTGACTCAGACTCGAAGATGGCGGGGCACAAAGCTGTGGGCATTACCTGAAGAGCATCAGAGACCGGTGCCGGCGACGGTGGAGGGGTCTGAGACGTTCAGCGCCAACGAACGGGTGCCTAGAAAGCGACGAAACGAAGGGGCATCATACCTTGAACGTGACGGGCTGGATGGTGCCACCTGACGGATTCTGGGCATCCTGACCCCGCGGCGCGGGCAGCACAAGCATGCCTTCAGCTCCGTGCTGGACTGCCGGGATGCCCACCAAGGGCGGGAGCATATCGGCCGGGATGAGCCTGGTGTAGTTACCGTTTCCACGGTCGAGGCAGTAAGCGAAGAATCCCGAAGTGTCGACGCCCACGTCCCGACCTTGGTCTGTGGCAGCCAGGCCCTCCGCCACGGGAGATTCCATGACCATGTATTCAGGACCGCTGGTCGAGCTCAGCGTGTGGTAGTGGCCGTGGCCCTGAGCCGGACCGCTTGCCAGACTCATGCCCATCCGCCAGTTCGGGGCATCGAGGCTGCGCGGCGCGGTGGAGTTGGCAGGAATCGGTCTCATGGGGGTCTGCTGTGGCTGGTAGTGGTGAGGGTGTTGGTGATACTGCTGCTGCTGGTTGTAACGGCGGAAGGCGGCGGGAGGCATCTCGCCGGAGTATCGGTGGTCCCTCGCCTGGAAAGAGTTGGAAGCTTCCATACCACAGATCCGCATACCACTGATTCCGTTCGTCGTGAAAAAGAACGGGCCGAAATCAGGCGTGGTATCGCGCGTGGAGGTTCTCGATACTGGAGGCGAGTAAGACTTGTCGGAAGAGGAGTTGTTGAAGCTCGAGTCCATACTGAGTGGGTGAGAAGGAAGAAAAATGAGAAGTTACGAAAAAAAATCAGAGAAAGAAGAAGGATCAGGGTAGGGTACGGAAGGAAGTCCAGAAACTGGTGAGTTGCAAACGGGGAGAAGCTAACACCTTACCTCATCTATACTGCCGTCGACCGTGATCAGCAACTCTGGAGTCGCCGAGTTGCAGGACCAAAGGCGACTTTGACTGCCTCTGCAGCGTGCAGAACGCAGGAGATTTCCAGACCAAGAAGCCAAAGACTCAGACATGGGAGTTTGATGTCTTGGACGCGAAATCCTTTTATCAAAACAGTCTCTGGCTCGGAAGGGAAGAAAGATTCGTTGCCATCGTCGTTTGCTCGCGAAATAAGGTCCGCTGCATTCATACGGTTACCTGCATTCTTGGTTTGTACCTCACCACGTGACAAACAGCTGTGCCTTCATGGTTGAACAAGTCCAACAGACCGTAATCTTCGAGCTAATCACTTTGTGTAAAGGATGTTTAGGGAGCTATATGATCTCTCTATTGGCCTATCTGCCTGCCTTCTTCTATGCAAATGTATCAGCGCTGACGATGCAAATAAGAATGTATGTGATCCTCTAGCAATACATTCTTTCCTGTAGCCATCTATTCCATGAGGCCTGTCTCTTCCATAAAGCAATTATCGTGGCCCCCCTCAGCGACCATTCCTCGTAGCTACAGCGCGTAGCTTCTCTCGCAATATCTGCTCTGCTGCAGGTGTCCGGGCGCCGGGCGGCCAATTCTTCAAGCTGTCAAGAGCAAGTCGTAGCTGAATCTCTGAAGTGAAGACCGGGCATTCATTTGAAAGATGTCGCAAGCCGCAGTTAGCACACGTGGCTGCATGAGGGTGCATCTGGGACAACCCAGTTGAAGGTCTACGAGCTCTGTCTGCTCCTGTAATGATGGTGGGTGTTGGTAGGCGCGGCCCAGATCCTGAAGCCGTTTGGTGCTGGTTATAGCCGTTGTGATTTCGGGTGTTCGTATTTGGCTGTGCCGCCAGATTCCTCCTCACATCGTCAAGCCAGGCCATATCGTACTTTACTGGGGTGCCGCCATTTTTAGGGGGCCGTCCCCTTCTTGCAGGTTTGGCCGGAGGCAAGATGTGTGCTCCGGGCTGTGGTGCATAGGGGTATGCTGAGGGCTGGGTAGAATATGCTGGACCGGCTTGTCCTCGGGTGTCGAAGTTGGGATTTGAGGCTGGGTGACTTCGTGATCCTTGGTTGATTTTCCAGGTTGGCTGGGTGCCTTGGCGGGCGAGGCTTTTGGAGTCTTTTTGGGCGTTTGTTTTCGTGGGGTTGACCCTTGACGAGTCTTGGAGGATGCCGCGGTGTCTTTCTTCGGTGTTTTGCGCGAGGGAGTCCGCTTCTGCAAAGTTTTCGGGTTAACTGGTTGTTTCTTGCTGCCAGGTGTCTTTTTAGGAGTCGAATAAGGAGAAGCAGTCTTTCTGGCTTTACCTTTGGAGCCATCCATCCTAGCACGGTCTTCTGGGTCAGTATCGGGTTCGTCGTCGTCACCAACGAAGTCCTCGTCGTTATCGGAACTACCGCTATGATCTACGAGAAGGTCAGTGGTGATAGCAGCGTTCGTCTTGTAGTTGATGGCCTGAAGTGAAGTTAGCACGCCGTAGCAACATGAAGATTGATCTAGATTACCTGACGGCGGCGACCACCGCGGCCCAGAACCTCCTTGTTCAACTCCGCGATACGCTTGGCTTCGGCTTCTCGTTCGGCAAGAATTTCTTCCCACACGTTCGGGTTCACAGTTGGCTCGCTCTCCTCAGCCAAGTTGTCCTCAAATCCGCCCTTGTCGTTGGCCCAAACTCGTGCAAATGAGAATGTGGATTCAGCAGACTCGTCTTGGCCAGTCTTGGTCTGTTCGATATGAGACCGGTCGAGAAGCTTGTCAACACTCGCGTCGTCGTAGCGAACAATGTCCTTCTCGCTTTGGTTATCGCTGAAGAGAGTAGAGGCTCCGAATTTGAGAATAGATTCCAGATCGTCTGGCTCTTCGGTATTGTCCATTGACTCGATCAAAACATGATCGAGCGCCATCTTCTTCCGACCGATCTGCATGATCTTTTCTTCCGCCGAGTTCTTCGTCATCAGCTGGAAACAGAGCACCTTGTTCTTTTGACCAATGCGATGAGCACGAGAGATAGCCTGAATGTCTTGGTGAGGGTTGAAGTCGGGATCCAGGATGATCACAGTATCAGCGGTGGCAAGATTGATGCCTACTCCTCCAGCTCTGGTCGACAGAAGGAAGGCGAAAACTTCAGAGTCGGGAGCATTGAATGCGTCGATATGCTTTTGCTTCTCGCGACTGTTGATGCTACCATCAAGACGTCTGTGCTGGAAGCCAAGGCCGTTCAAGAAGTCCTCGATGATGTCCAGTTGATTCAGGAATTGGCTGAAGATGAGAACGCGGTGACCACGCTCTTTGAGTTTGGGTAGCATGATATTAAGCAACATCAGCTTACCAGACGCAGAGACAAGGTTCTCCTGCAGCTTCGTCTGGTCCACGTTTCTCTCCTCAATGGCCTCGCTGTACATAAAAGGGTGACAGAGACACTTGCGCAGCTGCATCAGGATGTTGTTCAGGCTTCCGCGTTCCTTCTTGTTGATCTTGTCATCGGCAAAGATTGCCTTGATGAGGTCGGGACTCTTGGCGATAATCGATTTGCACAGCTTCTCCTGCAGAATCGACATAGAGACAGGCACGATGATCTGTGCCATGGGAGGCAAGAACTTCAGAACCTGGGCTTTGGTTCTTCGAAGGAAGTATTGCTTGATTCGACCGTGAAGCTCAGGGAGATTCTGGGCGTTCAGTTCCTGGTATTGTTCGTCCAGCCTCTCGGCGTTTTGCGTCGGGTCGATGAACTGCAATAAGTTGAAAAGCTCTCGCTTGTTGTTCTGTAGGGGTGTACCGGTGAGGAGAAGTCGAAATGGAAACCGCATCGCACGCAAGGCCAGATACAAAAGACTCTTGTCGTTTTTCAACCGCTGGCCTTCATCAACGACCAACCCAGCCCACTGAACTGAGCGGAAGAGATGCTTGGTACGTTCATCCTGGGCGGAATCGTAAGACATGACCACAACGTGCGCTTTGATGTCTGATGAGCCGTTCGGGAAAAGTTCGTATTTGTACGCCACTTCCTGAGGTTGCTTGCCGCCATGATAGGTAACAACCCGAAGATCGGGTGCCCATTGCTTGATCTCGCGACGCCAGTTGGGACAGGTAGCGTTGGGGACAACGACGAGAAATGGCCAGCACTACGCTAGTCAGCAAAACATCCTGTGGCAGATACTTCAGAGAACAACATACCTTTGGTTCACCGTGAGCCAGGGCGGAAATCAAACTGACCACCTGCACCGTCTTTCCAAGACCCATCTCATCTGCAAGAATGACGTTCTTGTCTTCATGGTAGTTGTACAACAGCCAGTTGACTCCTTCCAGTTGGTAGGCCATCAGATTGCCGCGGCGGATTCCTTTAGGCTGCTCTTCCAGGGCAGTGAACTTCTTCTCTTTCCATCGGTTGACGCGCTCCTTCATCTTGTTGTTTGAGACGACATCGAAGTATTTGCCTGCCAGGTATTCGTAGTAGGCAGCTTTGAAAGCGCTGTAGATCTCTCCGTCTTCTGGCTTTGGCGGTTTGTCCCAAACGGCCTCATCGTAGCCCAGACCTTGGAATTTGACGTAAATCTTATCAACGCTGCCAATCCGTTCCATCTCTTCTTGCAGCGTCCGAGCTCGTCCAGTCCCATTCTTGACCTTGGCAGCAAAAATGACGTCTGGAAGAAGATATTCCTCCGGGATTGCCTCAGATTTGGTCATCTTGAGACAAAGGTTCTGGCCCTCATCCTTCTTGGCAAAAGAAGTACGCATAGCTGGAGGTGCAACGTGGAAAACCCATGCTCCGGGCATCCAACTGCAGTGGAAGTATGAGCAGTCTTGCCACTTAACGAGGTATTCTTTCTCGTCCTCGTACAAGTCGGTGTAGGTCATTCCTTCGGTAAAAGACTTCTTGTCTGCAGGTCGCCACGCCACCAAGGTCTGCATCTTGTGGGATATAGTACCGCAGTCATGACATTTCCAGTCCACGGAGTACTCTGCGAGACGCTGTTCGCGTACCTCGGTAACGTCCGAATCCATCTGAGACGACGGCAGATGTTCATAGTGCCAGCTACGCTTGCAGCTGGTGCAGCGGAATAAGACATTGTCGGCGTTGTTGATGAGAGAGGAATCCACTGGCGCGATAGGGTCCTCGCCGCCGTTCTCCATACGCAACTTCTCTTCTTGCTTCGGGGTCCTCTTGGGAGAGAATGCGGCACAAGCGCGTCCGGACTTGCCGCACTTCTGACAGTTGTGATGCCTCGGGGCGCCCTTGTCCTTCTTGTTGTAGAAGCCAATGCAGAACTTGCATTGAAGGACGAAGTGATCAGCTCCGACCTTAGTGACCACATGGTCTCTTGCTGACCTGTACCCGATGCAGGTTTTGTGAAATGACATGGAGCAGCCTTGACAGCTGATGAGTGGACCTCTGTTAGCGGCAGGTCCAGTGTTGCAAGTGCTGCATATGTCGGAATGGAATGTCATGAAAGGCGAGTCGTGGGGCAACGGCTTGAAAACCTCTTTGACGTTCATGACTCTTGGTGCGCTCGCTGCTGCTGTATCTTCCACGTAGAAGGACTCTTCGTCCATCAGGGCTTCGTCAACCATGCTGGCCTTGTTCCTTGTCGATCTGCCGGACCGACGGCGATCCTCAAATTCTATCGAAGAGCCGCGAGACCTCGCCTCGGCCACGGGCTTGTTTTTGACTTTGAGTCGTTTGGACTTCTTCCGCCTGCCCTGAGAGGGCTTAGAGACGAGATCTGATGTGACCAGCATAAAGTCATCATCGTCACCATCTGATTGCTGCTGAGGCGGGTCTTGAGAGAGTTCGTCCAAGTCATCATCGCGACTAAGGCTAGCAGTCTTGAAAGCCATGCTCGTGAGCGTGAGCTGTTTCTGAGTGCGCTCCCTGAGCTGCCGACTGGCCTTCGGGGCGTCTCGCTTTGATGAACGAGGTTTCTGGTCATCCTCGTCATCAGAGACGTGCGAGACATGTGAATTTTGGCGCGTGCTCTGTCTGGTGACTGTGCGCTGGCGTCGTGAGCGGCGAGAAGAGACTTCGTCATCGTCAGAATCAATGGCCGTGATGTAGCGAGCGGGACGGTGACTGGAGCTTCGTTGACGCTTGGACTGGCGCGGGAGATCTTCTTCGTCAAGCTCCATTAGATCCTCCCCAAACTCGGCCTCGGAGTCTTCCAAGGTATCTGACCAAGAGCGCTTCTTTGCTCGTGGCTCCGCCATGCCGGTACTGCGGTTGTCGCGGTCGAAATCCACAGCTTGCATCTTTTGAAGGGCAACTTCACCTCCCTCGTAGGCAAGAACGTCTCCAAAGGGAATCTTTGGCGTGTTAGCTGGTATCCTGCAAAGGTGGGAGGTGGGGATGGGTATGTTGAGTCGAGTGTGACGCAGGGCAAAGTGATGCTGAGAAGAGAAGCCGCGTCCCAACGATGGCTTCTAAAACAAACACACAACAAGTAATTTTCGCACCTTCCTAGGATAGGCGGGAGTATACAAGAAGGGTTTGCAAGTATTGCGATTGTGAGAAGAGTGTGTTCGGGTGTGTGTGAGGTGAAGAGTGATGATGTGGAAGAGAGCAAACCTGTAACAAGACGAAGGGTGGTGATCCTTATATAGTCCAAGAGCGAAAACTCTAGAGGCAAGAGCAACATGATACAGAACAGGAAAGAAAGAGCTGTTGATGAATAGATTAGGAAAGAGCGACTGTACTCACGATATCCTGTCTCCCGTCTGTGAACTCGACATTGTACCACAGCTCGCCTTCAGGCCCGTCCACCTCTTCGAGAACTTCGTCCACAACATCGCTTCTAATCGTGACATATTTCTCTCTCTCTTCCGCCGGGAGAGGGTGCAGGACGATATCGAGCTTGATTGGGAGCAACCACCCTTGAGCGATGTATTCGGTCGGGTCGTGATCTTCAACCTCCTTCTCAAAGTCGATGGCCGCCGTTTCGAAGGGGGCAACTGAATCGGCTGGCACAAATGAATCGACATCTTCCATTTCGAATGAAGGGAAATTGTCGTCTGAGTCTTGTATTGTCGGGTCTTCTGGGATTTCTTCGTTCATCGCGATAGCGTCGCTCGGATCGGCCATCGTCTCGTCGGCATCTTCGCTCTGGGCCTCAAGATTCGGCGCATCGTCAATGGAAGGTTCGGACGAATCAAGGCCTATGAGCGCATCGCTTGGCGAGCCGATGAGCGACTGCACGAGGTGGTCGTCAGCACCATTGGGTAGTTCCTCCATGCTGGGAGTATTGGCGACAGCCGGGCATGGAGAGAGTTGAGGTGGGATGCGGCGCGTATCGATAATGCGCCCGGGCTTAAGGGAGCATTGAAAGGGGGCAAGAACAAAAATTAAAGAAGAGAAATTGGGTGGCTCATTTTCCGCAAGGAAAAAAAAACACAGGATCGCAGGTGCGAGCAAAGGAAGGAAGGTCGCCTCAAGGTTTGGATGTCTTCATGATTCGACGCGACGCTCGAAACCGCGTTGCCATTAAAGTTGAAGCGCCGTAGCGTGGTTAAAGGGAAGATACGTACCGCCGCCTTTGGTGGGGTCGCCGCGCCGATGCGAAGGTGTTGCTCCCCAGATTGATTGGCCCATTTCGCCCAATTACAGACTAAGGGTCCCTGTAGATTATTCTCACCGCCCGGCTCCCTGCTTGAGCATTGCGGCAGAAAAAAAGTTCCCTGGGGGGCAAATGCTGTTGATTCGGCGCCAATTCCGTCCAGGATTCTTCGCAATGTTGCGACACATCGACAACATCAACGTTTGGGCCCATCCCACATATGCCATGCAATGAGTCTCATTCTGAGATGGAGCGCCGCTCGACAACAAGCAACGACGTATAGAGCTTCCCAGCTCTGCGGACTCCAGGGACAAGTGCGCAATGCATCGCTTTCCGCCATCCACCGCGGCATTCGACGCTCTGACAGAACCGGCTCTCAGAGCGATCGCGGGAGGAGACCAGATGCCAAAAGCCGGGTGACAGACTCGCGCGGTCGAAGCCGAAACCAAGATGCCCCCGAAAAGTCAGATGCCTTCTCCGATCGATTCAAAGGCGCCATCGGCGGTCGCGAACATCACTTCAAGCCCAAGAAGGCGTTTCAGAAGATGCAAGAACGGGAAGAGGAGGGAGGGAGGAAGTCACGGAGCAAGCGTTTCAACAATCCTGAATACTCGTTCGGAAAGAAGAGTTTGGTATATCAACTCAACCGCGGCGAGTTGAAGGACAAAGTGTCTAAGCTTCTGGGGGAGGAAGGGAAAGGCAGTCAGGGCTCGTCGTCCCCACGACCCGGCTCGGCTTGGAGAGAAAACTTTGGCACTCACGCCGTAAGATCTTCAAGGGAAGGGGACAGGGATACGAGGACCAGAAGAGACAACTCATTTTCTCCACGCTCCGGCTCGGATTGGAGAGAAAACTCCAGTCGTTATACACCGAGATTTTCCAGGGAAGGTGACCGGGATACGACGAGGTTCAGAAGAGACGAGCCTCGGAATCCGATGAGGTCAATGAGAGACGGAGCTCGACGGGAGCTCGAAGACGACACACCCCAAAGACGATACTCGCGCCAGTCAGATGCCGATTCTTCCACGAACAGGGCGGCAGAATTCCCAGTAGCGGTTCAATACACGACTGCTGCATCCCAGTTTCTGTTCGGTCGATCTGTTGTGAAGGCGGCCCTGAAGAACTCAGGGCGCAAGCTGTACACTCTTTATATCTACCAGGGCAGCAACAAGAAAGAGACAAGGGACGACGAGTGGATTGTGACTATGGCGGCAAAGAAGAATGTCAAGATCAACCGCGTCTACGAAGCCGACCAGAGGCTGCTGGATAAGATGAGCAAGGGCCGGCCGCACAACGGCTTGGTCCTTGAGGCATCGCCTCTGCCCCAGCTGCCGCTTGTAAGCCTCGGAGGGTTTTCGAACGAGGTGGGTGGCTACACTGTCTCGGTTGCCCGTCAGTCCAAGGAGGACGTCGCAATCAACGGCACTGAAGGCTTCATCCCTTGGAAGGCGGGCGAACTTCGTCCGTTAGTGCTTCTCCTGAACGAGATCTTGGACCCGGGTAACCTTGGCGCTATTCTTCGAACGGCTCGCTTCCTCGGTGCATCGGCGGTCGCTATCACTGAGCGAACATCGTCCACAATCACGTCGACAGTTCTGAAGGCAGCGGCTGGAGCTGCCGAGGAACTCAAAATATTCACAGTCGAGGAGCCAGGGTCATTCCTGGACCTCTCTGAGAAGGCCGGGTGGACCTCGTTTGCTGCCGTTGCACCCTCGCCTGGATCACGCCAAAACCGCCAATGGACGCTGGATACGATCGAGGAATTCAAGCCTCTTCAGAATGACCCGTGCATCCTGGTGCTCGGTAACGAGGGCACTGGTCTTCCCGATTACCTCAGGAGAAAATCGACTCATGAAGTCACGATTCCGCGAACGGATTTCTCGTCGAGCTTGGTGGACAGTTTGAACGTGAGCGTCGCTGCCGGACTTCTCTGCAGCTCATTCTTCCGGGGTGCGAAGCCAAAGGATCCTCTGACCCTGACCGAGAGGTTGCAGATCGACGCACGCAAGGCGGATGGTGGAGAGGCTCTGTTCTGAGTCTGAAGTCTTGTAAAAAGACGGTTGTAATATGTACCATGTACAATTGTGTATAATGAACTGTAAAATCACATAGAAAGCGGGAACAATCTCAATAGGAAAGCAGTATTTTCTCTCCGCATATCCGAGTTCTCTCTCATGGAAATTGATATGCGTCTCGCTGTTAGCTGCACGGCACCGGCCGCTTGTTCCCACCTGCAACGATCTTCCACAACGGCTAGACCAGACTGTCGGGCGCCCGGGCGGTTCTGAAGCCTTCCCCCTGCAGAACTCACACGGGACCCCTGGCCGCGGGTTTCTCTCCCGCTGTCTCCGGTGAAGCTTGACGGCCGATTCTCGACCCGCCAGGGCCCTGAATGACGTATTTTAAGCACGCTGGAGCCAGCAATCAGGCCCAGCCCCCCGAAAAAAAGAGGCCTGGCAGGTACGTATCCCAGGCAAACCGCCCGTGAAGGTATCCGTTGGAGACGAAAAGAGAAGGGTAGGTAAGACAAGAATCGGTTTGAAAAACAGAACAAACAACAACAAACGCATTGTTTGAACCCGGATATCCACAATCTACGTGTCTCGCTGGAGACCACAGGTTATCTCGGGGTCAGGAACGACAACGCGGCGGTCAAGCGTGTTTGGAGCTTAAGCAAAGCTCCATTATCTTGCAGGTCCCAGTTGCCCAGTCGCCCAGCCACCGATTTCCCGCACCGACTTTGTCCCAAGACGCCCTCGAGGACGTCGACGCCGCTGCAATTTCCCGACAAAGACTTTACACTATTTTCGAAAATCCGAGCGACGGAGCTTTTGGTAGCAGCATCAGCAGCAGATCGTCGCTCGTGTGTCGACCATCTTCGCACTCGTCCGTAGTCCAACTGACAGGACGGCAAGCACGCACTCGAGACTTGGCACCCGGAGTCTGGGCCGGTCTGTCACTCACTCACCCACCTGCTCACTCACTCTCAAATCGAACACCACAAAATTCCTCGAAGACGACCACCAGCGATCAAGCCCGGACCGAGGCGTCGCCTGAATAGCCGTCACGATGCGTTCCCTCTCACTCCTAGGGCTGCCGTCCTCTCTTCTGCTCCTCATAGCAGCCCACGTCGGCGCCGAAAACCCCACGGCAATCCGCAAAATGCCACCCAACGCCGGCGAGAAGCTCCTCCCCGACGACCTGTCCTTCGCCGAAGACGTCTTCACCGCGCCCCTCACTCCCCGCGAACAACTCCTCGCCGCCCGCATGGCCGACGACCCTTTCCTCCACAACGCCTCGTATCCTTACCGCCCGCCGTTCATGCAGCACAGCTCCAAGGCCGGCCTGGGTAGCTGGGAGCACCTCCGCCGCGCCGTCGAGGTACTGCATATTCTCGAGAGCAGACAGGCTTGTCCCACGAGCACGAACAGTTGCGAGAACATTGGTTCGGCGAACAAGTGCTGTATGAGCAATGAAGTGTGCGTCAAGGTGGAGGACGAGTCGGTTGGAAACATCGCCTGCTGTCCCAAGGGTGCTTCTTGCAATGGTCCCGTTGGCACATGTCCTGTTGGCACGACGAGCTGTTCTACGAGCTTGGGCGGTGGATGCTGTATCCCGGGATACATCTGTCAGGGATCTGGCTGTGAGTTCATCTGATTTTTGAGGCATGGCATGAGCTAACTCCAACCAAGGTGTCCCCAGCCCTCCTCCCCAACCTTCGACAGTCACATCGACCAGGACGGCCACGAATGGTGGGGGCGGCGGCGGCGGCGGCGGCGGTGGTGGTGGAGGAGGAACAACTGGTGGTGGTGGTGGTAGTGCCACTACCCCCGGCCAAACCATTACATCTACAGTCACGTCAACAACGACACTCGCGGATGGTAGCACCACGACCGTAGTGATCATCGTCACCGTAACAGCAGGGCCCGGCACAGTCACAAGGACAAGTACCACAACCTCGACAGCAACACCCACCCTGGCCCCACCAACCACAACCACAGCGGGCTCGACCGGCGGAGCCGCCCCTCCCTTCCGGCCGACCTCCACCGCCTCCGGCGAGACCTACAGCGCACCTTTCTGCCCGACCGGCTTCTACGCCTGCCTGGCTCGCGCCGGCGGAGGGTGCTGCCAGACGGGACGGGACTGTGCTACTACCTCATGCCCGCCCACGCCCTCCACCACCATCATCACCAACGGGGTCACCGTCGTCGTCCCCGTCACCGACGTCCCGGAGGCCCAGGCCACGGAGACGTGCGCCGGCGGCTGGTTCCTCTGCGGAGACGAGGGGGGTCCCGTGCCCGGCTGCTGCCCGAGCGGATACTCGTGCGGCACCGCGAGCTGCTCTACCGTCTCGCCGTCGCAGACGGGGGAGATACAGAAACAGTTCCCCAACTCCGGGACGAGGCTTTCGGCGTCCTTCGCTTTTGTCGCCGGCTCACTTTTGTTCGCTATGATTTGAGGATTATGAAGAATGCATTGGGTGGCGTTCAGGGTCTGTTTTTTACGAAGGAAATGGAACGACATGAGACAGGATGGTTCTCAAGAACAGAACAGGATTTGCATGACGAAGCACTTGGCTTATTGTAAACGACTCGCATTGGTTGCCCAGAAAGCTTTTGGCCAAAGAACAGATAGCACAGGAATGAGAACCAAGTCTTCCTTATCAAAATTCAATAATGCGTCTCGTTTGACAGTGAATCATATATATCTTGCTGTTGCTCATCACGTACTTGATGTCCCAGGTGAACAAGCCGAAATCGGTTATGGCGATGTTTCCTCACCAGCAAGGTCATTCATGTATATCATTTCGCTCTAACGTGATCCATGTGATAAACATCGGCGCTATCGCCTCTTTGTACTCAAAGACCCTTCAGCTTGACGCAACAAGGCGGATATTCAGTTCCTCTGACTTAGATGAGCAATATGACCGCAGCAAATGCAATGACACCGGCCGCGTGAATGTTCCCAGCTAGAGTATTTCCCGAGTTGGGCGGCGTGCCGGTCGGACTCGGGCTGGAAGTACTCGAGGGCGACGAACCGGATGTCGAAGATGGCGAGGATGAGGTGTCCGGCTTCCCTTCGGCGGACATGACGCGGTCGAGGACATGAATGAGACCGTTGTTTGTCCTGGCAAGAGGAGAGTTGGTCAGTAAACCATGACCCTCTCAATACTCTGATGGGAATAGACTCACAAGACGTTTGGCTGGACGACCTTGGCGTCGTTGAACCAGATCTGGTTATCCTTGACCGTGACTCTCACGGTGACGTTGCCGAGGGACATGAACTCCTGGCCGTCGGTGAGGAAGTTGCTGTAGGCCACCTGAGGCAGGGTGTGGAAGCTTCATCTCGGGTTAGTGTGTGTGTGTGAGGATATCTCGGGGAGTATCGACTCACAGTAGAGCGTCGGTGAGCGCAGTCTGGTTCAAGTTCTTCTCCGGATTGCCGGCTGAATTGAAAGCCGCGGTGTTGGGTCCGAGACAGGTGACGTTGGGAGTTTTGTCCAGCTCCTGCCACAAGCTGACCTTGCGGAGAGCAGAGTCGAGGCCGGAGAGGGTGTCTGAAAGCTTCTTGATGGTCGCGGAGCACACGGTCGGCATTTCAAGAACTCTTTTTGCGGCTGTTAGTTCCGGAGATTTGAACATCGATGTGTTTATAAACTCACGTGTTGACGATTTGGAAGTAGCCGCCGTCCCATACTCCGTCAACCCCCGTGAGCTCGGCCGTCTGGCCCAGACCCGCCTGCAGACCCGCCTTTTCGTCTGTCGAGGCCGCCTGCCTCACCCTAAACTTGGAAGTGCCGGCTTCGGTCGACTTTGAGATGTAAAGCACCTGACCGGTGGCTTCGGCTCCGAACTGGCTGATCAGGGCGGGGCCGGGTCTCCGCAGGTTGTTCAAGCTGTCCGTGAGCTTCGTCGGGACTGTGAGGCCCCTGGAGGCGCTGAAGTTGGCAGATGTAAGGGCGGCATCGAGGGTGTGGTATTGGAAGACGCTCGTCAGCTTCTGTATGTGCAGTTGGGAGAGTTCGGTGGCGTTGTTCTGTTTCATGTAGGCAGACAGAGCCTCGTTGGTTGGGACCAGGACTGTTGCTCCCCGCTGGACGTTGGCATTGATGAGACCGGGTGCGCTCTTAAGGATCTGCTGGAAGCTTGAGAGATCCGTGTAGTTTGCTAGCGCATCAATGAGACTCTGGGTGGACACTTGGCGTTCCGCATGCTTCAGTTGAGGGAAGCCTCCCCATGCCGAGACGAATGGGGAGCTGGCGACAGCCAACAGTGAGATCTGGAGGAAGTGCATGGCTAGAGTTGAACACCAAGACTGACACGGGAGGCGATTGAAGACAGCTCTGGCGACGAACGGACAGATGGAAGGGACATGAACAGCTTAAAAGTTCTGACGGCCGCCATTAAGACGCCCGTCAGCCGCAACACTGGTCGCAGTTCAAAGCTGAGCTGTCGTGCAGATAGCTAGGCTCCCCGCGAACCCGACTGCTATTTCAGGTACGTGGTCTTCTCATTGTCAACAGGTATGACACCAAGCCAAGCGTAGTAAGATGCAAGGAAGCTAGGGCGAGCTTGAATGGTGTTACAGCAGGCGGCCAATGAATTGTATTGTCGGCACACAGCCACTTGGCTTGCGATGTTGTGGCCGAAAAACAGTCTCGGTATGAATGGCCAGCCTTGCTTATGGCTGAGAGAATATTTGCTCCCTATGCATTGCATATGTCCGTGTCTGCAGATGCTTCTCCAGCCGAAGCCAAGTCGACAGCGAAAAGAACAATTGGGGTGGGGGTGCGAAGCAGGCTCCGAGAGCTCAGAAGTAACTGTCTCAATCAGCGAGTGAGGCTGTCCGCAGATAAAAACAGTACGGAGGCGTCGAATCCGGTAGCTTTAGTCCAAACCATTCTCAACAGCCCGCAGGATGCGTTTGACTAGCTGCTCTTTGTTCGACTGCATTCTAGGCAGTATTCTGGGCGTTGCCACATTGAGGGGACGTGATCAGACTGCGGAGCCCGAAAAGAAGGTTGGCTTGTTCCGGGGCAGTCAGCCATCTTGAGCCCCGTCTATTTTTGTCCATCTCGACAACCAAGAGTCGGCGGGCGAGTTTTGCACGATGAACTCGAAGTTGGTATGTTGTTGAATGGTTGTGGGATGAGATCGGCGTAGCATCTTCCCCTTTGGGAGCGTTCGGGTAGGTTAACAGGCCAAACCATGCTTCGACAATCAAGCTTAATCAATGCTGGATGATGGCCAAACGCAAATCCGGGGTAAGGGAGGAACTTCCTCTGGCGTCGCCTTTGAGGTCTTGGTACAGGCTTCGTAGGATGGATGCCGTAAAGTCTGGGAATGGAGACAAGGGTGATGATGAGCAAACGATGTCTTGCTTGAAAGCAAAGAATGCGAATGATGCTGCAAACCCTGCCAAACCTAGCAGATCATTCAGTCAATCGTACAAGTCCAACGCGGTGGCACCTGAACTGGATTTCGGAGCCGATACTCAAGGGTTTCCGGGGAAAAGTCGTTTCAGTGAAAGCCCGACGGGAGTTGTACATCGAGTGGCCATCGGCAAGGAGCAGCCGGACAAAGGCACACACATTTGCTATCAACCTATCGATCCTGTCTCGTACCCTCAGTCCCTGCAGCACAAGAAAACATGTAAAATGCAAGAGGAAGCGGATAGTGGTTGCCTACAAATCGCAGGTCACACCGTCACTGTGACCCCTGCCAATTCTAGGCACCTTTAGGAAAGGCCTCCCCTGTTCCCCTCCGGATCAACTCGGTGCGAGATGCTTCCTCCTGCCGTCATTGGCCAATTTGTAAGGTAGGGTGTCGAGTCACTGATTTACCGTGCCGCACTGCTAATTTCGTCCGGGCGAGCAGGAAAACGACCAGCTTGCACTGCACTTCTCCATGACATTCCCAACCAACACATCTTGCCGTTGATAGCGCGCTTCTTGACGGAAATGACGGCAAAAACGAACCCAATGTGCCTGGCATTTGGTCAAAAGGGTCTAGTGTGTGACCAAAGGTCCAATTGCTGGACGGAGCACCCGCAACGCCTTCCCGTTTGGCCCAGGTGCTTGTATGCGGCCGTCCCTGCACCGATCCATGATGCTACACGAGGCCGGCCAGGTAGGTACGCAGTCTCGATAAGGTAGGCAGACGAGGGGAGGCACCATGCCTTAATCAATATTTCTTCCCTTGGCGTTGACTCTATCGTCGTCTGACATTTTCATCTTTCCCGTCCTCCCACTTTTCTGCTGTTCAATTCTTCTTCCATCGCAATTCCAATCCCCAACTGTTACCATCACGACTTAGACCAGCAAAGCCTTACAACACCACATCACATCAAAATGAAACAGACAACTATCTCCTCCGGCTTCTTCGGCCTCTCTGGCCTTGCCGTCCTACTTTCCACCCCGGCTCTGGCTTCCAGGGATTCCACACCCAATATGCTGGATGCTCGCCAGGACAAGCCTCCCTACCAAGACGTCGTTTGCAAGCCTGAGACCAACGGCCAGTTGCCCCCTTGCGTCCAGATCGAGAATATCGAGGTTGCCTGCGCTCCCAATGGCACTCAATCGATTTACTACGAGGCTCATGCCCAATGCATGTGCGGCGGCTCCTTCTTCGCCGAGAAGCTCGCCTGCGAACGCTGTCTGAACGTCCACGGACTACGCAGCGAGAGAGACCTGGCCTATTATAGTGGAATTCTGGCGTCGGCTTCCAACGCGCTCTGCACTGGCACACCCACTGCCGACTTCGCAAGCATCTACTCGTCCATCGCGATAGCTGCTACGCCCGTGACCACCGGGGGCACCGCTACGAGTGATCGTGCTGTCAGCAACACGGCCATCTCGCTTTACTACACTGCCAGTGGTCCTCAGGGTCCCGGAAGCATCACCGGAGCAGCTGCCAGCGCGACCAACACGGGTGGCAGTACCACAGCGGCTGCTACTACTACGGCCACTCGTTCCACTTCGAGTGACGACGATAGCTCCACGACCGCGGCGACTGTCGGTTCCGGCACGGCTTCTGGAAGCGCGGCTACTACTTCCAGCTCTGGAAGCGGTGCTATGCCTACCCTCGCTGCTGGTGGTCTCGTTGCTGGCGCCGCTGGCATTGCTGGCTTGGCCGTCTTTGCAGGCCTGTAAGGGGTGAGGGACGAAAATATCTTTGGGGGGGGGGGGCGTGTTCGGCATGTCAGGGTCGATGACGACTAACGAGAAAAGTCAGTTAATGTATGAAGGATAATGAATATTGCAAATGTGCTGAGATGTCCTTCTTTCCCGCATGTTGTCGCTAGTGATATGGTGAATTCTCGACCAAGATGCAAGTCCTCTGCGGTGTTGCTGCGAGCAAGCTTCAACTATGACTCAGCTCAACCAATGGAAAGGTAACGGTAACTTGGTAACTTTTTGAAAGAACTACTAGACAAGCTCCCTCCTGGGCCGCTTTTCACTATCTGGGGAGAGTAGTGACGGAACTGGGTCGACTTGGCTGGGGATCCGATTTCCATCATAGGTAACTCTCAAGGTTCTCACACCAACCCACTTCAAATCGGCACCAAACCTGGGGCTCCCCACTGACACCCATCCCGGTCAACTACATATAAAATCGAACCCAGGCCCATCATTGTAATGTTGGATTCCCTCGTCACAAACTTCAGTATGCCTTCTTCACGACGCTGAATGCACCCGACATTTACTGCGGCATGTGCTCGAAAGGCTTCGCCAACTTTTCTTGGCAGAAAGGCAGCTTGCCCACGGTCCAGATCTCGGTATCCTACGGATTCTATGTCAGCTACAAAGTCCGATTTACGTACGACACCTTGGCTCGCCGGAATTGACCCTTCGGAGCGGGCATGCAACATCACGCGGGGCAACTTACGGGCTTCAAGGTCTTCTTGATCTCTGAGTCGAGCGTGCCACCCTTGAGAGCAATGATTTCGGGAGCCGCATCGGGGTCGTGAGCGATGGGAGAGCCACACTCAGAGCAGAAGATGCGGTGAACATCCTTGCCCGAGGAACCCTTTCCAGCCCAGCTCTTGGTGGGACCATTGATGGTCAACTTGTCTTTGGGAACGACGACAACGAGAGCTATGCAAGGTCAGCGAGTGTTCAAGACGAGCCATGTTCCCATACCCAGTCGGTGGGACGGAATCAAGCATCGTTTTATACGACAAGGGGAACTACTCACAATAGGTTGAGCCGCTCTGGCGTTGGCAGTCGTCACAGTGGTCGTAGCCGACGACGAGGGGTTCGGCGTCAACCTTGTAGGTGACGGCCTTGCAGAGGCAGTGTCCAGAGAGAGGCATGTTGGCTAATGAGGTTCGTGCTGCACGAAAAAAGTATCTTTCGTCCTTTTTGGCTTCGAGAAGACTGATTCTAAGTTGTTGACAGACAATGCGGTGCAGCGAGCTTCGACACGGATAATGCTGCTAGACGACTACAGACGGGGACGGGCCCTTTTTGTTTCTTTCGACGGAGGAGGGGGCGGGGTATCTCTGATCTGATGTCGATGCAAGTTTTAGCTGGTGGCTTCCCGGCGCTACTTTGCGCGCTGACCTCTTTATGACGACGTCACTTACCGTATCGAGGTACCCTGGAAGCAAATCTGGTGGGCGGGGGGCCGGAACCGTGAACTGGAAGTTTCCGATGGAGGGCTGGCTGCGGACACGACTCAAGCTACCGGTATCAGGCAAAGACTTTGTTGCGAACTCCGTTTTGATTGTCTTGGAAGATGGAGCGAACGAGACAACACAATTGACGACAGGGAACGAGGACGTTCTTATATACTCGCTGACGGCCCTCCTCGAAGCTTCACGGACGTCCACCTTGTGCTCTTCGTGCCTACGCACCTGGTCCTAGACGGCGACCTCAATCTCGACATGACGGACGAAGTTTGATTTGGACAGGTTCGAGGACAGCTGAGGAGTAGGACCCACCTGATCCAAGAAACGTTTCTGTCAGCGCTGCAGGCGAGGGCGATCCTGGAACCCTGGCCTATCCCGTCAGTCGCCAGACAATCTATCCTTGCTCCCGATAGCTGGGCAAGCTAGGAGACAAGAATTGCGATTGCTCAGACAATCAGACACGCACGACAGATTGATTGGCTGCTAGTATTCCTGGGACATTGGAAGTATCCGACAGCAGAGCTACAGCCAGTCAGGCGAGGATAGCATGTTCATGTCTCGAACTCGAACAAACGACCCCGCGGAGGGGCACGGAAGGGCCAAGAGCAGAGGGAGATCAAACCGAACCTGGGTTTTGGAACCAACGGTGGTCAGCTCCGGCGATGAAGCTCTCAAGTCAGCTTCGCCATCCTTATTTGTCATTCGTTTCCCTTTTCCCCATATCTGGAATCGAAACTGGAACGAAATCCTCGTTTACTGTCAGCTGCGGTTTGCTGACAGCGCAGCGCGGGCGTTGAGCTTCTCGAAAGATTCACAGTTGGAGGCATTCTCGAATAACAGCCCCGCTCTCACGACCGGACGATTTGGAATTCGATGCGGGGCCCGCCTTAGCGCCGCTGCAGCTTCCCGGTGCCTTGAGCACACGCTGGAGTAGATTCCGGTAGCTCGACTCGACGACAGCAGGCCAAACTGAGCTCACTGCCTGCATCTTGGGGCAAGTGCAGCTGCAAGTGCTTTGCACATCTTCTCGAATGGAGTAACTGGAGCCACCAAAAGCGGTGGCAGGCGCCTCTGAGCAAGCTGCCTTCGGGGGCGTGTGACGTTACCCAAACCCAAGAAACCCCCACCTAAGCTCCAATTCTCGCGATGGAACCCCCCGGTCTCCCGGGAGTCGGGGAACCAGGCACGGCGGGGAAGCGGGCACCCGGGGCAGCTATTTCCACGGAGGCCAGCCGGACACGCCGCAACTCAATTCGGCACTGGCGGCAGGGCCCATTGTTGGATGACGGATACCCGTCAAATTGTCATCAGACAAACTTTGCATTTGACAAATTCTCTCGAACGATGACCGTGTGTTCAGACCGAACTATATCACGGTGAGTAAGCACATGGACATGACAGGGTGCAGGACTAGGAGCTGCTTGCGCCCAAAAAGGGTTTGCCTGGCCAGGAAAGGTACCTTGAACTACCTAAGTTGACCCCATCTAGGTGAGGGCGGCGCCATATGCAAATAATATGCAATTCAGCGTCACCGCCCCCTCGACGATCCAGTGAGAATCCCACCGTACATAAATCCGGCGAAGAGGATTGGTATTTCAAATACCGCCAGGACCAGACCCAACAAGAAACGCAAATCTATCTATTCAGAGGCCCACACAGTTGGGGCAAGCAAGTGCACCTCGCCCCCAATTGGCATCACCACGCAGATGCATGTACGGTGATCAGAGTCAGAGCTGCGCGCATCCTGATGCAGCGGATACATCAAGTAGAACGAACATGCGGGCGACCTGTCATCTTCTCGTGTCGTCGCCCGGCCTTATCAGAGAGAGAAACTTCCCCCAATGACGACGAGCCACGGAGACAACTCTGTGAATTTATTTCTCAGGCGCTCCAGACGCCGGGCGATGGCGGTCTGGCCCGTTCAGTCGCATGTTTGATCGCCGGCGGCACACATCAGGTCTGAGATCGACCCGTAGATGCCGCATGTTTCCCCCTCAATCCGCTGTTTCGGGCTGAGTACGTTCTGTCAAGTTGTCACGTCCCTCGATCGATTCTCTCGGCTTCCCGGATTGGTCTAGAATTTTGCTTGCTTTTTGTTTCTTGTGTGTTGTTTTGAGACTACGTGTACGGGCCAGGACCTCCTGTCTCTCTCTGAGGAGACATAATTCATCTACAGTCTACACTCGCAGATGCATCGCAGACGATACATGCGTGGCACTTACTGACCGACCAGGAACCGTTTTCCCCGGTTTCACGACCTCACGAGCAGGAGCGGGGCAACCGCAGACGAGAGAATCCAGGCGAACCCCGCGCGCAGGACAAAGTACTGCAGGTCCAGCAGCTCGATGATACCGAGCGCCAGTCGCTCGGCGAGAAAGGTCCGCAGGACGAGAGACCTGTACGCGCCGCGTCTGTTCGAGTCTTTGCTGCCGAGAACGAAGGCGTCCATGGGCGCGATTCGAAAGTCGCGGATGTCGACCTTTTGCACGTCCCGCCCGGCCTTGGGGGATGTCGTCGAATCGGACGAGCTCGAGGTGAGCGGCCGCTCGATCCGTTCCGGCCGCCGTCGCAGGGCGCGGATGGCTCTGAAGTAGAGAAAGTCCATCACGTTGGTGGTCCGCAGCGGGGGCGCGGGCTTCTTGAGGATGAGCTTGGGGAGGAGGTCGGGGCGCGAGATGTGGACGGTGCAGTTGTCCTGAAACTCGCAGCAGATGGCCTCGAGGTCATGGGCGTAGTGGACGAAGCGGGTGTAGAACGCCGGCGTGAGGACCTTGAACTCGATCTCCTCGACACGTTTGGGGAACTTTCGGGCTTGGGGCGAGAGCATCGTTTCGACGGGGGCCAAGTCGGCCTCGATACCGGAGGGGATGTACTTGACCGAGATGGCGGCTGACGACTGGTCGACCAGGTGGCGCAGGTAGTCCCGGAAGAACGGTTCGAGGCCCCGCTCCGCCGCGTCGGCGCGTCGGCCTATGCTCTCTTTCAGAGGCTCCGGGCGGTACCACACGTGGAGCTTGCGGCGGAAGAAGAGGGCGGCGGCCTGCTGGACGATGCGGGGGAAGGTCACGAAGCCGACCCACCACCAGCTGCATAAGAAGGTGAATCTCTGGAAGAGGGACATGGTGCCCGGGTCGACGGCCGGCGCCGAGGAGAACAGGCGGGCGACGAGCTTGGGGTGGTCCTTGGACGAGTTTAGGGTTATGGTTGTGTCGAGGTTGGGCAGGCCGTGGGGCCCGCTGCTGAAGAAGTCGACTGATGAGAGGGAGTATGAGCCTTTGCGGGAGTTGAAGGGAGAGACGTGGAAATCTTTGGGCCACTGTTTTGTCATCCTCTTGGCTGAGGCCATAACGGATTCGTCAGTTGATGTGTCCGCCGCGCTTCCCTTGACGCGCTGGTCTGATGGGATGTCATCGGAGGTGAGGAAATACATTCGCCTCTCATCGAAGGTGTTGTTGACCTCGAGGATCATAGCCGTGAGCTCCTTGTCTTTGGAATAGAGGTACCAAAAGGACACCGGGTTGAAGCTGTAGCCAAGGAACCTAGCTGCCGTGACGAGGTAGGCGGTGGGATATTGTGCTGGATCAGCGCCCTGGATCATGTTAGTTATTCAATATTTACGTGAGTTTTTCTCCAGCTTACCTGAGACCTCAGATACGCGTCCAGCTTGCCCCTCAACCCCAGATGCCCATTGCCCCTATCGAGATAATCCGCCGGATCGACGTCAAACCAGCCCTTCCTCGGCGACGGCACGAGCGAGAGCAGAGACATCCACCCGCGCCTCTCGACCCCGCTCGAGACCATGCCGGCGTAGTTCCCCGTCCAGCCGACCGGGATACCGACGACGAGGTACGAGTACGCGAACCCGTGCTTCTCCGGGAACGTCCTCCGGTGGGTCGTCTTGGCGGGGATCAGCAGCGGCTTCACGGGCGTCGTCTTGAACTCCTGCTTGTCTTTCTCGTCCTCGTCGTCCAGCAGCGTCCCGACGAAGCGCATCCCCTCCAGGACCAAAAGCCCGAGCGCGAAGCCGGGGAGCGTGAAGAGGACGGGACGGAGGGCTTCGGGGTCGACGTACGACCGGACGAGGTCGGCGACGGCGTGCTTGTTTTGCCATGCCGAGAAGACGAGGATGAGGACCGTGTCGAGCCAGCCGCCGAAGAGGGCGAAGTAACCGAGGCCGGCGAGCAGGGCGAACGGCCGGAGGGGTGCCGGGTCGGGAGACGGCATGTTTTCTTTTCTTCTTTGGTTTTTGGTGATGATTCGCGGAGGACACGGCGCGGAACGGGGGGGACGCACGTGGTGGTTGAGGCCGGGGGCCGGAGGCGATGATCCCGCCGCTGTGTGATACCCGAGTTACCGGCTTCTTCTTCTATGTCTAGATAAGAGCGCTCGACGGCGCTTTGGGATGAATTTCAAGATGAGAGGAAGTTCATGGTTTTCACTGCGGTGATGGTTTTGATGGTTTATGTAAAGCAAACGACCGAGTTCATCAAGCTTGACATCGTTAGGCAGTGGAGTTTTGAGGGAGCTTGTCGCCAGATTTCGGGGGCCCCTGGCTCGGTGGTGGAGGAGGGCGGGCGGGTTCACTGCAGTGGTGGGTCGATTGAGCGCGGTCGATGAGATCAAGACATTTGGAGTGTGAGAGTGAGAGTCCGACCGCCTTAGTCAGCGATGGGACCGACCTGGGTTGATACAATTGTTAGAGCATCTTGGACGGGAGGCTGGCTAGGGTGATTATGAGCCAGCTGGTCAATTGCTTCTGTGCTAAGAATATGATGACAGAATACAGGAGATTAGACATAGTAGAACACACGAGAAGTGTTGGCGTTCATATTGTAATGACAAAGAAGAAGAGGGTTGTATGTGACACAGCAGGGCAAAGCAAACTCCGATGTCAGCGGTGAGGACTCACTCACCACACCAGGAGGCCGCTTTCGGATTTTAGCTGGCTTATCCGACGGGACGGGGCACCTCTGCGGCCAGGCCTCAAGCCGCAGCGCTCTCCCCGTGTGGCGCAGTCGTCAGCGCGAGAAATAGCCTCACCTCAGCACCGGGCCTCAAGCAGCCTTGCCAACCGGGACGCTCACCCCGCCAAATTCTGCTGCCTCTGGCGCGGGCACTTGCGTACCTACTGCGTATGCAGGGATGCCAGCCCCTCGCTCCTCCGCCGGTTGACTCAGGTCCACCGATTTTTGCCATCCATCCCCGTCCATCGTCTTCCACCACCATATTTATTCCGGTCCCATTGTCCACACACCCGCCATCCGAAGCCAGCACCTGAACCATTCCCAAAAAACTGACGCAACCAAAAAATCAAAGGGTCCTTTTTCTCTTTCTACCTTACCTACTACCTAACAACACCAACAACAACACAACACCAACCAAAACAGAAGAGAACAACCAAACACCTGTTCTTTTCTCAACCCGACGATAAGCAAACCAGTCACACCCCACGCACACACGACACACATACACAACCGCCACAATGGATGATTGGGACAACGTCACCAAGATCGGCTCCAAGGCCCGCAACGGAGCATCGCAGAGGGAGACGGTCATCAAGGGAAAGAGCGCTCTCAATGCCGCCCAGCGCAGTGGTTCCGTCATTGGCACTGAGAAGAAGTTCGCCGCTGGCAATGCTGTACGTTTTTGTCCCTCGTCCAGCACTTGACATCATGAACAAACCCGCCCCTCTGCCAATCTCCACTCTTTATGATGGCATCCCTCTCCCTCTTCCTTTGGCTTCGCTAAAGCAGCTCCCTGCCATATCTGGCTTCAAACGAAACCGAATGCTGACTCTCCCCCCCTCCAGTCCTCCAGACCCGGCGTCGAGGGTCAGCGCCTGACCAAGGTCGACCGCTCCGACGACATCATCAAGCCCAACACCATCGGCAAGGAGGTCGGCGACGCCATCTCCCAGACGCGCCAGAAGATGGAGCCCAAGATGACCCAGAAGGACCTCGCCACCAAGTGCAACACCACCCAGACCGTCGTCGCCGAGTTCGAGCGCGGCACCGCCGCCCCCGACCAGAAGGTCCTCGCCGCCATGGAGCGCGTCCTCAACGTCAAGCTGAGGGGCAACGACATCGGCGCCCCTCGTTTCGCCAAGAAGAAGTAAGCTGCTCGCCCCAGACGGCGTTGGGCTTTCTTTTTTTTTACTCTTGGGGGGGAACAATGGGGGTGAGAGACGATGTGAGGATGGCGGTGGGATATCGCGCAGGCGAACTAGAGCGAGAATCGCTTTGCGTAGTATGTCTCTTCCCCGCGTGCGAGAGGAGGAGTCTGGTCTTTGGAAGGCGGAAAAGAGATTGGTCTTTTTTCTCTCTGGCCCGCGGCTGGGTTGCATAGCATGAAACGAGACTGGAATAAATGTCTTGAGGCTGGCTCTTTATGAAGGTTACGGTTCCTAGACGTTTTTACAGCACAATAGATGAGTTGGCTCTCGAAGCTGACGATTACACTTTTTCAATTATTCGTTCGTAGTCTATGTATCGTGACTCGCATTTCATTTCAAACAAGGAGGCCATCGCCACCCTGCAACCCCAACAACTTGCGCCGACGTGGTATCTTCCAAACTCCTTATGCAAAAACACGCTATGCAATGCATCTCCAGTCAAAACCCGACATCCTCCAACAAAATGTGTATCTCCATCTATGAAAGCCTCTTCACCCTCGCCGCGAGCTCAGCTTCGTACGGCTTGCGTCGAGTTTGGATCACGACGTGTTGCTTGCCGCTGACGCTGGCAATCTTCAACCACTCCGGCGCGATCTCGTTCGCCAGAATCTGCACCGCCTCGACCCCCTCCTCCACGGGCATGGGCACCCGCACCGATTCCTTGAGCTTCTGCTGCAGAACGGGCATGGTGAAGGACATGACCGGCTGCCCGGCCGCGTTCGACGAAGCGACGAGCATGGAGATGATGGCAGCGATGTCGCCGATGCGGTGCAGAGCGCGCTTCCTCGCCATCTCGGGGCCGCTCGGGAGCTCGATCTGGGAGTTGGCAATCTCCTTGGCCCTCAGCCTGTCGAGGAGGCTCATCTTGGCGCCGGCGGGGTTGGACGCCTGGGCCTTTGCGGCCTGGGCTTTCGCCTCCTGCTCTTGCTTTTTGATGACGATGCCGTTCTTGAGCTCGGTCAGGACGCGCTGTCCCTTGGCCAGGGCCGGGTTCTGCTTGAAGATGCTGTGGCGGACGGTGATCTCGGACTTGGGCAGGTCGTTGAAGCTGAGGTTCTCAAAGCAGACGTCGAGGTCCGTCATCTCGTTGGTGGCACGCTCGGCGCAGAGAATGTGGAGGTTCTCCTCGAACTGCTGGCACAGCTTCTGCTCGTCGATGCGGCGAGACGTCGTGTCGGAGGCCATTTCCAGGCAGAGCTTGCCGCGGCCGTAGTCGGTGACGATAAAGGGGGAGCCGAGCATCTCCTGCTCCCGGCCGGCGGGCTTCAGGTCTTGGATGGCGATGCATCTGCGGATGTCGTCGGTGGTGACCTTCCTCTTGCCCCATGTCCGTGAGACGTGGGGAGTGACGGCGCTGATATCGAGGGGCGCGTGGCTGTTCTGGTGTGTGATTTGGAGAGAGACGGTCTTCAGGATGGCTCGTTGCAGGTCCAGGAGCTCCAGCAACTCGGCTGGTAGTTGTTTTGTTGCCGGTTCCTCGTCGACTGTCGGCACGCCTGATGTGTTGCGTCTCTTCGACTTTGTGACCTTCGCGTTGGCTTTCCGTGTCTCTGTCTTTGCGTGAGAGATAATGGTTGACTTGCGAGACTTGCGGTGGGTCTCAATAACTGTAGGTGTTGTGTTCTTGGGGGAGGTGGTGGTAGTGACGGGAGAGCTGAGATCCTTCTTGACGGGGGCGGGCTCGTCCTTCGAGTCATCCTTGGAGATGCGTTGGCGCTTCAGAGAGACGGGCAGGGGAGCCGTGGTCCTGGTTTTCTTGACGGGAGAGTTGTTGTCTTCGACCGAGTCCGACTTGCGCTTCCTGGAAGAGGGTGTCGCGACGGGAGTAGGAAGGGGCTTGCTGAGAGAGTCCTCAGCCGTGATCGAGATCTCCGTCGTCGAGATCTTTCGAGATTTGGGCAGCTCAATGAAGAAGGCCTTCTTCGCGGCGTCGTCCACGGGAAGGACCTGTGCCTTGGATACACGTGTGTACTTGCTGATGAGGTTGGAAGCCGGAGGCGCGGCGGCAGGCTTGACCTGTCGACGAGAAGCTGCGCGAGCCATTGCGTCTGGAAGCGCAGCTGCGAGTGTGTCGAGAGATGTGTGAGTGTAAGTTGGGAAGGTGAGAATCGGTTCAGAGTGCTGTCAATGGTGTTTGGAAGGCGTGGACCGGGTTTGAAGATTGGCAAGTACGGTGATTGTTCTCGATTAGGGAAGAGGAGGTTGGAACGTTGGTGTGTTAACCGGGAAGCCACGACGAAATGTGAAGAGGTTTTGTATATTGGGAAGGGGAGTGGGGAGCTGTTGAAATTGATGGACCGAAGCGAAGGTACGCGACGGGCCAGGGCCCATGGACGCGACTTACGCGTTTTGGCAGCTTTTCTCACGAGAGAAGTCGCGTTAAGTGGTGGGGCGCCGGTGTTAGTGGTCCGTGCTCCCGCGACGGGTCCCAACTTCCCGGCGGCCTGGCAACAGACCAACTCGGCGAAGGAAAGGGGCTTGAGGAAAAAAGAAGGGGAAAAAAAAAAGGATTGAAGCTTCTCCTTGGCATTGTTCTTACCATGAGGTGGATGCCGCAATCCATTTTCGGATGTCATCATCGAGGCATCGCTTGCCTGTCCCTGCGCGCCTCGGATCTGTGTTCAAAACCTGGGGATAAAGCTGTTCCCGGCCTTTTGGACAAATCTTGGATGCCATTCAGAGGCCGAAGGGCCATTGAATGAGTCAATATCCCAGATTACACTCAAACACCAGGTTGGTTCAAACAAGCTAGACTTATAAAAGTCGGTTATTAACGTCAGTCTTAAGACGACATTTCTCGATACACGAGAGTACAAGAAGGCAATGACTCCCGTCGTTCCCAGCTAACACCGTTTTGTGCCCTCAGGCAGACCAAGAAACCCCAAATGCCATGTTAGCCCTGCTTTTATGTGACCCCTGCTTCCAATTCGAATGACTTTTCCCGCACCCTGTTCGCCCGAGACTCCTGTGATCGTCCATATGCTAATTTAAACTCTGCAGCCGGTTCTGTGTCGAACAGAGACCTGGTGTTGTTGAACCGTGTGGCCTAAGCCGATGTGTACGATGTCTAATGACGGATCGATGATTGCCAGTGCTCGGCGGCAAAGGAGACGGGGCTCGGTGGCGGAGGTGCCGGGACGCTGTAGTCCTGCTCTTGGATGATGTGGACGGGCGTCGCCGGGCGATGGGTGGTAGAGGTGAGAGTGGCATTAAGGCTGGCGAAGAGATCTTGGCCTGTCATGAGGCGGAGATTCCTCCGCTGGGGAGGGATGGGGAGTGGTGATGCGATCTGGCTGGCGGGCATTTTGTCGGAGTGAAGTTGAATAGCTATTAACAAGCTGGCTTAAACGGTGTTCTTGGTTGATGCTCGGTTCGGATCCGCGTATTGGAGAGGGGCCAAGATGGAGAAATCCGGGGTATGAACAGGTCTTGATGACTTGTTTAATAGGTAGGCTTGGAGAAGGTGATTGTTTGTGCCAAAGTAATCCACAGAGTGGCTGCTGTTTGATCTTGATACGAGGTTTGTTCTGTGAAGAGATGGAGTGTGCCAGGTCCGGACGGAAGTGCAGACGGCGGAATATTTAAGCTGGGTGGCCTGGAGCTGAATGGGCTGACCGAGCAGAGAGACCAGAGGAGAGAGTACGGGTGTTTGTGCGCGATCCGTAACAGAGATTTCACAATTCCTTTCCTTGTATCGTCGGCCCCAGGGCTGGGCAAGTCGGTGCGCAAACACGGCAAGGGTTGCGGAATGCTGCTTGGGCAAAAGACCCAACCGAATGGTCCAGAGCGAATCGAGACACCGCGGGTAAGGATGCAGTAGCCGGGAGAGAATCCAACGGAAGGCGTGGGGAAGAGAGTCAGGGGTTGAGAGGATGAAGAAAGGGAGATGGACGGGGCGGCGAGCACGACTGGGGGAGGAAAGAAGACGTGGAGGGTCAGAGACAGTGAGGTACGGATAGGTCCAAGGAAGGCAAACGGGAGGCAAGGCAAGGCAATGCGGGAGGCAAAGGCAGATGAAGAGTGCGGAGCTGGCACGCTGAGGCTTGCGATGTGCAATGTCGCAATTTAATAGCAATGGGAGTCCAAGAGGAATAATGTGCGAGTATGCTTTTGGCTGGAGCTGACTGACGAATGCGCAAAACGTTGTCTCAGTGGAATTGGCCGGACTTATTTATGATTATGAGCTTACGGATACCATCTGATCTGATGTACTCCGTACCTGCAGTACATTGATACTTGAGTCTTGATGTACCTATCTACCTTACTTGAGAAATGGCTCGGTGTCCGCAACCTTCTCCGGATAAGCCAGACCCCAAGCTTCATGTCGTGCCGCGTTATGTTTTCCTTTTGCTTTTCTTCCCCTTTCTACGGTGTTGATGTCGTGTTGTGTTGGCTAGCCCCAAACAAGGTCACAGAAGATCCCCGGCTTTGACGGGGGAAAATAGAAGGGAGGAATGTTCCATGACAGCTGGGGTTCGATGGTGGATATGTTCCTGGACCGGGGTCAGGGCAGTTCGCCCCTTTCAAAGCTCTCGGAGAGGGGCCGGATGGGCTGACCGTTCGGGCGTTCGGTGTAAGAGGGAGTTGGGGGAAAATGGGGGCAATTTACCTGGCGATACAAGGTCGAACAATGGAAGTCAAAGTGGTGGAATTTGCGAAGCGCATCTCGTATAATGCCTCCTGGGATGGTCATCTCTAGGCTGTATTCCCGGAGTATCTTGGTTGGACATGGAGAGTAGTCTGTACGAATCTATCCTGCGAATCCTGCCGGCGGGTAATGTGATGGCCGGTACCAAACATGACAGGCGAGCAAGTCGGGGATGTAGAAAAGAATTCCGTGGCCCCAAGCAGTGAGAGGCCTTCCCTCCTTTACCGCCAGTTGGCTTGGATCATCCAAGTGGTCGCGTATTTTCTCTCTTGTCACCTTACGACGCAGTGATAAGCAGTGGTAAGGTAGGCATCATTGCTTATGCCGACCCGAAAATAATCCCACGGCAGCCTGGACCTTGTTTTTGGGGTTGTTGCGAGCCAAACGGAATGAGAGGATGAAAAAGTAAGGCGCAAGAGGATACTCCATCAACACACAAGGTCGTCCCATCCGCCGGAATTCGGAACATGTACCGACTTCCCAGGTCCCATCCTTGGAAACGCACGACTACTGCCTGCCTACTACCACCGTACAAGTTCAGCTCTGCCGTGTTATGCAAGAGCTGTCAGGTTGTGAGGCAGCAGTATCGAGATCGAGTCCCCAAAACCAATGGCTTGCATCTTGCAGCCATTCATTCCATCTCATCTGAGATGGCGCCGGCGGGCTGTCCAACTAAACCTTCTTGTGCTCTCAAATTCCAGAATGGACTGGGGGATCAGCGACATTATCTCCAGACCAGCAGAGAACGGCAAGACCAGAATCGAGCTAGTTTCAGCTTACCCCTGTCTGATTGCAGAAGCGACAGGGCACAATCAGGAACCGGCAGAAAGAGAATGAAAAAAATGAAAATGAAAAATCCTCCAATTATCATATCATGCTCGTCATTGCGATCATGACTGGGTATCAGACTGAGCTCTTCCAGTCCGTCGTCATTGTGAACCGTCACTGCCCGGCGTCTGATCACCAGTCTAATTAGTGACTTCCAGCACGGGCATGCGCCAGCCTATTGTGCTGGTCATGGTGCATAGAGTTGCCGCGTCTGTTGTTAGAAGCTCTCGTCCGTGGGACGGAACCTCAGGAAAGGGAAGAAATTTTTTTGAGAAAGGAACTTCCCTCGATGAGCTCCACTGACAGTTATGCAAGGGGAATGTGGGGTTTGGGTTTGAGGTGGGTACCTGACTTTTACAGTTTGCGGAGAAGACACTACCGCCAGTGCAGTCGAAGTAACCCCAAACCCCAAACTGTGAAGTTGCTACACACTCTTCATGTACATTCCAACTCTGGGGAAACTCGACTCCCCTCCACGTCGCTCCTTTCCTCCCGTCTTCCACCGCTTGCTCCTTCCTTCATCCTACATGCCTGCCTGGAGGCGAACTTGCTGACCCCCATCATGACAGCTGGCCAGCTGAGACAAGGGCTGATTACCAGGCATTCTTCTCTCGAGTCAACAAGAGGCTGATCAAGAGAGGAGGCCCTCACAACCCCAGAGCAAGAGCACAACGTGGCGTTCTCTCACTTACACGTCTTCGCCAGCCTCACCTCGCTCACACTGGCAATCAAGTCATCGCCAGCAAGCCCTTGTCGTACAATCGGGTCATCTTAACCTTGCTCCAACCACAACCCGCACCATCGCTTGAACCTGCTTCTCCTGTTCTGACTCGTTCACACAAATTCAACAGACCACGAATACTCTGCCTCACCGTACGGATACGTCGCGCCACGTTTGTCGTGTCGGCTTGTGGTCCCAAAATATTCGAGGCGTTTCTATTGTGTCCGAGACAAGGATATACCCATCCATTCAAACTGCTTTTCTTGATTGCAGGCCCAGGCTGCTAGCGTGTTGCCGCCGTCCATGCTTGGACAATTTTCAGCAAACATCGAGACCTCATTTTATCACCATGCCAGCACCCACGGCTGGACCTCACTTTATGGTGCTTCATCGGACCGGGGAACCCAAGCCGAAGCAGCAGGGGTTGACGTTCGAGAGTCGTCATTTTCCCCAGCTAATTACCCCGTGTCACCGGAAAGGACGCGCGCGAATGCGACTGGTAATTTGCTCTAGCCTGCCGTCCTCGGCTTGCAAATCCCGTCGAGCTCGGGCAGACGCTTCGATTCCCATGGATCCGACGGGACAATCGTCATCACTTTTATCTCGCCTCTTTCTTTTAGTTGCAGACTTCCCGACCTCTCGGGAGCGATAACACCAACCCCGGAGTTGCGGTGTGCGGATGCCCCTGGCCTTCCAACATCGACTGGCCGTTCCGTGTCTGCTGTGGTTGCGACTCGGTGGCCATCCGGCCGGGGCGGTGTGCACATTGTAACACCGTTTGATTGGCACCCTGCTTCAAGCTGTGGTTATTGCTCATCATCGAACCAATATTGACTTGATCAATGCGGTAGCTGACGCCCCAACATGCCGTTCCCCGCGTTTCCACTTCACACATGGCTCCCCATTCCATCCCGTCTGATCGCTGCCTTCGCCTCGGGTCCATCACTCCTCAGCTGGCCGTGTCAGACCAGGATTGTGTCACGGACTATCTCTCAGCTTTTGGGCTTGGCTGGCTTCGTCTCGCCCAAAGGCTTCTTGGATCAGTGTGGTCCAAGGATGTAGCATTCCATGCCTGCATTCTGCTGAGCGCAAGTCCAAATCGACGGAGAACCTGGCTGAGAATGGAGTATCCGTTTCAGGCTTTTAGCTGGTTACAACGACGTGACCATATTTCGCCGTCTGAGACCTCCGAATATCACATATGAGCCTGAATCGGACTCTCGATCCTTCTCGTTGAGAATGAAGTGCTATTCATTCACTCTGGGTTGTGTTTACTAGACGCAATGTGGGACGTCTCTCCCAAGAGGTGTCTAAGTCAGCCGAGGGGAATACTTTGAATTCCTCTGGAAGTGGAACACTCACGGTGTCAAGAAACAGCAAACAAACTATGTCAACCACAGGCCTGGTTGGAATTTCAGAGAAAGCTTGAGATCTCATACCCCAGCGCTCGATAACCGTGGTGAGTTGTCAAAGTTACCATCACGATGGGAAACAACTGAATATTAACTGACATCCGCACTAGGAAAAGCACGGAGTGTGCTCCGACACAATGTCCGGTGCTTCACCATCCTCAGCACTTTAGATGAACCAAGAGTATCGGTTTCGTCTTGAACGGTTCCGATTCGCCAGGCTATGGTCGGCCTGTAACAAAGTTTCGGGGAACATGGAAGACCTTTCGAACGGCTCAAGATACCTCAAGTATCAGATGAGTTCGGAACAAGGTTGCACCAAGGTGTCCAACTCAGCTGCCTGGGACAGTACTGGCCCAAAGGGAAGTGTTCGTCTTGTTCGAAGTTGTTACTGACGATGGAGAATAGACGCGGCCAACACATCCAAAGGCAATGATGAGAGTCGCAAAGCCTAACGCACCGAATTCGAGCGCTCTCGCCAGCAAGCTATCGCAGCCGCCCGTTTTTGCATTGCCTGGCCGACTCTCAGATGTAGTTCCAACTTGTCGGAGACTGAATCATAGTATGTATTCGTATCTCTTTTTTCAACCCGAGTCTACTGCCAAGTGCCCTCAAGACGCATGCACAAGTTTGTACTCTCTAGCCTCAACGTTCGATCGGCATGCGTTTTCTCTCGTCCGCTTGCGAAAACTTTCAATGTCATGTTATTGGAGATAATCTGACGGCAACAGATATGTCTTACGTTTACCGTAAAGGTCCTCGACATGGACGTTACAGACGGACCGAACGGACCTGGTGTTCACGCCGGACGCACAACGCTGGGCTCGTCCACTTCGTGCCAGCCTAGGAACGCTTGAGACAGATTCATCGGCAAACACATTCGCGAGAAACACCGTCGTACACGGACTTTGAATCGATCGTTCGGCAAAAACTTACGATGTCTACCGGTTTTGAGAGCAAACACCAGTCGTTTTCGGATGCTCGACTTCGATGCGGCAACGTCCGCCACGTTGATCGCCTCCTGGGCGACGATCTATGATTGCCCCCACGAGGCCAACACGCGAATCCGTCTTGGAATTTATCGCTTGGCCGCCCGTACCGAGGTCGGCCGCGAACATCGAACCGCTTCCGAACGGAAGTCCCGGTTTGCGCAAACCGGTTGTGGGGCTTCGTACGGCAATCTTGTCTCAAAATCGCAAATGACCACCGAGTAGTGGACTCTCGCTTCTCCGCGCACCATCGCTGGCCGCGCTTATCAATATAAGTCTCTGAACTCGAACGGTTTTTTCACACTTGTTGGTTCACTCTACGATGCAGGGATCATGCAAGGCTAGACACAGCCTGCTTCCTATTCTGTCGAAGCCAAGCAATAGCCAACTGAGCCATGCCTTTTACGATTGGTTCACCGGCGCAAACCCCTGCTGTCATATATGCGCGTCCACGAGATGAAGGCGTAATTCTTTGTTGGTTCGACATACGATGCGGCACATCTCTCCACTTGGTTGCATCATCCTACACCCCGTACGGAGGGCGCCCCAAGCCTCTTCGAGCAATCAAGGAGGGTGAAGACAACATGTTGTTCGTACAATACGCGAAGGTTCCGCAAATACCGGGTTCTTCAATCCTTCTGTCTCTTAGAGGGCCCCACGATTTACCACTCCAGGCTTCATCCCTCCAGTCTTTTGCATCTTGAACCACCAACAAACCGACTATGCCGAACGTTTTGTGATTGTTTGAATCGTTTGCCGCACGCGCTAGACGAGGCTGGGAATATTGCGCCGAAACTTACTCAGGCAATCAGGGTCTCCAATGTGATAGAATTGTGTCTAGAGTCCGGCAGTGGGTTTTACCCCACGCCCTCCGGTGAAGAATAAGATGATTTCCTTCCCTCGCCGTTTAAGTGGTCGTTTCAGTTTCTTCGGTGTCAGTCTCTAACAATGAGCTTCAGCAAGTCTTTCTCGAGTGGTGACTTCGGTCACGGCTCTGCGTTCGTCATCGAGACGGGCAGAGTCAAGTCCGTTCTGTCCGATCTTATCCAGGCCTTCCGGCGGGCCGTCCCTCTAGAGCGGAACCCCACGCAGGCCGCTATCCTCTTTGTGATCGGGTTCCTCATCTTGCCGTGGCTGGTCTCCAACGTGAGATCGTACCGACGCCTTCGTCACTTCAAGGGCCCTCGACTGGCAGCCGTCTCCAAGTTATGGCATCTCAAGACCGTCGTCGGGCCGACGGCCTATCTCGACTTTTACGAGGTGCTCAAGGAATACGGTGAGCAGAACTTCCATCCTGACCATCACTTGAATTTTCAGTTCTGACAAACGAGTTTTCTCGCAGGCCCCCTCGCCCGCGTTGGACCCAACGACCTCATCAACGACGACCCGGAATTCGCGAGGCACATTCTCGGCGTGCGCAGCCAGTACCGCCGTGCTGATTGGTATGAGTCCATGCGATTTCATCCCGAGAAGACAAACGTCCTGTGCCACAGGGACGAGGAAGAGCATGGCAAGCTCCGGTCCAAGATGGCCGCGGGTGTAAGTCCAATTGCCCCACCTACACTCATACCACAACCAAAGGTCCATGTCGAGCTCACCATGTATAGTACTCTGGGAGAGAAGTAGCGGGATTCGAAAAGAAGATCGACGATAACATCACCAGGCTCTTCCGGCTCCTCGAAAAGTCTATTGACGTGGACCAGCCCTTCGACTTCGGCCGCAAGGTGCAGTTCTTCACCCTGGATGTCATCTCAGACCTCGCCTACGGCGAACCCCTCGGCTTCATGTCTAACGACAAGGACATGTACGACTATCTCAAGTCAACCGAGGCGGCTCTTCCCGTCTTTATGACGCTGGGCGTCGTCCCATGGGTGATGAAGATCTTTGCGTCTCCCATTTTCAGATCGCTAATGCCCTCGGAAAACGACGTTGTCGGGTTCGGAAAACTCATGGGGTGAGTTTGCCGCCGCCTCTGCCGCCCAAGATTTTGAGATGTGAGCTGACGTTTGTCGACAGCATCGCCAAGAAGATTTCCGCCGAGCGCTTTGGCCCGGACAGAATCGTTCAAAAGGACATGCTCGGTTCCTTCATTAACCACGGCATGACCCAAGAAGAAGCGGAGTCCGAGATTCTGGTACAAGTGTAAGTCTATCTTCCCCTCGAAATCAGCAGTGGAAAAAACACATATACTCACATCCCCAAAGCCTCGCCGGCTCAGACACAACAGCGACCACCATCCGCGCCACAGTCCTCCACACGATCACGACCCCGCGCGTCTACGCCCGCCTGCTCGAAGAAATAGCCCAAGCCGCCCCCAACACCTCCAGCCCCATCATCTCCGACGCCGAGGCCCGCACCCTGCCGTACCTCCAGGCCCTGATCAAGGAGGGCCTGCGCATCTTCCCGCCCGTCTCCGCTTTCGCGCCCAAGGAGGTGCCCGCGGGCGGCGACGTGTGGAAGGGCAGGTTCATCCCCGGCGGCACCCGCATCGGGTGGTCCGCGATGGCGCTGGCCCGGCGGGAGGAGACGTGGGGCAAGGACGCGGCCGAGTTCAGGCCCGAGAGGTGGATCATGAGGGAGGACGGCGGCATCTGCGACTCGGCGGAGAAGCTGAGGGAGATGGAGGGCGTCCACGAGCTGATCTTCAGCCACGGGCGGCATCAGTGTCTCGGGAAGCCGGTCGCGGTGATGGAGTTGAACAAGGTGTTTTTCGAGGTGAGTCTTTTTGTCCCCAGCCCCCCGCCCTGAAGTTTGAAAAGTCCTCCCGCTGACTGTGTCATTCTTTAAGCTGTTCCGACGGTACGACCTCAGCCTATGCAACCCGCTCAAGCCGTGGAAGTCGATCCACGCCGGCATCCACTGTCAATCGGAGATGTGGATGAGAGGCCACCGGCGGGATTAGGTGTCCAAGTGTGGACTTCACTCGGCGTCAAGGACAAGCGTGCAATTCTACGACCTGCTTTCATGGGCATGAGGGATACTGTCATCTGCTCCGACGTCGACTCGGGATTTAAGGCGTTGGGAAGGGTACGATTCAAGGTCTAAATCACAGATATACCAAATCAATTTAGCTAGCAATTATGAGGACAGCATCACGATTTTGAAACTAGGAAAGTCGTTACGTATATGTATGTCTGTGTGTGTGCAGCGCGCCTGTGATCTGTTTTTGTAATACGTACAGATTAATATTAAACCTCAGCGAAACCTCTGCTGGGCTTATAAAATATCACCTCGCCCTTTGGTGACACCGTAGTGAATGAAGGCATTCAAGTTGCTTGGCATCAAAACTGCCCGTTCAAGATATTTAATCTAGTTGTTGAAAGCTGTATATACAACATTCTCAAACCAGCTCAAAGCAACCGAAGCACTTCGGACCCCGCGCGCACCGCAAATGTCATCAAATCCCCCACATCAAGAACGCCATCTCTCCAAAACCCCATCAAGCCAACCACGTAAACAAGACCATCCATCTCACGACGACGCCTGCTTAATCACCAAAAGAGCATGCTGCTCCGTCTTTTCCGGCAGCGTGAGCTCGAACTTCCCCGCGTACTCCAGACAGAACGCCACAAGCCCGGGACACATGTGCCTCGACCCCGCGTACGACCGGCCGTTGTAGTCCAGCCCCTCGAGCTCGTAAAAGTAGGCCTCGTTGATCTCGAAGAACTGGTGCACCACCGCCTCCGTCGGCGTCTGCCGCGCCCTGAAAAACACCCACGCCACGCAGATCTTGAGGACCGCCGCGCCGCCCTTGGTCTTGACCACCTTCGGATCCGACGACGGCGGAGGCGGCGGCGGCATCGACTCGCTCGCGCTCGTATCACCGGCAGCAGCAGCAGCCGCCGCGCCCTCGGCAGGGTCTTTGAGAATGGAGTCGAGGCGCGAGGGCATCACGCGCACCGCGGACACGGGGGCCGGGAACAGCTTTGTCCGCTCCTTCTCCAGGTCCGGGTGGTCGATGAGCTGGAGGTCGTATAGGGCGAGCAGCTCCTGGAAGCGCTCCATGATGACTTTGACGGGGAGACGCTGTTGGCGGATCGACTCCGTCGCCGCCTCGCGGTACTCCTTCATCATCTTCCGCGCAACATCCTTGTCGGTCACGGAGCGGAGCACCTCGTCGCGGTACTTGCGCTGCAGGTAGGCGATGAGCACGGCGACGGAGCGGGAGCGGCCCGATTTGCAGTGGATGAGGATGTTCCTGTCCTGCCCGGAGTGTTCCCGGATGAAGGCGCTCGTCTCGTCGAAATGCTCGATCAGATTCGAGTTGGCGTTGTCCTCGAGGGGGATGATGAGCGGGTGTTCGACCACGCTCTCGATCCCTCCGCCCTCTTCGCGGAAGAACCTCCTCAGCCCCGCGCCGGCGTCCTTCTGGTCCCAGGCCAGCGAGTCCTTTGGGTGGATGGTGATGACGGCGCGAATGTTGCGCTGACGGAGAACGTCCTCGTTGAGGGCGTGGTTCATGCCGCCGATGTAGATACGGCCCGGCCCCGTGAGGTCCGGGTGCTTGATCTCGGACATTTGGGTGTCGTCGTTTCGTGTCCATGCCCTGATCTCGTCCCAAAAGGGTTGGTGGAGGAAGGCGAGCGTGGGTTCGTCTTGAAGATTGTCGAGGGCCTTGTAGGAGGTCGGCTCGTGGGCGCTGTTGATGGAGAAGAGGTCGCTCCATTTTGTTGAATGGGGCTGGTTGGAATCCATGATTGGGGGACGGGATTGCAGGTGGAGGGGGGGAAAAGCCCGGATTTCCAGGAATTGGAGATGTCGTAAGGAGAGAGAGAGAGAGCAATGAGAAACGATTTCACGATAGTGGGTCTGGAGGGTGAGTCCTTGGAAAGTCTTGGGCTGTGTCGTGAAGCTTCAAAATGCGAGTAATTGGAATTTCAGTCAGCGAGAATGACGTGTTAGAAGCTGATTGGTTTGGCAGACAGGCTGACATGAAAACCGAAGAATGGCCATGTCGACCTCGAACGGATTCGGACGGCTGCGTATTTATCGACTCTACGCCCTCATCGCGAGCAGTGAACAGTCGCGAGCGCTTTCAAAGGGCGCTTTTGTTCGAAATTGTCTACCGCAGGGGAGGGTAGAGGTGGTGAGGTCCCAAGTATTACACCCCATTGGCCAACTCACCTAGGTGAGGGTCGATTGGATTCGACTTCATTGGTTGGCGTCTGGGACCTTGAACCCCGCACTCGACTTGGCGACAAGCTCGGTGCCGTCGCAGGGTGCCGAGGTATGTCATTCATTATCCGTTCTTACTCACGTCATGAATGTCGCATCCCCATCGAGCCTATCTCGCATCCATTTTCAACACCAATCACTGGAGGACCACCTTAAAAGTCATCACCTTAGTCTAATAAATTCGAAAAGTCCAATATCCTACCAATTGGTCGCGATACCGTCAGGATGGCTTCAGCTAAAGAGGAGAAAAACATAGTGTTGTATCACTACTCCACCTCGCCATACGCGCGAAGAATCGGATGGTACTTGGCTCTCAGAGGCATCCCCTACGTGCAATGCGTAAGTACCTTTACCGATTACTGAGCGAACACCATTGTTAACACGGCCTCAGATACAACCTCCGGTGATGCCCCGGCCCGACGTCGCCAAGCTCGGCGTCGTGCACCGGCGCATCCCGATCCTCTCCATCGGCCGCGACGTCTACCTCGACACGCGCCTGATGCTCCGCAAGCTCGAGTCCATCTACCCCTCGCGTCCGCGCCTGGGCGCCTCGGGGCCCGACCAAGCCGCGCTCGAGCGCCTCCTCGAGGTCCTCGCCATCGACGGCGGCGTCTTCCGCGTCGCCATGAACGTGCTCCCCACCGACCTGCCCATGTTGAAGGACCCGGCCTGGTTCAAGGACCGCAGCGGCTACGCGGGGGCGCCGCTCTCGGCGGAGGTGCTGCAGCGCAACAAGCCGCAGGCCGTCAACGAGATTCGCCGCAACATGGAGTTGCTCGAGAAGACCTTGCTGGCCGACGGGCGCGACTGGGTGCTTAAAACGGACGGCCCGGGGCTGGCGGATATTGAAGCTGTTTGGTTGCTGCATTGGCTCACGGGCATTCCAAAGGCCCTCCCGGAGGATCACATCTCGGCGGAAAAGTTCCCCAAGGTGTACGCGTGGATTGCGCGGTTCCAGAAAGCCGTATCAGCTGCGAAGAAGGCGGCGCCGAAAGTTGAGACGGTGTCCGGGGACAAGGCGGCGGATACCATCGTCTCATCGCCGTACAATGAGCCCGAAGGACAAGTTGACCCGAATGACGCGCTCGTGATTGCCGAGGGCCTCAAGGCGGGGGACGCTGTGATCGTCTGGCCTACCGACACGGGTGCCACGTACAAGGATTCGGGCAAGCTGGTGAGCGTCAATGGCGACGAGGTTGTGATTCAAGTCAATGGAGAGAAGGGCTCGGTAAGAGTTCACGCTCCGAGACATGGCTTCCGGGTGGAGAAGCTGGACAGGTTCAAGGAACGTAAAAGCCCCACCAAGTTGTAAACCTCCGAACCGCACTTACGGCACGGAGGCCACGAAACATGCGATAGCGTCTGAAGCCACTCATTCCGACTCTTCGGACGGAGCGAGGGCGACCGAATTCTTCACTCAAGTTATGTTGTCTACGCCGCAGACTGAGAGCATGCCGTGGGCACCCACGCGCACACGTGATGGTATCAAAACGGATCCTAGTCCTCTCCATCGAGAATTCAGAGTCCATCTCGATTCGCTGAACGGCTTGGGAATGTGATCAACGACGTGTGGGAAACATTCAGATGCGAAACCAGCATGATTGCAAAGTATAAAAGTAAAACATCAGAGAATTGCCAACGCCTTTTGCGTGGTCGACAACGTCGAGCTGTTTGCGGCGAATGAACTACGTCGTCCACATAGACAATCCACACGGGAAAGCCCCGTAGGATCGCCAGCTTCTTGTTGATGCGGTGGCTGGCGCAGCTGAGGTCCCAACATGCTTAACCCAAGTCGTCGGGTGAAACCTCATAGCTGCGATTAGCGACAAGCAGCTATCCCAGGCCGGAGTTATACGTGCAGCGGCAATGCCACGCGACGAAAACCTGGGTCTTGACGCCGGTCCGGCATCGACTCCGATGCAAGATCCAGAAACGATGGAGTGTGTGGATGGCCACGATCAACGACATACCGGGCAATTTACTGCTGCCGCGGCGAACGAGATGGGGGGCAGCACAAGGACTGGACAGGCAAGAGATCGCCGCGGCCGCGAAGGGACGTGCTGGTGGTGCGGGATATCTAGCTGATCGGGCGAAATTTGAGTCTGATCGAAGATGGGATACCAGGTAGCGAATGTGAAGAATGCCGATGAGCAACTATCGGACGAGATACTCCGTGAGAACCTGGATTGTAGATGAGGCTTAAAGAGACTCTTGTGGCGCTAACCTGAGAAGATGGCCACCGAGTTACGCGCCGAGAGCAGCAATGGGCCAAAGTTGGGGCGCGCCGGTGTACCAGGCATTATTAAGCATGGTTCAATCGGCCCAACATAGAGATCGATATTGAGATATCGAGCAAGGCGGTATCGTGGATGGACTTTGCCTATGCGGATTCTAGACCAGCCGTCGCAACCAAGGGACGAAGAAAAAAAAGCGTCGATCCGTCATTGTTCCGTCAGTATGCTGCAGAAAGAGATTGTTTGCTCAAAACCAAAGACAGCTCCGTTGGGGCCAAGTCACCGTATCGCGCCGCCGGGGGGTGTGCCATCTTGGTGAGCAGGGACATGGTCGAACAGCTGCCCATACAGTGCGTCGCGACGCGGTCGCGAAATGCAAACTTTGAGCACAGTGCGTAGCCAAATAGGCCAAGTGGTGCGGGAAGCAGAGAGACGGCGCTGCATGTTGCAGGGTTGTTCTCCGGGTCTAGTGCGTCATAAGACGGTAAACGACCAGCAGGTAACTCTGCTCCGGGAATACGTACCCGTTGTTGACGTGACTCTGTCGCTGCCGCTGCCGCTGCCGCTGCGTTGCCAACTGCGAAGCAGAGAAGCAATATCTCACAGCGAGTGGTGGATCAACTCGTTTGCAACGGGTCACCTCAGGGAACGTCCGCAGAAAACCCGCTCGCGGTCGTTATAAACGGGGCTCGTCAAGATCGCAAACCATCGTCGATGGGATGCGGTCCCAAGACTTGGGGCAATCCTCCGTCCGGCGCGGCTGGACCATCCGGTGACTGGAGAAGAACCGTCAAGTTTTGGGTTTGTTCACTGTCTGGCCTTGCCTCGTCCACAATGCGATGCATGCGATGTTGTACCACACCTCCAGCTGCATCCTCCGACGGGGCCGGACGGCCAGTCGCGAGCGAGAAGTTGTGGTATACTTCGCTTCACTTGGTAGTGTTGCTGAACCACAGAGGCATCTCATTCGCCAGCACTTTGGAGAAACATAATTACGTCATGCTCAGTGACGCCACCAGTGTCGTGAGAAAAAAAAGCTGAAAAGTATCGGGACAGTGCGCCCCCTTTTCCAACAAAACATTGGCCCAAGCCAGGCTCGAGAGCGCTTTTGGTGCCGTTTTCGAGAACTCTATCAAGCTTCCGTCCCAAACTAAAAACAGACCATATCAGTAAAACCGTGACGTAATGCGTGTCTGAAAGAATGAGCCCATCCATCGTCGCACGCCCGCCTGCCGCTGTGGACGATGCTGACATACGTGGGATGCCGCGACACGGGTGCCGAGACTGGTACTTGTAGACGGACAACAAGTGCGAGGCGCCGGAATCGAGTGAAATCGAGCTGCAACAGCTGACTGAAAGTTGATAAGCGCAAGAGTCTGCGAGTATGGAAAACGGCTTCGGTGAGAATCTCGTCTGGATCTTCTCCGTGCCTGGTGTTCCAAACTTCCAAGGGACTTATTGATGAACGTGGCCCTACTTGTGCTAGCGCTGTGACGCAATTTGTTGGAATCGGCAGCCGCCCAGTCAGAGGGCTGCGACTCGATGCCGGGACTCCCTGACCAAGTCGTCTTCATCGCGAGTCCCTATTGGAGATTGAAGGTAGTAATTTGCCACTCCAACTGCCAGCCGTTCAGATACTCGAGGTTTGCCGGCCATCCCTCGCTCGCGTCGGCCAATACTGGGTCATGTATCTGTAGACGCGGATTAGAAATCCGCAAGAGCACGGTTGCCACGAGCCGGTACGGATAGTGTAGTCTCCAGATAGGTTTCGCGTGGCCGCCGGCTTGTCGAAAGCAGTCGAAACGAAGCCTCAAGATATTCCGCACAGTCGAAAGCTGCACTGTCTGGGAGAGTCCAGATCGTGATGGGGGAGGGGACGACCATTGCTCGGAAAGAGCAGTTGTTCGTGTCGATCAGTACACCGTGACGCTTTTTTTGGTGGACAGATTCCTCCATGCAACTGGCGGCCGCATCCTTAGACACCCGGCAGGGCACACACGGTGCAGATGGTCCGATGGCGTTGACAGGTCTAGACTCGGGACAAGACAGGGTACGGCGGCGCGAGTTGTTGGGCATAAAAAAAACCCAGACGCTCTCGCTACCACGGCGGGCGGGACGAAGTTGAAGTAGTCAAGAAAGACGCGGCTCGGCGGATGATTATGAAGGGCCAAACTGTGGGTTATCGTGAGGTCTGCTAAGCGCCTCCATATTCGGAAAGGGCAGGGAAATAGGGGAAAAAAAAATACGGAGGAAAAAGGCAAATGAGAGAGCGACGGCAGGCGAGTTGCGATGATTGCGACTGGGAGAAAAGTGATGCAATCAATGCAGGGGTCGAGGACTTGAAGGGGTGGGCCACCGGATGGGGTCCGCAGCCACAGTAGAAAACGTTGGTCGCAGACACTGGCTGCTGCACCGCGGGGGGTGAAAGGACACCCTTGGAATTGCGTTCCAGTTTCCTAAGCGGCGCGCTGACCGAAAAATGATCCGTACACGTACAGTGCGATATAGGATTTTGGCCGACTCGCGAGGCAACGGTAACGGCATCGTACAGTGTGCCAGATTTCAGCCGAGGAAAAATAACGGGGAGGGTGCACGGTGATGAAAAAGGCCGAGGAGCGAACCTAGGCCAACCCAACGCGTCAAGCATGCACATCAAGACAATCCGCAGAAAATGCCAATAAGACGGCTGAAGTAGCGACGACCGAGGCAATACGACGGTAACGTAAGGTGCCTTACTGACCTTCTTCTTCAGCTGATAAATCAAAGATAGGGTGAAGGCGAAAGGCAAAAACAAGGGCGAGAAGAGAAGGTCGAGGAATGGCGCCAGGCTTCGGCAGACCGTCTACCGTCCCTCGCTTGACACAGGAAGATGGGATGAAGTTTGATGGTTAGGTATCCGTACCTTGACAGTTACCTCAGTCGTCCTTGCTGGTTGATAATACACCTACAGGAAGACAACGTCTCGTCTACCTCCTGGCGGGAGATAGCGACGTCAATTCGATGACGGCCAGGAAACCGAGGAGCAGTTGCGACAGACGGAACACCAAGCAAGAAAGACCATTACACTGATTATTATCGGTCAAAATACGTTCCTCTCATTGGTATCTTACTAGGCAGGTGTGGGGGAACCTTTCCTCATTCGTAAGCCGTCCACGAGTTGTCCCGGTCCACGTCCCAGGTTCAGTCAGCGCACAGTGCGGGAAACAAGACCCCACTTTTGACCCATCGTTTCTTCCTGCCGGGGAAGTTTCCCATTGTCCCCAGCAGGAAGGAGCGACGAGACGAGCAAAACCGACCTGCCGGCAGGTGCAAGAATGCCTTCCTACTGAAATACCTGGAAGGTATACACTTGTATCCTGGACAGGGGTGGACATGGTATTGTCGGAAAGGAAAGAAAAGAGAGAGAGGAAAAAAAGAGGGAAGGGCAAGAATGGTGGGCATGGGCGTGGATGATGGTCGGTTGTGGTGGGCGTGGACATGGACGGGGGAGGACTGGAGACGGGGGACATGGACATGGCCCAGTGGACGTGGATGGACGTGGGCGTCCCTGGTGTCAGAGTGAGCGCCGCCGCCCACCCATTTTCTTTTCTCTCGTGCGCCTTCGCCTTTTTTTTTTTAAGAATCGTCCTCCGCAACGTCATACTTGACCTGTGACGTCTGCCGTTTTTTTCCCAACATCCTACCTTTCGCAACGACTCGCTCTGCACTTGCGACCCCAACCTAGCACGTTCCCGCCGCCGGCGATACATCGCATACTGACAGAACCAAACTACGCAATCTTCCATTGCTTTGCTGGCCACAGAATCTGTCGATTTTCCCTTCCCCCCCTTCCCGTCTTTTCCTTTCCCACCACACGCGCTGTCGGCGATCTCGAGAAGAAACCTTCTCCATTCCTGCCAGTGCCGCTTCCAATTCAGAGGAGCGCTGCAATAGCGTAGCAGCTACCTCTGACCTTAGCATCTTCCATCTGCCTTTGGCGCACTGCTCTCTTCTATCCGCCTTGGGGTTTTTTTTGTCCCCCTTCGTCGTTTCCGCTCCATCTCACCTCTAAGCCTATCCTTCTGCGTGCCATCATCCTCTGACCTCATCTGGCTTTTTTACTACCACCACGCATCACCCTCCTCCTGCTACCGTCACTTTTTGCCTTTGGCGTCCACCCCACAAACGTCAACAACCCTCTTTTCCCCCAATATAATACATCATCGTCGTCATCATGGCCACTTCCACGACCGACGCCTCGACCGGGGGTGACACCAAATCCCCCAAACAGTCAAACAATACCACTCCGCCTCGTCAAGGTATGTTGACCATCTCGGTGACATTGTCGTGATTCACACCGACTTCGCCATCATTATCGTCGTCGTCGTCGTCGTCAAGTTCACTCGCTCACTTTTGCTGCAGATTCAGTCCCCGAAGTAAAGCAGCCCGACCCGAGTCTGAAGCCCGATGCCGACGGCGCGAAACCTCTTGGACCTCCCCCTCGACCCGGACAAGCAGCAGCTGGAGGCACTCCCGACTACTTCGGCGGCGCTGTCGCTGCGGCATCTCTCAGTCTGGAGCCCAATCCCTTCGAGCAGTCTTTCGGCGGCGGCGCGCCAGAGACACCCGGTGGTACGAAATTGCCATCGGTTGCTGCTCTGACTTCACCATCCTCATTGCTCCCCGGCAGCGGTGCGACTCCATTCAACTGGGGAGGCGGTTCGTTGCGAACTGGTCCCCTGAGTCCGGCCATGTTGTCTGGTCCTACGAATGATTACTTTAGCGATACGCACCATCTTCGCGGCGGATTCCCGACCCCGAACGAATCTTCGCTGAGGACGGGTTTGACACCAGGTGGCAGTGGTTCCATGTTCCCTGCTCCCAGCCCCAACTCTCAACAATTGTTTGCCCAACTCGCGAGCGGAGGTGCCACGCCCAGCACACTCGACTTTCACCGTACGGCGCTGAGTGCTGCTGCAACAGCAAAGCGTGAGAGTCAGAACCAAAATCAGAATCAAAACCAAAACGCGCCGCCGCAGTCTTCTGTCACCTCGCAACCACAGGATATGCCCAACGGCGCTCCACCTGTGAAGACAGAGCCCAAGGCCTTCGATCCGCATGACAACGACGCTGCCAACGGCCTGTTCATGCTTGCTCAGGGTCGGAACGGCACACAACCTCAAGGATACGCGGCTACATCACAGCCGCCAACTCAAAACCAGCCTGCAGCGGCCCCTGTGCAGCCAGTGGACACGTCCCCTCAGATGGGTAGCGTCAACGGCGCTGGCTCTGCTGGTGCTGGGTCTTCTGTCAGAGGCGTGAGCGAAGGTGGAAGCGCTGCTTCGGAAGACAGCGAACAAGCCCGACCAAGTACCAGAGGCAAGGGTAAGCGCAACTCAACCGGAGGCGCCGTCACCAACGGCCGAAGGAAGGCAGAGGAACCCCCCGCCAAGGCGCCTCCCAGCAAGAAAGTGAAGACCAACGCCTCGCCCCCACCTGATATGATGGGTGACGAAAGTCACTCTGACGACGACGACAATATGAAGCACGATGATAAAGAAGGTGGATCCAAATCTAAGATGACAGATGAGGAGAAGCGAAAGAACTTCCTGGAGCGTAACAGGTATGTCCTTATCAGATCAACGGCCTGTGTAATCGGACAGAGCTAACCTTACTCCCAGAGTTGCGGCGTTGAAGTGTCGTCAGCGCAAGAAGCAGTGGCTGGCTAACCTCCAGTCTAAGGTGGAATTGTTCAGTAGTGAGAATGACGCTCTCACTGCCCAAATAACGCAGCTGAGAGAGGAAGTTGTCAACCTAAAGACACTACTCTTGGCGCACAAGGACTGCCCCGTTACGCAGCAGCAGGGGCTTCATGGAGCCTTCATGCAGCAAGCCATGGAACCTTTCAACCCCCAAATGAACCCTTACGGCATGGCTGCGCCTATCCCTCAGCAGCAGGTTCTCGCTGCCGGACAGGGTGTCCAGAGACGCTTCTCGTAGGCCGGAGACGCTTCTCATGGACCGTCTTAGCGGCCCGACGAAATAAAGTTGGCCTTGACGCACGGCACTCAGTTCAGCTCTTGTCGCTGGGAGCACATACGACTTGTGCGACGTCTTCGTTTCTTCGGCTTAGCCTTGGCTTACGGTTCTACTGTACCATCATTTTATTTTTCGACAAACATGCTCCACCAACACGACTCGACTTCTACGATTTGATCATGAGGTTTTACTGGGGAACGGGCTGTGTAGTAATAGGATCAGCCCTCCTTGGGTTGCAGGCGGCGTCATTGGCTTGTCGATATTGCATCTTCTCCTTTATTGAAAGGCTTATGATGCGAGGCACATACATCAAAAGGAGTTCCGGTTGGGAGATTTCATTGAACGGAGGTTGGCGTCGAGGGGCAGATGACAGGCAAACGCCAATGTCTGCCGGTTGTTTGGTTTTGGCTTTAACTCTTTATTTTCGTAGCAGCACAACAAGAACTGCATAAACGGCAATGTCTTGAAATCGACGAAATTTGACTGTACTCGCTGTGATCCAACTGATGTGCTGTGTTTCATGCAATATCGTGACTGCCAAACGCTTCTCAGTGCGGTAGGGAAAGAATTACCGGGCAGTATCTACCTATGCGGGTCATGAGGCGAATTTGGATAACAGTGGAAGGGGCCATCATGGGTGGTTAATTTGGCAGGAGCAAGGTGATGTTAGTGAGGTGGTCGTGACCCTGCAGCTGTGAGTGGCTGATGGGCACTTCCCAAAATGGCTTAGCGCGACTACTCGGGTAAATCGTTGCTCATGTAAACAACATCGCAGTCCAAGCTGGGCTTCGTCACTTTCGCGCCGCCAACACCGACAAACGCGACACCGACCACGGAACCCCGCCAACTGAATAATCGACCAACCCTCAACCATCCACGACGACACATTCTTCATCGTTGCACGTCGCGTTTTGCGCGCCGATTGACGCGATTTTCGCTGCATTAGCAGCGCGACTTGCGGATCCCCAGAGACACCGGCAGCTACGTCCCGACCACATGCTCCCTGAAACGCGCCTTCCATGACGACCGTGATTCGAACTCGCAAACCGCTAGAATCCATTAGCATGAGCAACGAACTGCCAGAGAGAAGGAAAAGCAAGCGCCTTGCGTGTGAGTTCGAGCAGGATGATGGGCCAGGGGAAGCGGGGCGGACGGTGATGCTAAAATCTCGCGCAGCGACCTACGACGAGCACGATGGCGATTTTCACTTCTCACGCGGTTCGAAGTCGAAGCGTGCTAAAAATGCGCAACCCGAGCCGGAGCCCGAACCAGAACCAGAACCCGAAACCGCACCGTTGCCGGTCAAAAAGTCGGGAAGAGGAAGACCGCCAAAGGCACGCGCCTCGACGACAGCGGCGCCTGAGCCAACACCCGTGAAAGAACCGACCGTTAAAAAGGCAGCGGCCTCTTCGAAGGGCAAGACGCGACGGACAGCGAATTTGGAGGTTGTCGAGGAGGATGAGCCGCAATTGGTTGCGCCTGCGCCTGCGCCTGCGCCTAAGCGGTCAACGCGCCGGAGTACGCGCAATTCGACGCACACAACAGAGCAGGAGCAAAAGCCGATACCCAGGCGTGCATCCAGGCCAGCACCCAGACCAGCGCCTATACCTGATGAAAGCCACGACGATGTGGAGATGTCAGAACCGATGGACGTCGATAGGCGGTCTTCACCACGCATCTTGAATGATTCGGTCGAGTCAGCAAAGATTGCGCTTCCAGTCAGCGACACGCCGGTGATTAACCGCAACAAAGAGATGAGGAAGAAGGGCGGAGGTAACCGCCGAAGCAGTACTGGTATGCGGGGCCGCAGGGCAAGCTCACTCATCGAGAGCGGTCACAACGCGATACCTCATCGAGAGGTCGCAACGGCGGAGTTCTACAAGCACATCGAGTCGGAGGGTCTTATGGAGCCGCGGCGAATGAAGCAGCTGTTGACGTGGTGCGGTGAGAGGGCGCTGTCAGAGAAGCCACCGCACGGGAAGACAGGTTCCAATGCGGTTCTGGGTGGTGAGTCGAGTCAACACCTTGAATATGACGCGCAGACGCTGATTTTTCACAGCTCGGTATATTCAAGAGCAGCTCCTGAAAGACTTCTCCTCCAAGTCAGAATTTTCGGACTGGTTTAGTCGAGAAGAGGGTCCGAGAGCACCCGTGGTGTACAAGCCCAACCCACGCAATATTGAACACCAAGAGAAGATTGAGCAGTTAGAGGCGAAGGTTAAGAGGTACGCTTACTTCATTGCTAGAGTTCCCAAGTTGATTGCTGACTCTCTACAGATTGAAAGAAGAAAAGAAGAAATGGTTGGCGCTGAAGAAGTCCCGCACAGAAGCTCCGCCGCTGTTCCCAGAAACAGATCCTGCACAAACAGAGAGAGCGGACGCTTCAGTACTCGACCCCAACGAGGCGCAGATGCTTAGCTTCATCACAAATCCCTCCTCCTCATTCGACTCTGTCCGTTCGAAGGCGCTTTCCAGCCTACAGACCATGCAGTCAACCCTTGAGTTCAAGGTGGACCAACTCGCAGACGGCATTCACAAGCTTTCGCAGCGGGTTGACACGGCAGGCCGAGAGGCGGATAAGGTCCTTTCCCTCAGCGCCGCGCGACTTAAGGAACGAGAGACGCGAGAGAAGGCCACCGCCGGCACCAAAGAGATGCCCGTCATGGAAGTGCTCCGCAGTCTAGGGAGGATATTGCCAGAGGGCGGAGGCTGAGAGGATGGGGAAGCAAAATTCATAATGTCTACAACGATCGACTAAGCCCGTGTCCCCTTTTTTATTCTTATGACGAGATCATGATTTGCACGGCGGCAGATGCGGGCGGCTGAGGCGAGGGAGGGAGGATCCTTCTTCAACCTCTTATTCATTATTTGCTCACGAAACGTTTCTTATGGGGGGTGGCGGAGATGAAGTAGCAGACGGACATGTTTTCTTCTGCATGGTTTTATTTGCAGCATGGACAGGGCGCACTGGAACGGCGGGTGACGTTTTCTCTTGTGAACCCAAACCAGGGTTGGGGTTGGGGTTAGAGAGCGCCTCAACGGAGACGGAGACAGATTGCATCTGGGACCATGGGGAGTTTGCAACTGAACAATACCCAATATTTTATTCTTCGTTTACTCGCTTTGGGGGGTCGGCATTCCCATGTATGCTAGGTAGGCCTCGAGTTTCAAATGAGTTGTGACTTTGGCATCGTGTCCTCGCTTTACCGGTGTCCACTGCTCAAATGTTCACCAAGACCGCAAATCCTACACACGGTTCTAAGGCTTGTCTCCGATTGCGAATATTTCATATCCGAACGCTTGAACTATCTCCGAATTCTGTAGCTTCATTCTTACCCGACTTTCACAGCCGTTGTCGTCGATCGGATCAGACCCTCGCGGCGGCGGGGTGACGGACATCTTCGTTTGGAGATCGGGAAAAGGAAAAGGTGTGCACTGTGTCATATGCACTGTACTCTTTTGGACGACAGCCCAGGACGACAGACGCCGAAAATCCTTGAGGTATCTGAGAGGTTTCTTTCGAATCGACGTCGGGTTTAGTCTGTTTCACGATGTCACTTCTCGAGCCAATCACTTCGGAACCGGGGAGAAGACGGATGCCGACTTTTACAATACATTGCGCGTAGACTCTTAGGTAGGGAGGGAGGGGGAGGGGGCTGTGTGAGGAATTATCCAGGGGTGGGTTACGGTCATGAGATTGGAATCGTTGACGTAGACGAACTACCGTACGAAATCGATTCAACAGACAGACCACAGAGGCGAACCCGGACTTCGCCTCGTCTTGTCTTTCTTCACTTCTTCCCCTGATCATGTACCCCGAGGTGGAGACCGAGTTCGGGCTGGGCCGAACGGTGGGTGGGTTGTGCACACAACGGGGGGGCCGGATGCCGGTCCGGGATGGCCACTTGTGGGAAGCTCAGGGACCGGACCCTGAACCGATCTTGCACGGGCTTTGCGAGGGTTGAAGACCACCTGCTGGCTGCTGGCCAGTTGGCAATATCTTAACTGGCAATGAATGTGCCTTTCACCGAACGCGAGAACCATGGTTTAGGCAGGGCGACTATGTGTAGGTACGTGTCCGTTATCATTCATGACTTTTTCAAAATGGTGACAGTGGTATGTATACACTACAACACACTCGGAAACCTCCGAGGTGGAGTGACGCTTTTTTCTAAGCATCGCAAAGCCATCATCATTTCACCATCCGCGCCCCAGAAAAGCGCAGATATTCTTCTGTTGAAAACTCGTGGTTGGATTGTTTCGTTCGCAAGCTGCGCATGACTTGCCATTCCTGCCTCCGCGGGTCGGGAACTAGATAAGGTGCTTGGATCTGTTTGTCGAATTCACTCTCGTCAGCATTTCGTTTCTCGCAGAGTACACGCACGGAAAGAGGCTTTCACACAAGCACGGGTGACTACTGACCTGAAGTACGCGCGCAGGTACATGATCTGCCACCCCCAGAGGCCGACGAGGATCATGGTGGTGCCGATGCCGAACCACTTGACGCGGGTGTTTGTGCTCTCGTTGGTGTCGCGGAGCTTGTGCTCGCGGGCGCGCAGGTAGTCCATCTCGGTGTTGATCTCGGAGACGAGCTCGTCGATGCGCCTCAGCTCGGCCTCGACGGGCTTGAGCTTCTCCGTGGCCTGGATGGCGTTCCAGTCCTTTGCGTCGGCGCCGATGTCGATGTCGAGCTCGATGTGGCGGCTCGTGGAGCCGCTGCGGCCGGCTATCGTTCGGTGCGTGTTAGCTTTTGTTCTTGTTCTTTCTCTCCTGTCGAGTTGGACGACAGGGTCGTGCGATCGGTGGGCGACTTACAGCCGGACAGGAGGTTCTCGAAGCAGACGTCGAAGGCGGCGTCGGCGTGGGAGGTGAAGACGACACGCTTCTCGCCGCCCGCGATGTCCTTGGGCTTTCCGTAGTCGTTGCCGACGGCATCTCTGATCTGCACAGCGAAACAAACGTCCTTGTCAGCTTTCTTCCGAGTCTCAACCCAGCGCTTCAATCTTTCCCATCCCATCTCTCTTCTCTCTTTCTTCGACTCCCAGGGGTACTTCTGAAAGACCACGTACGTGCATGTTGACGATCATGCCGTCACCCTTGTGCCCGTCGACGGTCGCCGTGACGACGACGAGGGTATCCCGAGCGACAAAGTTGCGGATGCAGCGCTCTTTCTTGCCCTCGTGGGAGCCCGTGGCGTGCAGGTCGAACCTCAGCGCCTGGGCGCAGCATGCGAGCAGGACGAGGCCGCACACGTAGTGCAGCAATGATCTCGTGGGCGCCATCTTTACGAAGCTGTGGGTGGGAGTTCGTACTCGATCAATCGGTCGGGCGGGAGCGGAGAACGGAGGGTGATCTTGGGGAATTCGTGTCGTCGTTAGGTGGTTGAGAGAGCTCCCTTGAGGGGGGGGACGAACGACGACGCTGGCGATAGGAGAGGCTAGGCTGGGATAATAGCTACCACCTGGAACCACGTTTGGGGATTTTTTGGCAATCTGTCGCGTTCGAAAGCCTGGGCCACTCAAGCCACCCCACACCCCATGTCCCTGGACACCTTGAAGATCCGGCCAATCACGACTCATAAGAGGGGCAGCCTCGTCTGGTCTTAGAACATGCATGATTGGCCAGCCTCGCAGCTTTTTTTCTGAGAGGTGTGGCGTCGACGGCGCGCTGCCTGCCTGGCACCCTAGCTATCATATCCAGTCCTTTCTCGAATGCGACGACACACCTCGACGCGCTCGTTCGAGGAACAATACTTTTGTCACCTCCGCACCACCACCGTCGAGTCCCTCCACAACTGATACCCAAACCGACAAGATGCCCAAGTGTGAGTGACAACTCCCTCCCGTTACCAGAAGGAAAAGCTAACAAGCCCGCGCGCAGTCTTTTGTACGTTTCCTCCCGAATCCGACGCAATTCGATCGAAACCCCGCGATGGCGAAAAGCCAAACGCTCAGTCCGACTAACGAATGCTTTTTCTCTGTTTATAGGCGATTACTGCGATGTCTACCTGACGCACGACTCGATGAGCGTGCGGAAGGCGCACAACAGCGGTCGAAACCACCTGCGCAACGTCGTCGATTACTACCAACGTACGTCGAGAAAACCTTTGGGGAGGGATTACTCCATGATGTTGAAGGAAAGGAAAAGAAGAGAGAGAGCAAAACATGACTGACACGATGTGTGCGCGCGCAGAAATCGGCCACGAAAAGGCACAGTCCGTCATCGACTCCATCACCTCCTCCTACGCCGCCGAAGGCCAAGCGCACAACAATCCGATGCTGCCGCAGAACCAACCAGGCCAGGCCTTCCCGCCGCCGTTCCCCTTCCCCGGAGGTACGCTCATCTTCCCCGATACTTCGTCAGAGACGTGATACTGACGCGGATAAAACGCAGGTGTACCCCCTCCCTTCCCCGGCATGCCCGCCGGCGCGCCTCCGTTCCCCCAGGGCATGATGCCTCGTAAGTCTCACTCACCCCGGTCGGCAAACCCCAGCAACCCGACTAACATGATGAACACAGCTCCTGGCCAGGGTGGTCGCGGAATGCCGCCTATGCCCCCGTTCCCGCCTGGTCCCAACGGCTCGCCCATGCCTCCGGGCGGCCTTCCCTTCCCTCCCCCCGGAGGTCTTCCCGCCGGTCTCCCCTTCCCGCCCCCAGGAGCGCCAGGCTCGCTGCCCCCTCCCAACTTCCAGTTCCCTGGTATGCCGCCACCGGGCGCGGGTGGCTTCCCCGGAGGTCCTCCCCCTGGCGCGTTCCCGCCTGGTAGCGCGCCTCCGGGTCAGGACAAGCGGTAAAGAGGGGAGAGAGCTTGCATTTTCCTCGCGCAGATGGGCTGGTATGTTCTTGTAATGGTAGAGGGCTGGTGTTCAGGCGTCAATCAAAGGGGGCAAAATTCATGGCACGGCACGGTAGATGACTATTCAATACCAAATCACGGCAAATTCTCGTTGCAGAAGAGGTACAATACACGCAGGAGCGCCGAAGGGTTCATCGCCCTCGCAAAATGGTATCTTCATCGGCAATTTCTATATGATACAATAGCCGTGGTTCCAGCATTCCCGTGACAAGCCATGCCTGCCCCAAGGCCCCAAAACCCCAGCCAGGTCATCATGGTCATCGCGAGGTCCGAAAAACAAGTCCGCCCGAGAGTCTCCCCCTAGTTCCGTGAAGGAAACAATGTTTAGTCGTAAAGTCCTGTAGTCGTAATGATGTCATAGCAGTCGTAACTTCCCCCGTTCCTCCTAGCACCCGATGGTGCTGTCATGGTAGTATTATGTGTAGTTGCCCCCTAAAACGTACGGTGGGTGGCTGATGATGTCGTTCAAAAGTTGGTCGACGGAGAGGGCGTCTGTTGGTGCGTTTGTTGGTGGGCCTCGCGATAAGTATTGCGGCGGATCACGTCGCCCACGCCATCTCTCACTTCTCGCGGGCCGCTGATCTTCTGGCGCAACTCTTGTGTCCGCTTTTCACGCTTGCGCTCGTTGAGTTGCCGGGGAATGTTCTGCAATCCTTCCAAAGTGCCGGACAATGAAAACCGTCTCTTCCTCTTCGGAGCGGCTTCGTCCCTTGGAAAGTATCGTTCCTCGTTATCCCTTGTGTCGTTCTGATCTCGAAGAGAATCCAAACTGCTCCGGCGTCTCATAACACGCAGACTGCCACTGTCTGTTCGGCGGATTGTCCGTCTCTCTGGCTCGGTAGGAGTCGGTGGAGAGTACGAAATTTCCTCGTCACGGCTGGGTAGTATAGCAAAAGTCTTCTTCACGCGTTCGCTGATCCTTCTGCGCGGGCTCGGTCGGTTGTCGATTGGAGGATATCGGTAGACCTGGCTGCCAGGTTCGTCCTCCATCTCTCTCTCCCAGGCATCATCTTCCGGATCAGAGTAGGCAGGGCGCCAGTGAGGATGAAGCCGGTCGTCCTCCGGAGGAGGCTCTTGGCATTCGGGGCAAAGGCATGGTGCATCCTCGAAAGATTCTTCCTTGTGAGATGATTTGGAAAGCGATCCTCTTCTTGTAAGAGACAGAGTCCTTGTGAGAAGTCCAGGTCTGGCGCTCTTCGGCGGATGAGTCTCCGAGTTCCTCCGCCGAGACAACCTTCGCACGATAGACATTGTTCGCCGGGGCTCCTCATCTTCCATAGCCTCAAAATAGTTGCCCATGTTGCGCTGTCTCTCGTGGTTAGGCGTCAAGCCGGATGGTGTTGCAGGAATGAACTGGATGGCGGGAGGGATGAAAGGAGGCACGGGGGGCGCCGCACGAGGATTGCGCAGAGGAGAGTCAACGTCGTCCATAGAACGCTGCCCTTGAGGGGGCGTGACAGGTCCTTCGCCGTCTGGTCCAGTGGTCGTGATCGTAGGTCGCTGAGGCGCCTTCAAGAGGTCCGGGTCTGTTTGAGATGATACTGAGCTCTCCGATGGCTTGGTCGAGTGGTTCACAACAAGAACAGAGGAATTCTGGTGCGGGTACAGGCTCACAGCCTTTGCTTCAGATACCTCGTGGGTAGTGCCGTTGGTCTCCACCGAAGCCGCAGAAAAGGGGGTGTTATGTGCGTCCAATCGTTTGCCAAAGAATGGATCACCGTGTCCGTCAACGTTGAGTTTGTGGTCCCGGTGCCGGTGGCTATTGTCAGTCGACGAGGATGTTGCCCTCTGAAGGGTCAGGGCGGGTGCTCTCATTTCATGTCCAGATGATTGGTTGAACAGAGCGCTTTGAGCCTTTACGCTCTCTGCAGTGAGGGAGCCTGCACGAGAGGTGTTGCGACTGGTCGGTGCGGAAAGGGAAGAAGACCGCTTCGGGATAACCGGAGGGTAGTCGATTGTTCGTTGATCAGAGCCATCCGACTCTGACATGGTCCGACTTCTTCGGCCGGGCCGATCGAAGATAGGGGTTGGCAGATCATGAGTCGTCCTCGACCCATTAGCACGAGTTGTCGAATTCAAACTCGCGCTTCGCTTTGATCGGCGACTGCTGGTAGACCTGAGCGACGGCTCCCTGCTGGACTTTGACGATCGGCGATCCGGGACCACTACCACTGGAATACCGCCGTTCTTCCAAATTTCCCGACGAGCCCTGCCGCTCGAGATCGAGTTGAATGTCGTGTTCGACGCGTAACTGTTGTTGCGACTTTCCGTGGGGCGGACCAACGGCCTTGAGCGTCTCGGCGAATCGTCGAACTGCAAAGATGAGTTTGCGGCAGAGCTAGCAGGAGACTGGTCGGAGCAGGAATCCCTCAGTGTACCTTGCTTCCGCACATGCCTCAACGTCTGTCGCCTCTGGGGGATAGCGGGAGCGTCAACCAATATTGCCTCCACAATTGTTGATGCGTTGGATCTGGTAGATTTGGCGGACATGCCTGAGAGCCTGCGAGAATCTGCGTTGACTGATGTCTCCGAAGTTGAACGATTCTGCCAAGCAATTTCACTGGGCGCATAAAACGCAGCTCGATCATGACGAGACATGGCGCGAACCGCCTTTGCGGCGTTTGTAGGTGTTACGACACGATCCTCGACAATTTCAACTTTGCGGCGTGGCCCTCTGCGTCGCACCGGGTTTTCGTGCCCCGTCTCTGACGCTTTCTCGGGTTCCTTGCGGCGTCTCTTCCTGATTGTGACGCTTCTGCCCAAATTATCGTCCCACTCTTGCTCAACTTCTTTGTCCAAGACCCATTCCCCGTCAAAAGCGGCGAAGTCGCCCTTTGCTTTTGGTGTCGGAACGTCCTCCGGAGGAGACTCAAGACCTAAACCAAGACCGACTGGAGGAGGCGTTTTTGCTTTGGATTCGGAAACCCGTCGAACAGTGTTCTGAGATGTTCGCGCCGACAGCACGTCAGGCCTAACAGTCGACTGCAGATCTTCTTCATCAACTTCCTCGGAAGAGTATGGGTCTTCTCTGGCGGTCCTGAAAGATTCGGCTCGCGACTCGGCGGTGGTAGCTTTCGAGACTGTGCGGTCCATCGGAATCGGTCGAACCACCTTAGGTCTCGTCACAGGCTGGGGAGGCGTTACGTCCGGAGTGGGGGGGCTCTTCTGGTTTGGAGGAGTCGCGAGCGCACGCGTTGGAGTGGTTGGTGTTTGCGACACAGTTTCGTCGGGGGCTGGGCTCGGGGTTGGGATTGAGTGACTGCTGGAAGAGGTTCGTGAATGTGAAGGCGGCGTAGGAGGCAGATCCGGGCCGCTGCTTATCCGTCGTGACTGATGTCTGAGCGTCTGTGAGCCGGTGCGTTGCGGCGCATCCAACTGGGAGGGTAAGTTGTTGATGAGCAGGTCATGTTTCCTGGGTGCTGATCGATCGTCGTAGGACCGCGTGTTTTCGGCTCGTCTCTTTGGGTGCGGAAGCACTTTGTGCTTTTTGAATGTTCTCTGCCCTCCCAGACCGCTGTCGGGAGAACCAAAGCTGTAATCGGCAGGTCGCGCCATGGTAGATGAGTGGTTCAAGTTCGCGGCGGCAGTCATTTCAGCAGGCGTCTATCGATGAGATACCGTCTCTAGACTGTCGAGGCATGCCAAGTACAAACACATGAACCTATCGCAGGTTATGATGCGGTGCAAGACTTTGAGTGGGCGAAGACCGTTTGCATGCTGGATAAAGGTTGAGGTTCATGGATGAGAATGAGTTTGGGTGGAAAGCGGCAGAGCACAAGAAGCTCAGGAAACAGCGAGAGCCGAAGGGCAAAGGGCGACAGTCGTTGTGGAGAGGGATATCGGGGTGAGGCGAAAATCTCAAGGATACGTGTGAGACATTGAAACAGAACGGCGTTGTTGGCGAATCGAGCCAGGGTCCAGTGCCAGACGCTTGGTGAAGATCACAGCGGTGACTGACGACAGGCGGGACGATGAGATGGAACACAAGAGTCCCAAGGTGGTTCGGACCAACACGACGAGGCGGACACGGGAGTGACTTGAGATGTAGAGATTTGGGTCGTTGAGGTGAATGAAGTGCTCTCTCAATAGACCGCCGTCGGGATGTAGGCGCGGAGACTTAACAGCAGACAGAGCAGGACTCGGTCGCGAGTTGGCGAAGACGTGGGATGCGATTCGATCGGGTTGAAAATCGCACAGACCGACGTAGGGAGGCAAGGAGACGAGACGGGACGAAAGGTGAGATTAAAGCTGAGAAGCGGCTGGCCTAGTGAAGGCAGGGGGAAAGGAGAGAAAGCAGCAATCCAGACGTGCTGCGATGCGGACGGACAGTGGCGCTATTTTGGTGCAGTACACGGCTCGATGAGGTTGAGACGATGTAGACGGACGGACAGATGAGAAGAATGACGGGAAGGATGATTGGCAGGGCGGGAAAGGGTCTGACGCAAAAAAAAAGGAACTCGCGGAGGAATGCGGTATGCGCGCCCTGGGGTTGGGTAAAGCGCGAAGGGAACAAGCAAGGAAGGGCGAGATGTCATGGGAACGTGGCAGAGGTAGGGAAGCAAGCTGATGATGAGGGCGAAGAAGGAGGGGCGCAATCGGTATTGGGTACATGGTAACTGCACACATATTACAGAGCACATCCAGGCCGGTGGGAATACGACCAGGTGAGGTCAGGAGTCACGGAGTCTTCTGCGAGGTGTTTCCCTACTGCGATAGCTGCAGAAAGTACCTCTTCCCTACCTTTACTCTGTATCCGTACATCACTCTTCCTGTCTCTCGTCTCTGAGTGTGGGGGCACCAGAAACGCCAAAGATCCGACCCGACGGCGCCGATGAATCGTGACCTTCAGGCAAGTCGACAGTGGATCTACCATAGTAGACGCGTCCTTGGCCAAGTTCAAGGCGCAAGTCTGACTGGCTGGGCGCTGGAACGGACCCCAAAAGCAAGGGCAAGAAAAAAAAGCGCCAAAAAAAGAGGAAGGAAGAAAAAGCAGGTGGCAGGAAAACGACCACCCAACTTACACTGCCTCACCGAGAAACGCACACGTAGGTACAGAGTATCCGTACGGATGCCACAACCCTCAACTGATTCCACCCACCTGCACAATTTTCTTTCTTCCGCTTCGCGTTTTTCTTCGTTTCGTGCCATGCAACTCTTGCAAGGAAGATACGTGTAGCCAGCAGCAGTAGCTCCGTCAGGGGGACCGAATGAGGAACTTCAACACCACCTCGACGGCGGCTTGAGAGCGCTGAAGGACACAGGAGACCGGGCAAAGCGGGGCCGTCTTCTTTCATCCTCCGGAATCTCGTGCTGTCATAGGCCGAGAGCCTGTTAGTGGCTGCATCTTGCTGCAGCTGTAGCTTCCGTCCCCTCCCCTCTTCTGCAAACTTGAGTCTTGCCAACTGCCAACTTTTCCGTTCCGCCTCTTTTCTCTTCCTCGTCTTCCCCCAGTCGACACTCTGTCCGAATGGAACGAAGAGAATCAACTGGCCGCCCAAGGCGACCATCGTGTCTTCAGTCTCCACTGGTCATACCTGCAAGTCCCTGACTGGACTAGTCCAGCGACAGCCATGCGTCCTACCTTTGATGCCGGCTACCACCACCAACGTATCAACGTCGTGGTGGCAGCACAACCAACTGTCAAACTGAAGCACACGACTGCTGCCAACGTCGAAAGCCACGTACCGCATCAGAAGCAAGGAGCACCAAGTCTTGCTCGGCACTGTCTCGGCCTGCTTCTGACTTACCTCGATGTCGCCCTGTTGGTTGACAGACCGCATCGCGGGGTTTTACCCTGGGAATTGGAGCAAGCTGCACTGTGAGGATGTGAATAGCATCACTCTCCTGCAGGAGGAAAACGGCATTTCGTTATAACTGATTGGACTTCCCATAACTCTGCCGCTCGTATGCGTCGTTCGGTCTCCCGTAAACGCACAACGGCGTGGGAGCGTGTTCGCCTCCGCCCAAGACAAATCAGAATTGCGGGACGGCTCCCGGCGCTCGTCGCCTATTCTCAGACCTGCATGCCTCGTGAGCACCGGAGCAATCAGCGCTCTACTCTGGCCTGCTGCATGAAACCACCTACAGATTCAGAAACAGAACCACTGCAGCGGCTACATGTTAGCAAAGAAAGCGAGGCGGACCTGCTGGCCACCAAAATCAGACGCAGCCTGTTTGGTACTCAGAATCGATGCTGGTTGGCTGTATTCGTACGCAGTAGAGAAGTCTCTCTGCCTCTGCGCTTGCACCAACTAAGCCGCCGATTCAAGACCGCACCAAGGTTCATGTCCAAGGACTGGCTCCCTTGCCATGGTCCGTTTCTCGAGTCGCGCTTCTGTCAGCACATCAACGGAATATCTTCCATCCTTTTCTGTGTCCACTCAGCCGGCCGGAGCTTCTGGTTTCAACTCCGTTAGCTCTCCGAGCGGAGCACTCCCGGGCCCGGGCGCGAGCTCCCGAAAAGCTACGGCCACCTCGGTCCGTAGCCTTCAAACTCTCCTTTGGTACCTATGCCGACAGCTTTACACTGTGGTTTCACAAGCAAAAGTTCTAGGTGCTCCATGTTACAAAGTGGTAACTTCGAATGATGACTTTTTGTTGTGCGGAGAAGGTATTTGGCGCTGCCGGCGAGATGTTGTGAGTGCAACGCTCCGTGAACAGGATAACGAAATAAAATAGGACGAGGAAATGCCATTGCTGACGGCTATATCCCTGAGGAAACGACGGTCTTATCTACTCATCTCCTGTAGATTTTACCATCTCCAGAAAAATCTTCATCTTTTATCACCGGGAACCGGTCGCCGACTGCCCCAAGGTGATGGTTGCTCCCCGTTTCCCTGTTTGGGTAAGCGCTCAACACAGCTTGCATGTGTTAGCGTTGGCCTTAGCTTTATCTTATCAGCCCCGCGCGGGTTGACGCCCCACGTCATCGAGGGGAACGTCTTCTGAGGAGCCTTCGACAATGCATCATCTTCAACAAGCACACCAAACAACCCGATTGTTTGCACATTCAACGACTCATGAACCATTCCCAAACCATCTTCATTGGATGCTATATGCTTGTCTCTACCGGTCTAACGGGCGTTCCCCGCGGAGCTAGAGTTGTGCTGTAACAACTTCTTCAAGACCCAGCCGGCGGCGGCGGCCCTGCAGAACATGCATCTCTGGAGCCCATTCCGGCTTATCTCTATCATAGTTTGCATCATAATACCGACAAGACTCCAAAATAACCCCGCCTTACTCATGCCGTCTAGAGCGTCCAGATCGCCCACAGACGTTCGGGACGCACATTTCCCATTGCTATACGCCTCGCCGCCGGCTCATCTAGTCGACGCAACCCTGCCTTGAGCTCAAGCGAGCGTTTTGGTCTGGGGTCTCCGTCCGGAGTGCAGAAATGCGCTTGTTCGAGCCCAATCCGAAGCTTGAACCAAGCATCTGCGCTGATCTAGCAAGCATCATGACACTCCTCGAAGACTGAGCTTTATCTTTGCCCCGCATTTGGCCGCCAACTCTGCCATGGACCTGGTCTTTACCTAACATGAACACGTCAATACTTTTGCATGGAGATGCGTCTGAAGGTCGCCATTGACCAGTCCCGTCTCGCGGAGCTTCTGTCGGTGTGGCCAATCCGTGGGTGATAAGCTTGCGAGCTGGTCCTAGTTCATGCCTGATGCTGCAATTGACCTCCATGCGTGGAGAAGAGCTGTCGAACTCGCCGGCCCATCTCATTGGAAGCGCGTCGGACCCTGCAGCTGTCCGAGATTCTTCTTAAAAGCTAGATCTTCTCCCTCCGTTCTTCCTGTGTCGGAGCAGACAACCTCAGCAACGACTTGTTCTTCATTCGAGTGTCAGCATCATGGTTTCAAGAAGTTTCCTCGCCCTCTGCCTCGCGGCAACCGTCTACGGTCACGGTGACCATGACCAGAAGTCCATGTCTGGACCTCACCAGTCTCTGTGGTACAACACCCTGCCAGGTGATGGCGGCACTCAGGTACGTGCAGCTCGAGGCTCGTTTCTGGCATTAATCTGACATATCCACAGGCCGACTCCGTCTTCTCGGGCATTTCGACCTTTGGCCGTCTACCTTACCAGCCCTGCCTGGGAGCAAAGAACGTGCAGTACGACATCGCCTTCATCGGTAAGGGAATTCAGCAGCAACTGGCTCTGAACTGCTGCTAATGGCAATTAGGTGCTCCCTTCGACACGGGAACTTCGTACCGTCCTGGAGCTCGTTTTGGACCCTCCGGCATCCGTCAGGGCTCCCGCCGTCTGAACCTCTAGTGAGTCAAGAGCGAGACGTCACTCATTCTATTTAGTGCTGACAGGCACTCAGCGGAGGATACAACGTGCCTCTGGCCACGAATCCCTTCAACAGCTGGGCTACCGTCCTTGACTGCGGTGACATTCCGGTGACTTCGTACGGTACCCCAACTCAGCCTTTCCTGCCCAACACTAACACCCATCGTAGATACGACAACACCTGGGCTCTCCACCAGATCGAGGAGGGTCACTTCAACATCCTCTCTCGCAAGCCTGCCACGGACGCTGCGAAGAAGGGTCCCGCGAAGAACGAGCGTACCCTGCCCCGTGTCATCACCCTTGGCGGTGACCACACCATCACCCTCCCCCTGCTGCGCTCCATCAACCGCGCCTACGGCCCCGTATCCGTCATCCACTTCGACAGCCATCTCGATACCTGTAAGCTTCATACACGTCCCATAAAGACAGGCAAACGCTGACTTGATCCAGGGCGCCCCAAGGTCTTCGGCGGCTCCCCCTCCGAGGTCGCCAGCATCAACCACGGCACCTACTTCTACCACGCTTCCCAGGAGGGCCTCCTCCGCAACGACTCCAACATCCACGCCGGCATCCGCACCACCCTGAGCGGACCCAGCGACTACGAGAACGACGGCTACTGCGGCTTCGAGATCGTCGAGGCCCGCGAGATCGACACCATCGGCACCGACGGCATCATCAAGAGAATCATCGACCGCGTCGGCACCAAGAACCCCGTCTACCTGTCCCTGGACATTGACACCCTCGACCCCGCCTGTAAGTGGGCAAGTGCTTTCGCGTTAGTTGGTTGTGTGAAGTCCGTCCGTCTGACCAGTCGTGTGTAGTCGCCCCTGCTACTGGTACCCCTGAAACTGGTGGTTGGTCTACTCGTGAGCTTCGCACTATTCTGCGTGGACTTGAAAGCCTCAATCTGATTGCTGCCGACATCGTCGAGGTTGCTGTAAGTGTCACATTCGTGCTGCACCAAAAGCCTAGAGACTGACAGTGTCGACAACAGCCCGCCTACGACACCAACGCCGAGCACACCACCATGGCCGCCGCCGACGCCCTCTACGAGATCATGAGCATCATGGTCAAGAGGGGTCCCCTGAGCGCCATGTACAACGCGACCGAGTCCGCCTCGGAGGAGTTGTAAGCGCGGGAAATCTTCTTGCCCGTTCTCTCATGAGAGACAACGAGTTTCAAGAAGACTCTCGTTTATGGTTCGGCGCGGGTGGCTGCATGACGGGAGGTCACAGGTGTCAGAGTACGTTCTTGTGGCCGGCTGCGTCGAACAGTGCGGTCTTCTTTTCTACGTCAGGCGTTGTACGGTGAGGGGTGGGAATGTGTGGAGAGGAAAAGTTTGTTGTTGTTGATGTCGGGGAATGGAATGCGGGTGGGCGGTTGGTCTTTCATAGCTGGTATGACTTGATGAGAAAAGCAAATACACGACAAATCGAGAAACGACTCGAGAGACACAGCGTCAATTACGATGGCTAGCCCTCAGTCTTTTGATGGAATGAGCCGTAACTAGGTAGTTCGTTGTCGAAACTACATTGCACGGAAAAGGGTGTAAGACTACTATACTCTCTCACATTTACAGACATTTCCGTCGCAAGAAAACTAACAGGTTACTTGACAGCGAAACGACGCAGACTCTGCAAACCACGCGAGAACAGCGCAATATTTCCCATGACAGCTTCGCCTCATGGTAAGCAAATCATCATCGAGGACGTGACTAAGACCAACACGAACACATGAGTTGAGATTCTCACGCAGAATGGATGTGCGATACCAAGCACGAAGGGAGAGCTATGGTGACATCATGCTTGTATGTTTTCCTCTCGGTTTATGGCGATGTCTCATAGTCGAATTTCCCTATTCCTTTCCATGGAGTTGTATAAATACTAACTTGACCGTCTCCAATTTACACTGACTTTCTCCCATCCAGGGCTTACCTCCTCCCCTCAACATTATGATCTTTTCTTCCCAGCCACGGTACTGGACTACCGTGTGCTGGGGCTCACAGTCGTTACCGCAGCGGCCCGAGAACGGCGACGTCTGCTACATCGGACCACAACACGACAAGTTGAATCCCCTCCATCACACCACACCTACCTAGTTGAAAGAGAAACAAAATCGATTCTTTCCCTTCACTACGAGACAACCAGCCCACGTCAAGATTGTTCAACGCAACTCGGAGCCCGCACCCCGCTCCGTAGCGACTATCCGGGTTATTCGATGGCGGCTACCGAATGGCCTGGATTACAGTATGACGGGGGCCCTATGGTTGAAGGACCACACGGTGCTGTGGAGAGAAGAAATCTTGGTGGAAGTCCGATGATTATGGGCGTGGTCGATATCGGCAAGTGAGGAATAGTCGTCGGCATAGTCGTTCGCTTTGGTTATAATGACACAATTAAAATAAACAATTAATGACCACCTGGAGCAAGCCCCAAGGGAGCGTACCCCAAGTGATCGTGAAGATGAATGTGAGGAGAGGGAGGACGTCACAGGGCAGGGCAGTGGGAAGAGTTGGTGGGGTCCATCTCGGCAGCGGCGGGGCGAATCGGACAGGGCCTTAAAGTGGTTTCTATTTTCGTTGCAGGGGTTTGCCGGCCGCGGACATTGACACCTCCCCAGCTGGTGCCACATGGAATTAACTAAACCTGTTCTCGTGGCAGGAACAAATGTAACAATCTTATACTTCTTGTAAACATCACCAAGACAACTAACTAACTGGATTCAACTTTGACGAACCGAATACGTCGGACACACAAACACCAAAGTCCGCCATCGTCCCAACGTCGTATGGGCGCGTCAATGACAAGAATAGCATTGTGGCAGTCCCTTTCACGAAAACGTGCCGTGGCGCCTCGTTGGGCTGGACGGACGGCGAACTGTTCAGTCCGTGTTGTGCCGTTCACAACCTGATACTCTTATGGGCCAAGCCACAAAAACTAACTGAGGCTGTACACCTCACGAAGCGATGCCTGGTTAGCTGAGGCCGGAGCCTCCGCCAACGGCGCGGGAGATGAAGCTGTCAAAACCTGTCATTCACGTTCGACGACCTAGGACCATCCATTACAAGCAAGCTCCAGGGTTCGGAAAGCTTAGCATCTGAGATCGGTTCTCCCCACCATCAGCGATGCGATGACGCACCGGATTCAACATCAACTGCGCGTAGCCTCCGAAGCCCGAATCTTCCGCGGACGTTTCGTCCGTTTACGCCCCTCGAAGAAGAGGCATCCCAATGGACGGCACCAGTTTGCGACGGATGGTGGCTTGACGGGTCACACGTGCTTTTTTTTACATTCTTCAACGTTCCTGTCGCGTCGTCGTTCGCGGGCGGCCAGGTGGTGCCCCGGCCACGTACAGATTCGTGTTGTATCAAGATGTCTCACCCGTCAGCGTCGCGCCGAATCGTATCCGTTCGATAGACAAAGCCATCTTTCGATGAAGAAAATGAGCGAAGATGGCTTATCGTGAGTGCGAAAGTCGTACGGTCTCTGGGACGACTTGTCAGCTCTCAACTGACAGCTTGGCAAGATTCCCAAAACGGAAACTGGGCGCCCTGTTTGCACGACCTGACTGGCGACATCTGAAGAGCTGCAAACTGACTGCTCTACGGCCCGATGTGGAATGTCAATCCCGGGCATGCGACGAGCTGGAAACAACGCCAATAAGGGCATCTGTGCAGAAGCTTGAATGCGTATCAGAGAGTGGTTGGAATCCTCTCCCCGTGATGTCAGCGACGTTGACACCCTTCACACATCCCTGTCTCTCATCTTCGTTGACGGCGAGACAACGCGAAAGGTTTCCCTGGCCTGCCACTGGCATTCTATCTCACCCTGACCCCGGTCGCGTCTGCGTGGTTCCCGAGATCTTGGTTGCAGACCATCGCTCATCGGAGCCCGGCGAGGTAAACCGGCGCGAAACTTACCCAAACGCCCTCTCGGACACATGCCTCGGTGGGCTGACGTTCTTCACCACCACCACCACCACCACCACTTCTTCGCCTTCAGCTACGAATCTAAATCAGAGAACCCAAATTTGGCTACAAGGCATTCGGACGCGAAAGAAAGTCGGACCTGACAGCAGCGCGGCCAATACGCCGAGTAGGTCTGCTGCAGCCATCTCTCTAGGCGGGACACCCGCATGCGCCTCAGCCCAGCCCGGCTTCGCCATTACGGTCAACGCTGTCCGCTTCAGATGTCTCAATGTTTTTTTCCTCACACACTCACCTGGTTCCGAGTCCAGCGCTTGGCTCACTTGCTTTCGTTAGTTTCTCGAATCCCAACCTCTCTCTGACCCGTTCGCGCGCCTGGGCATGGCTTTCGACGCTTCTTCGCCCGTCGTGGCTAACAAGCTCACACCATCTGCACGAATGTATATATGGATGCCCTTGCTTCCTCCCTGCCACCACTTCCGAATCTGCTCACCATCTCAAACTTCACTCATCAAGACTTGCATCATAGCATAGCATAAGCATCACATCACTCGTTCTTGTGTGCTCGCCTTTTATATACACTACCCGCCTCTCAGTTACTCCTCCTCTTCCTTCAATAACGAATCCAACTATACTCACTTACACAACGCAACAAACAAGATGAAGACTACTTCCGCTATCATTCTGGCCGTCTCGGCCGTGGCCTCCGCCGATGTCACCTAGTACGTCCCGTTCCCGTACCACATTCTGCTCTCAACTAACACCGCATCCACAGCAACGCAACCACGGGCGAATACATCTGCTCCCGCCCCAACGCCCAATGGTGTGCCGGCGGCTCCTTCGAGTCCGACATCATCATCCGCTGCAACGCCCAGGGCAGGGGCCAGCCGGGTCGCTGCACAAACAACCTCGCCGGCCAGCCCCCCATCGGCGTGAACCCTTCCCTGTGCTGGCAGAGCACCGCCGACGCCGGCGACGCCGCTTGCGAGAAGAACTGCGTCGTCTACGCCGACACCCCCTTCCGCCTCCCCGGCAGCGTCTGCACGCCCTACTCCAGCGTCTCAGGTACCCAGTCCCTCCCCGTCGGCAGGCCCACGGGCCCGGTGCCCCAGACCGGCTCCGGCTCCGTCTCGCGCTCCGCGGCCAGGCCCACCAGCACCGGCGGTGTTGGCAGCGGTCCGGGTCGTGGTAACGGTACCGCCATCAGGGTCTCGTCGACGCCCGGCGTCGCGCCTCCTCCCCGTCCCATGAGCATCATCGGTACTGGCGGCGGCGGCGGTGGTCGTGGTAACGGTACTACCCCGTCGACTACGCGGGGTGGTGGTGGAGGTGTTGCTCCCGGAAACCCGACAACCGCTCCTGGGCAGTCTGGCTCGCCTGGCTTCCCCGGTCAGCCCGGCCAGCCCGGCAGCAGCATCCCCTCCGGCACGCGTACTCCTGTTCCTCCCTCTAACACACCTACCGGTCCTTCTACCGTTCCTACTGCCGCTGCCGCGCAGAACACCGTCGGATACCTTGCGGTTGTTGGTGTTTTCGCTGCCTACTTTCTGTAAACCACTTTTGTCTATTCCAGGATTGTAGGAATATGGCAATTACTCTTTTTCTTCTCTTCAGGACTTTGGGGCAATTTCATCTAGTATTTTGTAATTCAACAGCACCATGGGATAATGTGGTGATAAAGACCACTGGGCGTCAGGAGTTGGAAACTGAGCAGTTGTGGGATACACAGAGGCACTGGTGGATATTTCTTTTGTGTACGAATAGCGTCAGTAAAGATGCTGATCAGTAAAAGTCTCTTTGTTATATTTTGCACTTAATAAACCCAATACGGGGAAATCAGCTCATCGCGTGGACGAGGACTATATCTCGCATCCACAGCCATCACCCCTGGAATTGCCACGAAGCTACGTGATCCGTTGAAGTCCCCTCAACCCACCCAAAAGGCCAACCTGTGCAGCTCGCCTCTATATCATACGACTCTCGCGTCAAATACGTAACGGCCCGCAGCGACGGCTTGTCCCAGTTCAAGTCGAGCTCCATGCCCTGCCAAAGCCCTGCCAAGTGAGGGACTCTGCTCAAGTCCAGCACCTCAGCGCTCTCCTGCCTGAAAGCGTGCTCGAGGCGATCTCGCCGCCGCCGCCGCCACAACGGATCCGCGGGATCGCGCAGCGAGAGGACCCCGCGCTCCCTGTACCAGGTCAGGAAGCTCCAGAAGTGCGCCTCCCGGATCTCCGCGTGCTCCCTGCGGAGGCGGTTGAGGAGGCAGAACATGGCGGCGTCGTGGTCGATCGCGGCGGGCACGAAGGGCGAGAGCGGGGACGAGGGCACGTCGCCCGGGCTGGCCTGCTGGAAGACGCCGTGCCAGAACGCGCGGCCGTGGTCGTGGCCCAGGAGGGCGAGGACGATGTTGTACAGGAAGCCGACGGGGACGGGGGCCGGTTCGAGGATGAGGGTCCGGGGGAACGGGGTGGTGATCTCGCGGAGGTGTGCGAGGAGGTGCTTGTGGATGTGGTCGTCTTCGGCGAGGCGTTTGCAGACGGTGCGGTATGCCCAGAGGGTGTAAGTCGGGATGCCGCTGTCGAGGAAGATTCGGTGGAAGATTGTGCTGGGTAGGAGTAGTAGGGGTGATGTTTGGGGCTCGGGTTGCCGAGGCGCGTTGTTGAGGACGGTGGACGCCATCGGGGGCATATGATGAGTTGGAAAAATGTAGGTAGAGGAGGTGATGGGGGGATGTCCCCGAGAAGATCAAAATTGCAAAAGTGAAGGCAGCTGTCGCTATTTATATGAGTTGTACATGAACCTTGATAGCAGGTGGGCCAGGACGAAAAGTAAGAAGAACAACTGATCACCTCGATGGAATTTAGATGGTTTGCAAGAACTCTAACAGGAAAAGTTATAACATAGAAAGCTGGCTAGCGAACTTCTTCTGCTCCCAACTAGATGGTAATATACGCAGTCTGTACGTCTCGAATATTGATACTCATGAGCGCTTTCTCGAGGAGCGTATTCGACTGCCAATTGGTTTCACGAGTTCGATGATGCAGATTTTCATATATACGAGTTAGAAATATGACGGTAGTCGGGGTTTCCCCATGAAATGAGACATAAAGGAAGAAAACTTCATCCTTCGCGAAATCACCTCTTCCATGATGGTCGAAGCTACTCCCCTTCATCATAGGAAGTACAGCCTTCAGGAAGTACAGCCTTCATCGAAAACCTTTTGTGTACCAACTAATTCTAAGTCGAGCTCCCGAGGTGCGAAATTCACGGGAGGTTACAATCGTATTCGTTTGCCTGCTTGCTGTCATCGAAGCAGTCATTTCGTGGAGGCAGGGAGCTCCCAACACATGTTGGCATATCCCCATAGCGAGTGGTCATTTCCCGTACTGTCGCCGGGTTTGCCTATCGAGCTCTCGATACGAGCCAGCACTGCTACCCATTTCTGCATTGCTCAAACACACACATAAGTTCGTCTAGCACATGGAAGATTACGTTGGTTCCAGTCAAGCACGTGATCTTACGTGCATGTGTTTGCGACAAATCATGGATGTTCTTGGCTATGCAGCATTGCCTCAGGGGCTGGCTGAGCGGTAATATTGAATGAAAGGAAATCGGGACCGGATAAGTGAGGGGTTGATTCGTGTTTGAGGAATTTCATCCCAATCTGTATTTACACTTCGAACTCTGGCTTTGAAAAATTGTCCCTGGCCTTGCCTTCTGCCGTCCTGCTTTCTACCTTCCCTATTTCTGCCTTGTTGCTTACCTGCCGTCCCATATCTCAGCCATCTCCCATCTCGCCTACTCTCTCACGACCACCTCCACGCCTGCCTCAGTCAGCACTGATTACTATCTTCCCGAGGCCCGCCGCCTATCGAGGCTACTTGCACAGTCTTCTATACCCCAGAAGATGTCTACCTTATCATGATGAACGCACCTTGACTTTCAATCAACCAAACCTTGATACGCACTTCCCCTCTAGCTCGTTCGAGAAAACCGTTCACACAGTTGAGGCCTCCACGACTTGAAATAACGTTCCAGAACTCACGTCCTACTACGAATCAAATTCTCATCGGCTGGCTTCAAATTTCCACGGCCAAGTACCATGCTTCGCTGGCACGAGCGCAGGTGCTCACGACCCGACGTCGTGTTAGTTGACAGCCTTCCATGGTGCAATTCCTGTCACCAGTTAGGATCACTGGACTCTTCGATTCTCGACCTGCATTCGGCTAGGTCGATACCCACTACGACTGCAGACGGCAGTCGCCGTCCGCTACGGTGGCCCGAAGGAGTCAATTACATCCAAGAAGAGAGTTTCTCAAACTCAGACGCAACCTCATATCCCACCGGCCAACAAGTCGATGTAGAACAGCCAACAGTTGCCTCCCCCGAGTCGTCGACTGGACTCAATGATAACCACCATATCGAGCAGAGGAGTAGTCATAAGCAAGTTCAAGAACATGACGATCCATACACGGTACCTTATCCGATGTTGTGCGTCAAGGACGAGATCCGGCTCCTTCTACTCGACTCCGAAAAAGAGGGCGATGACGGTGTGTTACATGGGAGCTTCACCACTGCATGTGTAGGAGACGAATCAGCAAGATACGAAGCACTCTCCTATACGTGGGCAGACGCAAATGGCGATTCGTCCCAATGTGCGCACATCTTTGTTGGAGCGTATTGGGATATTGTTACTCTCACCAAGAATTGCGCCAGTGCCTTAAGAAGTATTCGCTCCGCCTCATGGATTCCTCGTCGTATTTGGGCCGACTCGATCTGTATTGATCAGAACAATGAACTGGAGCGGTCAGCCCAAGTGGCACTTATGTCCCTAATCTACGCTGGAGCCGCGCATGTTTTGGTGTATCTCGGCCCCAAAACACACGACAGCGACCTCGCCATCAAGTCTATATCACGTTCTTTGGAACGAATTGAGTGCATTCATTCAGTAGATGGAGCATGCGGAAAATGCAATTGGGCTCTTCAAAGACTATTCACCAGGCCATATTTCAGCAGACTATGGGTTGTGCAAGAACTTCTTCTGAGTAAGACGTTCAGCATCTTCTGTGGCTCAGAATCAACATTGTGGTCCCCAATATTTTCCAACCTGGCTAGGGTATTTGGAACCAACACTTGGGCGAAGCATCGCGACCAACGGGGTGCTCTTGGAGGCATCGAATTGTTCTCCCTGATGATTGATACCCGAAAATGTCTTTGCAAAGACCCGCGAGACAAAGTATTCGCTCTCCTCGGCCTTATTTCTCGCTGGGACACACAACCTATCCTTTCTGACTACACTCTTACCACGGACGAGATCAGCATTGGATTGGCTGCCTACTTTATCCAAGTCAGTGGCCTGGGGTGGCATGTACTGCTACTTGCTAGTACGCCTCATGACAGAAAGCGAAGTCTGCCTTCCTGGGTCCCAGACGTTCAAACTTCTTTCAACGTCAGCGACAGCTGGGAGGCAAGATACACCGATTTCGACGTTGGTCTGAACCCCACACATTTCGAAACAGAATGGCGTTCTGTTTCTGCGAATAATCCGCCACTGAGATCAGAATCTCTAAGGAAACCACTTAATCTCAGAGCGCGGCAAGGGTTCAGCATTACGTTCTTGCCGCAACTGCCAACAACTATCCGCGTCGAGTCCAGAACTTATGCGCTTAGAGCTTCCGGGATCAAGCTGTGCAATCTGGAGGAAGCTTTCAAGCTGCGAGGCGTCAACTCCGGCACCAATTTTACCTGGTATGGGTTAGATTCACTCGTGCCTACAAGCGATTATGGCATCGGATCGTCGTGCACCGCGACTGTCGTTTTCTCCCATCTCGAAAAGTTCACTTCCACGGACGACTTGCACTGGCTATACGACGTCGAAGCATACGCAATCTTAAGGCGCCAAGAAAACTCGGACACACATTCCGTGCTGTGTCTCTGTGACCTCACATTGTATTCACGGCGGTCGGTGGCACCTGGCTTTGGCGAGTTGCTTTTCAGGCCACTTTCGGAGGCAGAGAACGATTTGGTGTGGAAACATGCCATCAGACTTCTAAATTGGATCAAGGAGCTGATGAGCCAGACCACCACAAAACCCCTGTCCTCTACACTGATTATGACGGCCCATGCAAGCATGGGCGATGCAGAGCTCAAATCTATACAAGAAGCGACGAGGCTGATCATCTGCATCGCGAAATGCCTGAACACGCCCCCGGCACGTTACAAAGAGGACACACAGACGGACACGTCTTTTCTGGTGAAGGAGATCTGTTCTATACTTGTCAATTATGGTCAAGTGCGGGATCATTTGGTGGGCGATGAGTGGCTGTCTTCTTGGAGAGACAGTCAGCTGCAATACTCGCCGGGTTTGGAATACCAGCTGGAACTGCGTATGAATCTCTACGAGCTGCCTTTCAACCTGGAAGAAGTTTCCGAAGTGCGGATTCTTTAAGCTGTCTTTCTTACTACACAAATACCTCCCAGATATTCAAGGTAGACGGGAAATATTTGTTACAATCACTGAGGGCATTGATACATCTAGCCTTGGATATCGCGGAGGGCTTCCCTGACAAAGTGATTGTCAGACGACCCGGTGGCGAGAGTGTCCTCAATGAACTCGGAGCTAATCACAACGACGATGGCCCCATTGACGATGACTTGGATGTTTACCCCCCCGCATAGCCTGCTGCCAACAGATACGAAGACGGAGAAGACTACTCCCATCAAAACGAGCACGCTCTATGGAATAAACGTTCAGAATATAAGCCTTTCGCTTGGCTTCACTCTTCTGCGAGCGCAAGATACCTGGGGATAGCAGTGAGTCAGTCGTTCGACTGCTTCTCCTTCGTGAGAGTGTGAGCTAATGCTAAGCCATGATTCTCTTGTCGTAGAGGCTGTCGTCCTTTGGTTCTGGTTGACAAACTGTTCGGTGCCCGCATGTTAGACCGCCAGAGACGATGTCGGCTTGGTGAATCATGAAAAAATCGTCAGGGATGCTCCCGCCCACGTCGTGAGGTGACGCGAATACAAGATGGCTGAGCCCCCACGTTCGTGATCGTGAAGGCGGGGAGGGGGACGCGGGGCTGCTTTTTAATTCTTGGCGAGAACATGTGATCCGGTTTACGTCTATCCGTCCCGTGGGCCGTGACGATGAAGTTGCGAGCTTGGCATACATGCTATTGAAGTCAAAATCAAGCGGAGACATAGTTGACTCAGCCTACGTCTCACGAATTCTCATAGTATGATCGCACGCTTTCATTTTTGAATGATTTGTCTTGATTACAGATACTGTAACTACTATGACGGACTTGAAATACGGCAACGTGCCTTAAGTCGAGAGCAACTCGTGTGTGCCTTCACACATAGTCCTGTGGGCTTCCTTCGTTGACCTTCCATGACAGGCCAGCCCGTAGCAAATAATGTCGACCCTCCCCCTCCCTCCGTGACCCCCGTCCACCGTCTTGGCTCTCGTGATGTCTCGATGCGTCTTGTGTGTGTTGTAACCCCTCCTTCGCTAATGCCCGCTGTAAAAATGCAGTCCCAACTCAATCATGGTATCTTGCTGTGCCTTCCCTGAACCCGAACGCCCCTTTTGGTAACTCTGTGTAACGCCGTAAAATGATGTGTGAAGGTTGATAGCCTCCTTAAACTCAGATACTAGTTTCTGGTCACAGCCGCAGGTGGAGTCGCGACAGCCGCCGGTGGTGCTGGTGTCGACGAAGTGGAGCTGGTGGCCGTGCCGTAGTCTGGAGGGAGGGAGCCGCGGGCAGCTCCCGCCGTGGCGGCGCCGATGGGAGGCGGGGGAGGCATGGCGCCGGCAGCGGCGCCGCCGTGCTCGACGTGGGCCATCTCGAAGCTGCCCTCGCGGGTGACGGCCTGGCCAGGTTTCGCCTTCGGCTCGTAGGCAGGCGGGGCCTCGCCGAACTCGTCCAGGCCCTCGTCGCTGCGGGTGGTCCAGGCCCAGCGGCCGTTGCGCGAGGAGCGCTGGCCTCCGGCTCCGGCTCCTTGACGGTTCGCCTCGAGGTCGCGACGGGGCCAGGGGCGTTGCAGGCCGAGCCTGCGGAGGCGGCGGCGGCGCTGGAACTGGACGAGGGTCGCGAGGATGCCGATGGCGAGGAAGACGATGAGGGGAGTGAGGATCCAGGTGTATGGTGTTGAAGACAGGCTGAGGCCGTCTCCGCCGCTGCCGAGGGAACTGCTGTCGACGGACGACGACATGGCGGGCTATTCGGTGTCGTAGAGCACTGACGTTGGCTGAGGTAGGAAGGAGCGGAAGAGAAATGGAAAAGTTGGTGATCCGCGTCGTTGAGTTGAAGTAGGCGAGACGGGAGGCGGAGTGAATGGTTATCAGGGATGTTTGCTTGATAAAATATGCCTTGTCGTGTTTGTTTGTTGGGTTTGCTCGGTTGGTGCTATTCTTGGTGTGAAAGGGAAGGAACCCTGGCTGTTGTATCGAGTTGGATCGTCTTACAAAGGCGCAGAGGGCGAAACAGGGAAACGGATAGTGACAGCGTTGGTGATTCGGAGAGGGCAGGAACGTTTGGTCTTTCACGTCATCATAGCGTGGCTCAGGTTTCTCGTTTTCGCTAGTGTCGTCTGGGTTCCAAGAAGCTTTGATAGCCGTGGTGGATCGGAGAGACGGAAGCCGAAGGAGAGATACGGAGCGGACGGGACGCTGGATGTTGGTGGTGTTGGGGTGAATATTCGGGGACGACGGGCGGCTCGTGGTTGGTGGTTGGCTGAGCAAGGGAAAGCTTGCTTCGCTATGATGATTCCGATGGAGTCGGTCTCGTGTTGCCACCCGGGTGAGGTGGATAATTCGGGTCCAATGTTTCCTTGATTGAAGGTCGACAGGGTGCAGATCTTGAGGTTCGACCGGGCTGGTGTTTTTGGCGAACCAGGGAGCGAGCGGTAGAAACAAGACGGAGGAAAGGAAAGAAGAAACGAGAGGGAGCAGAAGAAGAGAAGGAAAAATGAGAGTCTGTGTGAGAGGTATGGTGGCGGGGAGATATTGGTATTTGGCTGCAAATGCCAAACAATAGCGGAGGAGACGGGAGTGGATGTGAGAATTCCAACGCGCAGGGGCTGGAAGGAAGCAGCCGAGGAGAGGACCAGGTTGTTACGGATACTGGGAAAGCTAGGTAGGTAGGACGGGTGTTATCGCAGACTGTGAAGATTGATTCGATGGATTCGTATTCCAAAGTCCCAAGGGCCGAGAAAGCCGCTATTAATTATAATATTGGCCAGAAAGCAGAAGCTAACGAGAGACAGCATGCGGTTGTCTAGGTTCTAGCGAATCGTGTGTCTGACTGAAGCCGGGCTGTGCGAGCGTGCGAATGCGGCTTCCGTGAGCGTGACCGTGAGCGATTGCGAAGCGCTACCAATGGATGCAAAGCGAGGTGGGAGGGGAGCTGAATATAGCAGCCGAGGAACAGAATTCAGATGAACCGAAGGCCTCTAGGGCTGGGAAAACGGGTTGGAACCTAGGATAATCGGCAACGAGCGAGAGTACCTTGGGTACGGATACGCGTCTAGGAGGGGATGAGATGAGAAGAGTTCAGGATGAAGCACTTGAAGAATGAGACGAAGACTGTGCGATGCCACTGCCGCGACGATAAGTGCCAATGCCAGACACTCGGAGCAGCAAGGGGCCAAGCCAACCCGATGAAGACTGAGGTGAATTATCCAGTGAATCAGAGACTCTTCCAAGCCAAGATATGAATGACTGATCCAGCCCATATCAAATGACCCCTGGTCGGCTTGTTGTCAATCCTCATCGTCAGGGGACAGGGCTTGGCTTTTTTCTCTCGCCGCAGAGCTTCGGGTGGCACGTCATGAGTTGCGCTAGCCGTGTCGTGTTTAGCAACAACGTCCGCTGAAGGGATGAACCGGTCCACTAAAAAACGCAAATCTCTTGCCGGGGACATGCCAAATACCACCTCGTCCGTCTGCTGACGCATCAGCATCAGCATCCATCCGTCTTCATCTTCACGATGTTACTCCCACCTGGCCCGAATGGACGGGCGGGAGGATGGATGTGATGCATCTTCATTCACAGATAAGGTACTTGCATCTGCTGCCTTGCATGGCGGCTCTGTGAAGTATCCACTCTCCTGCCTGCTGGCGAGTGCATCTCCAAATCCCGTCGGGCTTAGCATCTCAATTCATTAATTAATCGTCGACTGCACATCGCGGCTGTTTCAGGGACCCTCGCTTCGTTCCACAGCTACAGATTGTCAAACAGTCAAACGGGAGACAGACGGAGAAAAAAAAACATCGCAATCATCTTTTCGGATTCCCTCCGCACCTTTACCACGATTGTGACTCGCATTCGCTCGTCGCAACTTGAAGAACCCACTCACGATGTCTTGTCCACGCATAACCAGAAGCTTCATAAGCCTCCCTCGGCTTCCATCATCTCTATGCATGACCTGTACAGAGTACTCGAATGCGATGGCCTTTGTCGCCAGACTACAACTGAATCAAAGAACAACATTCTTTGTTCCAGATCTTGGCAGCCGTTGGCACACATGATCAAAGTGAAATGTGCCTGGCGGAGCCATTTCTCCAGCTGCCCCAACGGCCGACGCGACGCTGTCAGCCTGTTGCAGCTATCCTCATCAAACTGGCGGCGGCATCTCCAGTCACGGTCTCACCGGCCAAACTGAAATTGAAATTTAAATTGGCCAAAGGACAGCCGCAGAAAAAAAAGTGAAGACAATCAATGACAGGACGTGGATGAGGCATTCGGATAAAGTGGAATTGGGGAATGGAGGGAGGGTCGTGATCCGGCATCCCTGACAATCCGATGCTGGGTTGTGGGGGCCAAGGGGTCGCATACCCGGCCTCTCACTGGCTGCTTTTTCCTCGGCCCCTGGGATCTGGCAAATTGGCCCCTGCGCCAGGATCAAAAGTGAAAACAGGCAGGTGGGCACCTCAGTGCACTCGACCACCGGCACCTGCACTTTGCGGGAGCACCGAGTTGGGAAGTTTGCGTTACATTTTAGTGGCTGGCCTCCCCCGGGCCCCTGCCTGACTCCACTGACCTCAGCTTCCCTGCCTGAGTCCTGAGGCGCCCCACCAGTCTTGAAGCTTCCAAATTCTTGTCGACGATCCGACAATTTCACCCACGTCAACAGCCAGGCGCAATTCGCGACCACCGCGCCCGCACCGCGACGAACGATAGCAACGAAAGCACCCCTGTTTCCATTCCAGCATCATACCGATACTGCGTCCGCAACTCCATCCTTCCTCTCTCTCGGGCCCATTCTCACCACATCACATCCACCATGCCACGCGCCATCAGAGGTAAGCACGGTATCGCGGCCTGCCCCAGATATTCTCACCACGCTAACGATACCCGCCTTCCCCAGGAGTGCTCATCGAGTGCGACCCCTCCATCAAGTCCATCATCGTCAACATCGACGCAGCGAACCATGATTACATCATTGAGGATCTTGACGATCAGCATGTTGTCGTGAAGGAGAATATGGTAGCTGCGCTGAAGAGACAGCTCGACGAGGTTGGTCCCCCACGCTACGATGCATACACTGCACACAAAAGTTTACTTGACACATTATGCTAACGAGCTTGCAGAGGCTTAAGGAAACACAGCAGCCGGACGAGAGTTCCGACTCTGACTGATTCACCATCGACACTACCGATCGATCCTTTACGATATCGTCATCATTCCTTCCGAGACTCCCGCTTACTCTCTATATATTCTACCTTGGTCTCACCAGCCATGTGACTGTGGCTGTGTCAGCCACCGCCTTGATGCGTTCTGCGCCGACGCCAACTTGACTCTGAGACGTTGCCACGCTCTATAATACAACGGGATGAGATCAAACCCTCTAAGCGAGGTGATGCTATCTACCAATAGTCAAAACGATGACTACCCAGTCTAGATATCCACACATCATGATCTATGCTGGCATGGAAAACCCAGCCTGATGCGGGCAAGGATGGGTTTCTTGCGGAAAAAGGCACACACATGCCCTCAGAGCTTTGCAAACGTAGGCTTCTGCTTGGTCAAACCAGACATCATAGCAGCCTTGAAGTCACTGGACTGCAACATAGCCGCGTTCCAAACCGTGGTATACCGCAAACCTAGCAGTGTCGTTAGCAGTCGTATTCTCCCGTAAACGGCTACCCCGCCGGGAGCAAATGGCCATCAAGATAAATAAAAGTTTCAGACAGTGCTTACTTTCGGCGACCGTGTGATCCCTCGCGTGGTTCAGCAACTCCTTAGTGCCCTGCACCGCCACGGGGCTCTTGCTGGCGATGAAGCCCGCGAGCTTCAGCCCTGCCTCAACCGCCTTCGCCTTATCCTCGTGCACCTGGCTGACAAAGCCCACTGCCCTCGCCTCCTCCCCGTTGAAGTCCCGCGCCGTGAGGCAGACGTCCTTGACCCACGACGTGCTGCCTACGATCTTGGGCAGGCGGCTCAGCGTGCCGAGGTCGGCTGCCAGGCCGATGTCGACCTCCTTTACGGCAAAGCGCGTGTTCCGTGCGCAGAGGCGGATGTCGGCGCAGCATGAGATGTCGATGGCGATCCCGATGGAGATGCCGTGCAGGACGCAGATTACGGCTGCGGTCTCAGTAAGCCATGTATTCCATCGTCCCTTGTCATGACTCCCCGACGTGACAGATGTGAATTCGGACGGGATGGAATGAAGATGAGAAGATCAAATGCAGGGTTAGATGAGTGATGGATCGAGGGCATTCACGTACGCTTCTCGCACTTCTCCATGGCGTCGATGGCGGCCTGGAACTCGACGATGTGGCGGCGCATCGTGGTCGCGAACCGCGACGGGTCCACGTCGCCGCCGACGCTGCTCCCCAGGGTGCCCTCGCTGGCGGACTGGACGTCGAGGCCGGCGGAGAAGCCGCGGTCGCCGGCGCCCGAGAGGACGACGGCGCGGACGTCGGGGTCGTGGCTGAGGCGGTTGAAGAGGGCGCCGAACTCGCGCCAGACGGGCTCGGAGAAGGCGTTGAGCTTCTTCGGTCGGTTGATCTCGACGTGCACGACGAAGGGGGCCGGCGTCGTCACGAGGAAGTAGGTGTAGGTGTTGTAGTCCTTGAACGTGGCCATTTTGGGCGGAGCAGATGCTTGTGATTGTCGAACGGTTTGGGGGTTGAGTTGAGTTGGAGATTCCGGAGCGATTTCTGGATGTGCGGTCAAGGTTTGTGAGGATCAGGAACGGTATATTGCGAATGCGGCTCCGAAGGAACGGTTGTATCTTGATAATCTTTTCTGATTATGAGATGACAGCTTTTTGCGAGTGCGATGAAGTTCGACCTGACCGAGTTGCCGAGGCACGTTGCAGACCGACCGGGGCCCCGCCTGATCTGGGGTAAGCCACGCACGCCCCGCGTGAGGTTAGAAAAATTGCATCTGAAAACTCCACTCATCTGCAGCAGGAGGCATTTGAGGTTCTCTCGTCCACTTCCGGCGCCAGCCCATCGTCGAGCTGGGAAATCTCATCTGTCAGGCTCATCGACATTGTTCTCATCTCGATATCCGGAATTGTTGATACTTTACTTGAGAGTTTTGTCTTCTGACATCTGAAAACTCCTTCAGCGTTTAAGGGGTTGCCTCAAGTGAGAGTTCAGTCGTCAGCTTATCCGTCCATCTTTAAAATGTAAATCAATCCATCGATAAGGGGGATAGAGGTCAGTAAGGGCGAAACCGTGCCACGGAATTGTATCTTAAATGTGGACACTCAGTTCGGCGAGTGAATCCAGAGTCATCCTCCTCAATGAGGGGAGCAACTACTGAAGTTTACTTACCAAACGGGTTCTGATTCGTGATCCTCGGCGTTCAGGGCTTCGTACGAGAACGCAGTAATCACTTCTAATTCATATAACACATTTCTCTTGCATTTATATTATTGTTCTGTTCTCTTACTTCATGCCACGGCGGCACTCTCATGCCTTCTGTCTGACGACTTGCTTCCTCAGACTGTTTCCCACGGCGGGGTAGTGCACGCCGTCTGAGTCACAGTCCGATGCTGGAGGTGACTGATTTTCTGGTATCCAACTCAATAGTTTCATTTGGACAAGAGAGGAAAGAAGGGTGGCATGCAGCTTGGCCTGGCAGATTCAGCAAATGATTTGAACATCATCAGTACCTTAGGTGGTTGAAGTAGTTGGAAAAGGCCGTCACCAATGAATCTTGAAGCAGCTCATGCATTGGAGTGAAGCAGGTTCGATTTGCTTGAGAATTTATTGATCCTGTCGTCTTCCTGCGTTGGCAAGACCCCTCGGCACACCTGCTGTATCTATCATGCCTATCGTTTCGAAGGAAAGAACGGCGGTATACACCAGGTTGCAAGGCAAGTGCTTTGCAGATGAACAGAACTGTACCTTAGGCAGGCAACAAAGCAACGACGGCGGAAAGAGCGAGAGGATCGCCCCAAAGAGGCAGTGGAACTTCTATCTGTTTGCATCGTGACCCTCAACCGCGAGCTTCTCCCAAACATCATCCCTCCGACATCCTCACCTGTTGACCCCTCAACACCTCAGTCCCCTACCGCCGCGGCCTTTTACCTACATTGCCCCACGTCGGTATCTCTTAAAAGCTTCAATTCTCATCATCACTTATGCAGTTTTCTCTCTAAGTTTCATGCACCAACCCCAAAGAACTCGATCCTTGACTCCAGCGACTGAGGTTCAGCGTTTGACAGATCCCAACGCTCTGGTCTACAAGGAATCGGTCCTTCGACGATACAGCTCCACGGATAGGTTGAGCCTCAAGTCACACAACTCGGGATCTCTATTCTCTGACACGACACCAACTTCTTTCTACAAGTTTTGCTGCCAGCCCCAGGCCGAATTGGCGCTCAACCCCCCGCCGGCCAAGAAAAAGCCGGCGATGTTATCGAATCTGTTCCATCCCACCAAAGGTTTTGGCCCTGAACCTCAACAGTCTCTTGAAGCCGCCGGCGATTTTGACGAGACCCCCTCCCCGAGCCTTCGCCCATCAATGGCGGATATGTCTCTCAAGAAGCCAGATAATGATGCCTACTCTACTTCCTCGGCCAAGAGCGGTGTGTTCCGCCATGCACTCCTAAAGACGAAATCTGGGCACCCAACGGTCATCGACAGGGAATTGCCTGTGTCTCCAGTTCTTAGTCGACAGATTGACCCCGATGAATCGATGGAAAAGATACGAGAGGAACAGAGGCCTAAGGAGAGTGGCTACGAAAACAAATCCACAGCATCACTACCCTCCAGAAGCCGCTCAGCTGTATCGACACAGGGTACTTCTTCTGAGCCACAGTTCCCAGGTTCATCAGGGGAATCCGATGCATCGGCTCCCAGAGAAAGGGTTTGCGTCGATCCTCTCCTCCACCCTGACGAGTCGCACATTAAAGCACATCATCGTGGCCTCCTGAAGGGCGCCGACTTCTGCGACACCGGAGTGCCTGGCCAGCCCGTTCCTCAGCAAGCAGAAGAAGATGATTCTGACTCTGAGTCGGACGACGAGGTGGTTCTTGCACGGGTAAGGCGAGCCATGACTGGCGATGACAATTGCCTTTCTACTGTCGAGATCACTCTTCCAAAGGAAGCCGCTGGCCACAGTCGCGCAATGAAAGTCCGACCTGCATTCAATACGTCCACCTTCCAGTACCCAACCATCCCGGACAACCAACTCTATCCTGTTAGCCATCAGACTTCATTGGGCGTTTCCAAAGTGCGACCCTTCGACGCATCAAAGGAGCACAAGGCACCTGAGGGCGACGTCGCCGGATCGCCATCATCGCCCTAGGATTACGATCACGGAGGCTTGACGAACATCCCGCTTTCAAAAGTTCGTCCATTTGCCCAAGAGCCTCGTGAGTTAAACCGGGTTAATGGGCATCCAACAACCTCAAAGGTCCGGCCTTACACGGATGTTCCTGATTACGTTGCTGGCAATGACGAAGACGACAAGTACTTTGCGGTCGGTTCCGATGTCTCCGTTCACGATGCACCTGCAAAAGAAGACAAGTCTCCAGCACGTTCTAGAGCTGGCACTCTCGACTACAAACGTACTGCCAAGTGGATTCGGGATCTTCTGAAGAACCCAGACCAACCCTTAAGATTGACGGAATTGCCTTCCAGATCAAAACGGTCATCTTACGCTCCCTTAGAAGATTCACCGGAAGTTAGTCCTATTTCTCGGAAGTTGACTCGCAAATCGACTTTGCCGCCGTCAAAGGTCAACGCAGGTCTTTTCGACAGAACTTTTGGGGAGCTTGAGCGTCTTCTACATGAAGCTCTGGCCTTGGCTTCGCAGGTTGCCGACCACGAAGAAGAGCAAACTCCAAATTCAGGACGCTCACCACGCCATCTCCTGAACGACGGATTGCCACAGACAAGACGTTTCCACCACGCGGATGACTTGTCTGAGATCGACTTACATGACGGCAATCGGCCAAACGATCTACCTTCCAAGCGTGCAGCGACGTTTCCCAACATTGACCCACATTCTCGACGTCATGTAGATGATCTGTACAGAAACATTTCTCTTACTCCTCAGACAGCCGAACTTCAGGACGCTCTTACTAGATCAGATCAGCAGATCAAGAAGCATGGCCGCCGGCACAAAAGCCGCTCACGTCAAGCTGCACCTGTACCAGAACGAGTGTCCAGTCGAAAGAATCTGAAGGGAAAGAGGCGCAAGAGTTCGAGACGGGCCACGAAACTGCGTGAACACTCGGATATAAGCAGCATGGACGGCTCTGATGAGTCGTCTTTCGTCGACTTCTCCACGCCGCAAGAGACCCGCAACCGAAGCGGCGGACCAGCTCGTCCCAGAGCATCCGCCAAGCATGGTCACCTCATCTCACGCACCACTGGCGAGCCCAATGTTCCAGAACGAGATATTGCTGGACGTCCCCTCCACAACCTCCGTGGCATCAGTCTTCGCGGCAAGTCACATGTCAGTTTGCGTGGCGTTCAAGCCTTCAATCTTCCCAAGTCGAAGCGTCGCCAACCTATTGCGCGAGACTGGTCCCCAGTTCGGAAGAGAGCTGTCGCGACTGTTGCTTGCATCAGCACCGCTCTCGTTGGCATGCTCCTCGGCATCTACGCAGGTCTGGTTCCTTCACTTCAGTACTTCATTTGGGATACAGGCCACGCAATCATCAACGGCAACGTCGGCTGCTTTCTAGGAATGGCTCTTCCCACTTTTTTCTGTTGGCCGCTCCCACTTCTTCACGGCCGAAAACCATACATCACCTCGGGCTTGGTACTCTCAATGCCCTTACTTTTCCCGCAAGCTCTAGCCGTGAGTGCACAAAGATTCTACAACCTCACCGAATAGCGAATGGTGTTGCTTGTTCCTCGGGGTGTCATGGGTGTCTGCCTTGGGTTTGCGAGCATGAACTTCCACTCGATTCTCACGGACCTTTTCGGCGCATCTCTCATGAGCAGCAATCCTCATCAAGAAGTTGTCGACGACTATGACACCAGAAGACATGGAGGGGGTATGGGAGTTTGGCTCGGAATCTGGACGTGGTGCTACATTGCATCTCTTGGCTTTGGATTTTGGGTCGGCGCTTGGGTGATCAACGATCTTCCGCCGGCTTGGGGATTCTACATCAGCGTGGCTCTCATTGCTGTTGTTCTGCTCCTCAACACTCTTTGTCCGGAAGTTCGCCGCTCAGCTTTCAGACGCTCTGTGGTGGAGGTCAGAACAGGAACCGACATCTCGCGACGACTTGCACGAGGTGAAGTCATGATGCATCGTGTCAAAGATGGTCCAAGGTGGTGGGGCCAGGAGATGTATCACGGAGTGGCTCTCTGTTTTGAGATGCTTCGGCAGCCCGGGTTCGCTGTCATGGCTGTCTATTCTGGTTGGATCTATGCCCAGGTGGTCCTCATTATCGTGCTACTGGGTTCGCTCTCGTCGAGATTTTATCACATGCGGTCTCCCTACGTCGGACTCATGGTGGCAGCAATGGCTTTCGGCGCCATAGCCGCCATACCGTTCCAAAAGGCCAGCTACTTCTCGAGAGCGAGACATACCCAAGTCAACACCAGCCGTATGACCTTTGACAGGCAAGTAACTTGGACATCGCATCTTCTTCGCCGAACCATTTTCACCATCGGTCTTCCTTTGGCAGGCATCATTTACGCATCGGTCTCCAGCGGGCCACCTATCCATCCAAGCGGTCCGGCCATTCTAGCTGCCGTTATTGGATTTCTCTCATGTCTTGCGATCTCGGAATGCAATGGTCTCATCATGGAAACATTCGATACTTCTGATCTGCAACCCGGCATGACAGGCCGGCCACGAGGCAACTCAGGAAACGCACAAAGAAAGAAGAACTACTCGTCTTTCCCCCGCGTCACAGCTGGCTTTGCCATCTGCCATACCTTCGGCTTTGTCTTCGCAGCCGGGGCAACTGCGCTGGGCGGCATGGCTCAACGAAACCTTGGACAGCGGGTGTCAACGGGAGTGGTCGCCGGCATCTTGTTCGTGTTGACCATCATGCTCTCTCTCGTCCTTGTTCGTTTCAAAGAAGTCACAATCATTCCAGAGAGCAAGACCGATGAGATGGAAAGGTGGACTGCTGCCCGCAGAGAATCTCTAAAACGCCGCGAGTCCATACCAGCTGAGGAGATTGACGAAAAAGCCCTCTTTGCAGAGGAAGAGCCCTGGCGCCCCTTCATTGTGGGCAATCCGACCAGCAAGACTCGGCGAGTCAATGTTCTCGAACTCGGCGGGATGACACGTTTCACTGAGATCAGGAGAAGGAACAAGCTTATTGACTCCAATGCGCATGTCAATCGAGCAGCTTTGGAGGCTGGGCTGGATGCACTGGAGGACCAGCTCAGCGACGCTGTCAGCGATATTGTAAACGATGCGAAAGACTTGATCAGAAGGAGCAGTCAGCGCAGCCAGCAAAGCTGGCGCTCGCGACGTCACCACCGAAGTGCGACAAGCGACAGCAGCGGTCATTCTTCCATCGAGATGGACGTCATTGATGAGAGACTGGCACACGGTAGCCGTAATCCTCGGCTGCCCAATGAAGTTTACAACGAACGAGAATGTCTCCGAGGCCAGACTGTTGAGGAGGAAGATGAAGGGTTATTCGGAGTGGGCCATGACGCAAATGGAAGTAGCAGGAGAAATCGTAACAAACGGGACTAAGGACCGAGAGTGAAGTTTCAGTCACAAGGAGACATTAACATGGGGTCGACTGCTGGTATGAAAACCTATGACTTGCAACAAAACTTTGTGTTAAAGGAAGACTAGACGCATGGTTGGTGTAGTGTACATGACAGAACTAGAATGTGAAACTCCTTTTTCGAAACCAACTCCGTGGATGCGGTGATTTCCTTCTTCTCCTTCTATGTCCTCCCTCGTGTCTTGTTTCGCTTCTTCATATTAACAGTTCTAAAGAGGGTAGGAAAAAGACATGGCTAGTTGTACAGACTGCAAAGAAAATTGCGTGCTGGGTCTCGTAGAGAGTGGGTATAAATGGAAAATCTTCGTCTTCGTAACATATGTAAGGAAAATCGTGTGTGTTCGATTCTTGTGTTTCTTTTTTTCGTCTTCTTCCTTTTTCTTCTTTTTTTTATTGAGCGAATCTATCCCAGATTTTCACTGAACATTCAAGAATAGATCATCACCGCGTCTCGTAGGCGTCAGCTTGGGCTGCCACGTAGGCGTGGCGGGCAGCCCGCCACCGCCTCGATCCCAGCCGCTGCCGCCGCCTCCTCCGGGAACCGGCGGCGCGGGGAAGAACTCGTCCGGGGAGAAGAGCACCTCGCCGCCGGCCCCGGGGCGGTAGGGTCTCCAGTTGGGGCTGTGCCGGACGCCGCCGTTGAGCGGGGCCAGGGCGGCGGCGCGTTCGGAGCCGAGGCGCTTGGAGAGCAGGGAGGACGTGGTCGAGACCGAGGCCGCTTCCGAGGCGGGGCGTAGGGGCGGCGCGGCGAGGGTCTGGGGTTGGGGTTGGGTTTGGGTTGCGATGTGGTGCGGTGAGGGCGAGGCGGAGGGGGGACGGGAGGGGAGGGGTTGTTTTGGGGGCGGGGATTGTTGGGGGAGTTGTTGTCTTTGGAGGGATTGGCGTTGATTGATTGACTGGCGTTGTTGCTGCTGCTGTTGTTGTTGGGATCGCCGGCGCTCGTTGCGGGGTGGAGGCTGCGGCTGAGAAGGGACCGGCAGCGGACGAGGCGCGTCTCCCCAGAGAGCCTTGTGTACCGACGCCGATTGCGGTTCTACGTTCGGAGGCATATGTTGCACGTGTGCCGTCTGGGCCTGCGGGTGGGCGTCGCCGCGCTCGAGCCGAGGGCGTTGGGGTTGTAAGGGGGGAGGGTAGAGGGGCTTCATCTGCGGAGGTCTCGTGGCGGATTGCTCCCGTTCTGCGTCGGATGGGGGAGAAGGGGTGACGAGGCGGAGGGAGGGGGAACCGGTTGCGATCCTGTTTGGGTCGGTGGGACGAGGTCGCGCGATGGGCTTGCGGGGGACGTCGTAGCTTGCCATGTACGGCCCTCGAGGTTGTTGCTGCTGCTGCTGCTGCTGCTGCTGCATCATGCCGAGCGTGGGGCTTGGTTGGCCAGGCGGGAGGGCGGCGAATTGTCGTGTCGGAGGGGCCAGAAGACGGAGATTGTTGCTCGGCTTCGACGACGTGCGGCCTGGGATTACCGGGTATGAGACGGGTGAGCGGCCGGTGGGGGAGGCGTTGGAGAGTTTAGAGGCCGGGGACTCGACGACCGGAGACAAGTTGCTCTGCTCCAGGATCGGTTCCGGATCGGTGGCCACGGATGAGGCGATTGTTGTCACTGAGGCTTGCGAGACGTGGGAGTCATGGCTGTCGGAGCGCTCGGGGGCCTTGACGGGCGGTGGACCGGTCGAGGTCGTCGGCGCCGGGACGGCGGGTGGTTGCTTGGACTTCGAGGAGCTGCGGCGGCCGATGGAGTTGCTTCGTCGGCGAGGTGGCTCGGGGTGGGAGAAGGACATGCTCGGCACGGGATGGGCAGCGCTGTTCGGCAAGGGAACACCTGATTGGTATGCGGTGTTGGGGCGAGTAGTGTTCTGAGAATAAACGCTCGAAGAACGACTCTGATACGGCGCAGAGAGGTTTGCGGGGACGATCTCCGCAGGGGGGAGGAGCACCGGCGCGGGAGGCATCGGCATTCGCGGTGCTGTCGGGGCCCTGGGACTCCCGGCTCCGTGACCGATTCCTGCCTTCGTGGCAGTGGCTGCGAGCATGGCAGACTCGGCGTACGAAGGCTTCGCCTGCGCCCCTCCGCCGGAGCTTGCGCCCGAGGCGTCGAGCTCAGCAAGTTGAGCCATGTGGGTGGCGCTCTTGGGATCACCCAACACCCAGTTTCCATTCTTATCCGCGACGTAGTATGTAGTAGCAGACTGGGGCGTCTTGCCAGTCGCCGCAGAGGGCGGTCTCCAAATGTTATTGGAGCGCTGAGAGCGTGCCGAGCTGGCGGCGGCCGAGGTGAGGGCGCCATCTTCTTCGAATTCGGTCATTGTGCTCTCCCTGGGAAGGTTGTAGTGCGTACGAGGCGGGGCCGTCAGCTTGGCTGTCCTCTCATTCAAGATCTGGGAGTTTGTCTGCTGAGTATTGCTCTGCTCCTTCGGTTGGGGTGGAGAGGACGAGTAGAGATCGATCTTCGGAATTTTGATGGAGAGGACTGGCTTGGGAGAAGACATGGACGGCTTAGCCGGGAGCAGACGGGATATCGGCCGGTTCTGTTGCTGTTGCGGCTGATAAGGCTGCTTTGGCGTTCCCATACTCTGTGGTCGGGAGATGGCAAGACCGATGGCTCCTGGCCACCAACTGGTGCGGGCGCTATTGCGATTGCGAGCCACGGGAGCTGGCTGGGCTGGTGGTGGAGGAGATTCGGCATGGTGCATAGGCGGAGAGATATGGAAGATGTTGGCTGGGCCTTCCTGAGGATGGAATTCCCACGAGTCCTTCTCGCGCACTGGGAAGAAACCCGTCTTCTCATCCGGATAGTTTCTTCGACGTCTACGGCGGGCAAGGCAGATGGCGAGGATGGCGATCCCCAGTGCTGCGGCGAGACCAACAGCAAGACCTGCCACCTGAGCTGTACCGAACCGCTCTGAAGATCCCGAGTTGGCCTCTTCAGCACCTGGGGCCGCGGTGGCCGACGCAGATTGGGTTGTTGTGGTCGCTGGCGGTGGAGGCGGAGGCGGAGGCGGAGATGTTGTTCTCGTGCTGGTGCTGCTCGACGTTGAGATGGAGGTAGTGTTCGATCTGGTGAGGGTAGAGAAGGAGGGGCTCGGGGTCGTCTCCGTCGCTGTAATCAGTGTTGTCGGGGTAGACCGCGTCGTCGTCAGGTGCCTCCTCGTTGATGTAGGATAGACCACCGGCGAGGTAGTTGGTGGAGGGACAATAATGATGCCGGCGCCAGATGATGGCAGAATTAATGTCGCAATGATGGCAGTATGTGTCGGAACAACGGCTTCTGGCTGATTCGAGCACATCAGGTAGGCCGCATCGATGACGGTTTCTACCTCAAGTCAGCTATCACATCAGTTGGTGAGAGGCACGCGACTTACGAGGCACGTCGCTCTCGCGGCACGAGCCGATCGTCTTCTCTGCAATGAGGCATTGAACAGCACCCTCTCCAATCGTAAGGCCCGACAACCCAGCATTCGCACAAAGGCATTGCAAGGTCGGCGCGCTACCGCAAGTGGTGAGGGCATAGTTGGCACTCAGGTGAGAGCGAAAGCATTGGCGGGCGCAAGACGGCACGAATCTAGTGATCTCGCTGGACAGGTTGAAGGACGTTTCGGCGGTGACCACACATAACAATGTGAATAAGAGTGTCCAGAAAAGCAGAGGCTTGAAGGCCATAATACGGAAGGACATCTGTAGATTGTAATCAGTACGTTATCCGTAATGGCCCGCGACGTGTACCTACCTCGGTGAAGGTCCCATCCTTCATACGGTCCAAAGACAACAGACTAAGTCTTGGACGTGTAAGTGTGAATCCAATAAGAGGGCTGTCTTTCAATGACCATCCCACGAGGCCGACACCAACACAGCTTGAGTGGTGAGAAGAGATGAATACGGTAACGAACCTATGAGCAGAAGAACGTATTAAGTTATTACGAGACGGCCTGCATCTCCAGATGTAAAACGATGTAAAGAGAATAGAACACGACGCTGTTGGGTGTATCGTCCGATATTTTCAAAAAATTAAGCAACGCAAAGCTTCAGCCCCGAAGACAAGAAAAGAAAGAGGCTATTCCTTGCTGAGATGCGCGAAATGTAAGTAAGAAAGCTGAGAAAATCTAAAAGCAGACAAAAACAGAGATGCGTTGGGGGCTCAGAGGCGGGAATGCAACTCTTGATACATGGATGGAGACATCCCAAAAGACAGGAAGAGAAGGAGAAGGAGGAGCGGATGTAACTAAGGGGACAGAGAAGATAGACTCTGGTGCCTCCTCCGTCATCCAGATGCCCGTACACGTCTCTCACTAGAGAGTCTGGATCCGCGTTGACGCGCTTGCCTTCCTCTGACTTCATTCGACCACATCGCAGAAACGTCGTTGCGGCGAGAGTGGACGGCGAGGTTAGCGAGTCCAATGTACTGCCTCACCATGCCGCCGACCTGCATCTTGCAGGGTCGGTTCTGGTTCCTGCAGTCGCGCCCACAGCGGCCCGGACAAGCTCGCGAGCCGCCTCGACAGATTCTGACGAGAATGACGAAGAACCAGACACTTCGGGGGCCATCCGTCTCCGTTTCGGGCGTCTGTCATAACCGCTGGTTGGTTGGAGAATGACGCTATTTTCGGGTCCCCTTGTTGTAGCATCTCAGATCCGAATTCCACAAGCTGTGTGGCGGTCCAGGCCAGGGTGTAACCCATCCCGCATGCCATCATCCCAGGCACGCGAGGTTGAGTGGCCAATGGATTTCAGGTTGCGGGTAAATGCATGCACAACGAGTGGCTGAGGGTCTTCTAGGTTGTCCCCCAAATTTAGGCGCCGTCGTTCTTTAAGCGCGGAGGTCGACAAGATGCGTGGCGAGCCGCCCGCAGGACCGGCGGGGAAAATGTCGATAGCATCACGTGATGCAGATCAGAGGGAACCCAAGCCAATGAGCGGTCAACTCGAACCGAGAATCATCGTGAGCGCCAGACCTAGTCGCCGGCCAGTTGTTTCCAGACTACTTTTGCTTCTTGCGACTGCCCCCTTTGTTTCGAACACGCTGACTATGAGATTGACGGATGTGATTGATCTTGATGAATCTGCAGTCCTCAAACCGTAGCAGCATTTGATGCGTCGCTGGCGAGTACTGAAGCCAGTAACTGGGGGCGCCACCGAGCTTGATACGCTTCTCCAACGCAACCGCCCGAGGCATGTGTCTTACGTCTCGTCTCGTAAAGTCACATATAGACCCCAATCTACCCTCAGCGCTCTGCACCTTCAACCCTCAGCTTTCGCGCTTCTCATCGTAGGGTTTCATCTTGGCTGAGAGTACGATGGGACCGCTGCAACGCACCCCCAACGTAACCTTCTCCTATACCGAATGTTCCGTGTCCACATTGTAGAACTCTACTCGTGGGATTTCGGCAACAACTTCGACCGAAAGTCCAGCCGAACGAGCGTGGTCTGTTAGGGTCAGTGAACTCCACAAGGGGGCTAGGAATGCAAAAGGGCTATTTGTATGTAGGATTTTCCATTGTTTTCCGTTGATGGTATCTCAGTATTTTTCGTTGCCTCGTCTTAAGACTCAAAACCGTCGAGGCCAAGCAAATCCGTGTCACATCTAACTGTGGCAAAACTGGGTGATGGTCTCATATGGCATGCCCTTAGCTGCCCAAATCATTCCACGTCGTCCGCAATCTTTCCGTCGTCCTCATGCTCGTTCAAGTCGTCGGTCGCCCCTTTGTCAAGCTAGTACTACTTCTTGGCATCGGTGGCGCTCGGTGCGAACGCTGCCTTGGCTCTGTTGGACTTGATGACCCTCTGAACCTCCTCTTCGGTCTGATCCCAGTCGTTGGCATCAAGTTGCACAAGATCAATCTCGTACAGGTCGGCGATGTGCTTCAGAGCATAGAAGCTCTTCTTGTCGTAGACGAAACTGATACTGACACCGATGCGTCCGAAACGTCCGGTACGGCCGATACGGTGCAGGTAGGTCTCGGGGTCTGGCTCGGAGTCGCCACGTCCCTTCATGGGGATATCGTAGTTGATGACCATCGACACACTCGACACATCGATACCGCGAGCCAGGACGTTCGTGGTGAGAAGAACCTTGGACTGGCCGGATCTGAACTCCTCCAAGAGGCGATCACGCTCGGGTCCATCCTTGGCACCGTGGAGGGCGGAAACACGGTGGCCATCTGCCTCCATTCTGCGCTTGATCTCATCGGCGCTCTCACGGGTCTAGTTGTGATTGTTAGCTACATCCCTGATGAGATATGGTGGAGATTTGACATACTCTGACGAAGATAACAGAGGAGCCGATGGTCATGAGACCATACAGCTTGACGAGAACCTCGTATTTGTCCTGCTCGGTAGGGCAGTCGATGTACATCTGAGAGATACCCTTGACTGTGAGCTCGGTGTGCTTCAGACGAATCTGATCAGCCTTGGGCGCAAACTTCTCGGCAAAGCCCATAACCTTGTCGGGGAAGGTGGCGGAGAACAGGAGGATCTGAATATCGCGGGGAAGCATGCTGCAACCATGTCAGTGTGCTTTGTCCAAGACAGTAGGGTAACGTCCTTACTTCTTGACGCGGAGGCACTGCTCGCCAAGACCTTGCTGGTCAAGCATGTTGTCGGCCTCGTCAATGACCAAAAGTTTGAGGTGTGACACATCCAGCTGACGTCTGCGGATGATGTCCATTACAGTGCCGGGTGTTCCAACGATGACATTGGCGCGAACAGCAGCGTTGCGCTCCAGAGCACCGGGAAGAGCGGCAGCAATCTTCAATCCCTCGCAGAACTGGCCAATGCTGCCGACGACTCCCTCGATCTGACGGGCAAGTTCACGACTCGGTGCGAGGATCAGCGCCTGAGGCTGCTCCGGCTGGGTGTAGTCGACTCGCGACAATGTGGTAACGACGAAGGCGGCGGTCTTTCCGGTACCGGATTGCGACTGGGCGATCATGTTGCGGGGAGGGTTCGAGAGCATGAGAGGAAGGGCCTTCTCCTGAATCTTTGAAGGCTTCTGGTAGTTGAGAGAAAGAAGACCGCGGAGGATCGAGTCGTGGCTATAAGATACGAGTTAGATTTGATCCAATCAATCGTTCCAACGTAGGACGTACAGCTTCATGTCAGCGAAGGTTTGAGCGGAATACAGGGTGCTGTTCTGGTCAGACTGGAGGTCACCCAGCTTAACGTCGACATCGTAGGTGTTCTCGACGAGACCAGAGCCACCGAGAGGCTCGACGGTGCCATCGAGCTGGGCTTCCGCAACCTTGCCCTCAGCAGGGGCCGCAGTAGTAGCGTCGGCAGCACCGTCGGCCGGAGCAGCGGCAGGCGCATCGGCGGGGGCATCGGCCGGAGCAGCAGCAGCAGCAGGAGCGTCGGCAGGAGCGTCGGCCGGAGGCTTGGTGATGCGACTCGCGAGATCAGACATGGTGATGGAGTTGTGGGCGGAACTGGAGGTCTGTGACATGATTGTTAGCAACGGAAGGAACCGTAGGTCGTAGTGCACTAGAAGCTCACAGGTCGAGTCGGGGGAGTCGCACGTTTGCACCGACTGCGGAAGAAGGTTAGCTACCGCCGAATGCGCAGTTGACGTGTTTATGAGAAGAATGACGTTGAAAGCAATGGGAGGAGGGGAGGAGGGGCAGAGGAAAAGTTGACTTACCTGCGCGCAAAGCTACTCTCTCGTGTCGTGTTGGAGCAGAGAAGTTTGGAGGTGAAGGGTGTATGGGAGATTTCTGTTTGTTTTTGAGATGGCGGATTGGAAGCTCCCAAAAGTCGAAATTCTAAGAAGAGCTACGTCGTCGGTCGCTCTTGCTTGTGCCTGGCCGACAAAGGCCAATGGCGGGGCTACCGCGGGGCAATTTTCCAGCCTAAAATTCCAGGCGGTGTGTTTGAAGGTCAGGACCCCGTCCTTTTCAGGAACGAGTGCAGGTGGAAGGTACCGACCGGGGATTTGCCGAAGGGACAGCTGTATATTACATAAGCACGCGATTGCGGTGCTAGGTCAACGTCGCAGCATCGGCAAGATGGAAAGCTGCAAAACACTGAACTTGAAGTCAGCTCACCTCACCTTACCCGGTTGGAAAGTTCCACGTGACAGATGACAATCCACATTCCTCCGCGTAAAACCGTCTTGATGCAGCGTGTCACCTGGTTTCCGAGCTCCCAAGAGCTTCATGAGGATGGTGCTCCCTTGTTCAAGCGGCTGTCTGTTTCATTTGCGAACCCGACGTCATTCATGCAATTGACAGCATGAAATGCTCAGGTCCAGCGCAAAAACACACCCCGGTTGGTAGTTATTCAAGCTCCGGCGCATCTGGCATAATGGACCTAGAGTACCCCTCAGCAAGGTTGGCTCTGGAGAAGCCGAGACCCCTGCCTCTCAGGCCTCAACGGCACCAATAGGTGGAGTTCCAGTGGCTGGCGACCGGCCCAGTGTCCGCCCACCCCACCACAGTCCTCTTCAGCGCGCACTTAGTGGACCGAGCAGCCGGAGAAACGCACCAGTGAAGCAGAGGAAGGTTCCAGTCTTTGCCCAGGAGGGAGCTGACGACGTCTTCCCGTCCGATGTCAATGCCCCAGGTCCCGACACCCGGCCAATCCAATCCAATGTTCTTCTGCACTTGTTCTTGCCCGTTCAGGTACCTCAGCTCCAGCTGGCATTCATACGGGTGACTGTGGGTTGGCTGCGCAGCCTTGACTACGGATACCTACTGCGGTATCTACCTACCTCTAGGACCTGCTGTGCTCTTTGTTGCTGGACCATGATCACGGCCTTTACGACTTTCCACTCCATTATTTGTTGTACATAACCTTCGGGCGTCCTGCGCCTCGTGCTAGCATTCATCGACTTTGTTTCTGCCCGGTTTTCACCCAGTTTTAGCCGTTTCGGCGGAGAAACGCCTTATACGATCCTCCCACCCCCACTACATACCTACCTTACTTCTCTTGCTCGGGCCGCCGTCTACCGTTGGTAGTTGTCCTCTTCCCGCCCGCTCTCGCTCCTTCGGAGGAATCCATCACGAATCCTCTCTTGTTTCCGCTAACCCCCTTTCGCGGGCAAAGCATTCGAATTGATCTGAACTGCTGAGCTTCGCCCTTTGTATGCGGTTTCAACAACACAATCCTCGACAATGGCCGAAGTAGACGTCGCGCCGACGTTCGGCGCGGAACTGAAGGCAAGTATCACCTCCCGCGCTGCGCCTCTTGCTTGCCCCTCAATCCGCTGACATGTCCTCCAGGATGGCTTCAAGCCAGCCAACGTCTGGGTAGCCCACGGGATAGCATGGCTTGACGAAATACAACAGTTCTACCGCGAGAGGAGTGCGATCGAAAAGGAGTACGCTGCCAAGCTCAATGGCCTGGCCAAGAAGTATTTCGAGAAAAAGAACAAGAAGTCGGCATCGCTCAGCGTTGGCGATACGCCTGCCATGACCCCTGGCTCCCTCGAGGCCGCCTCCTTAACAACTTGGTCTACCCAACTTACGACCCTCGAACATCGAGCCGAGGAACACGACCGATACGCGAACAACCTCTTGTCCCAAGTTGCCGAACCCCTCAAGTTCTTGGGTACCCGCTTCGAGGAACTGCGCAAGCGTCATGCCGAATACGCAAGCAAGCTGGAACACGAGCGCGACGCCCAGTACGCCGACTTGCGAAAGACCAAGGCCAAATACGATGATGCGTGTCAAGAAGTTGAAGGCAAGCGCAAAAAGGCCGAGTCATCCTTTGACAAGGCCAAAGCGCAGAGTGCGTATCAACAGCAAATCATCGACATGAACAACGTCAAAAACACATACTTGATCTCTATCAACGTCACCAACAAGCAGAAGGAGCGTTACTATCATGAGTACGTTCCCGAGGTTATGGATAGTCTGCAGGACCTTGCCGAATTCCGCACCATAAAGTTGAACGGCCTTTGGACTGTCGCTTCGCAGCTGGAAGCCGCTATGCTTTTGAGCAGCAAGGGATTGATGGAAAACCTAGGAGCTGAAATCGCCCGGAACGAGCCTCATCTCGACGCCATGATGTACATCCGCCACAACCTCGGTTCGTTCCAGGAACCACCTGACAAGACCTTCGAGCCGAGTCCGGTGTGGCACGACGACGATCTCATGGTTGTAGACGAACCGGCAAAGATCTATCTCCGCAACGTGCTGAGTAAATCTAAGGCGCAGCTGGGAGACCTACGTAGAGAAGTCGACAAGAAGAGGCGCGAGGTTGAAAGTGTCAAGCGTGTAAAGCAACGCATTAGGGAGGGCACCGAGAAGAAGGACGAGGTCTTGGTAGTTACGCAAATATTTGCCCTGCAGGAGGATCTTCATGCAGTGGACAGGAAGCGCGTGACGGCCGAAGTTGAGACCTCGACCATCACATCGGCTGTCGGCGACGTCACGCTAGGCGCAAAGAACCACAACTTCAAGCAACAAACCTACAAGATCCCAACGAACTGCGACCTCTGCGGAGACAGGATATGGGGTTTGTCGGCCAAGGGATTCGACTGCAGAGACTGCGGGTACACCTGCCACCAGAAATGCGAGATGAAAGTGCCTGCCGACTGCCCGGGCGAACAGTCAAAGGAGGATCGCAAGAAGCTGAAGGCCGAACGCCAAGCAGCCGCAAGTGCACTCCTCAAGCCAACTGCATCCTCGCCGACGAACGCATCCGATTCGCCGACCCTTACACGCTCGAACACGATGAACTCCCTCAGCTCAGGGTACGCGCAGAGTGCTCGTCGGTCAATAGCTGCGGGCGCAACATCACCGATAGAAGAGACTCCTCCGCCAGAGCCAGCAACCCCTCGGCCCCCAGCTCCGGCATCAACAGTAAGTTCTGGCGCGGCTCGCAAGCGGGTTATGGCACCGCCACCAGCCGCCTATATCAGCGAGCTCCCGGGAAGCGCGCCTACAAATGGGTCCTCCGAGCAACAGAAGGGCAAGATGCTTTATTCGTTTGAAGCCAGCGGCGAGGGGGAGTTGTCTGTACTAGAAGGTCGCGATGTCACCATGCTTGAGCCAGATGGTAAGTTTCACTCATAGCCGACTTCAGAACACCAGCTAACACGCGTACAGACGGGTCCGGTTGGACCAAGATTCGCGCTGGTTACAAGGAGGGCATCGTGCCATCAAGCTATGTCGACTGGGCACCGCCATCGCCCATGGTTGCGCAGAACACCGGGGCATCCGCGCGACCCGATTCGACATACTCGAACTCGGGGTCTTCGATAGGGACAGCGGCCAAGAAGAAGGGGCCGGCGGTCGCACCGAAACGCGGAGCCAAGAAGCTCAAGTACGTCGAGGCGTTGTACGAGTACACGGCGCAGAGCGACCAGGAGCACAGCATGGCGGAGGGCGAGAAATTCGTGCTCATCAAGGACGATCAAGGCGACGGGTGGGCCGAAGTCGAAAAGGGCGGCGTGACGAGGAGCGTGCCCGCGAGCTACGTCCAGGTGGTTTAGGAGACTCGTGCAAGGGAGCAGAAAGTAGAATACAGAAGGCTGTTGTCTCCGGCCGCACAACCGCCCGCAACGAATACAACGGACGACGCACGGCGACGCGCCCGTGGCATGTCGGAAAGGGGGCCGAGCAGAGGACAGGAGAATTCCGGCCCGGCCGTCGTAGACTTAGAGGAGGAGCAGGTGACGAGCGTTCGGCTCGTGAGGCGAAACCAGAGCCAGAGAGAGGCGCGGAAGGCGAGGCTCCACGCGTCCAGGCGGGATCGCAGCAGCATTGGTTGACGAGCATTCGTGTTGAGATGCATTCATACGGGTACATATAGCAGGTTGCGGCGAGAGAGGGGGGTTTTCCGAGTCGTGCCCGCATAAGGTGGTGGTCGGTGGCTTTTTGTTTTTTTGGGAGAGTTTTTGGAGTAGTCTAAAATGAGCAAAATTCATTTCTACACATGCACGATGAATCCGGGCGGTCACGAGAAGGTTTGAGTTGGGAAAATAAGATCCGACGACGCATGAAAGTCTCTCAGAGGCGTTCACGTCAGAGAAAGTGTCAAAACATGTTTGTCACGACTCGCCATTCAATTAGTCGGTCACTCAGTCAGTGTTCCCCCGCAAGGAACTAGGCCCGAAGTGTCCGTACTGCGTCGGCCTGGGCCCTGGATCATGCGCCGGTCACGTCGGCCGCGGTGGGAGGGAGGATCGGGGAGATCCAACCGGTCTTCCCGCCACGGAAGCCCGGCTTCAGTCTGTGAGAAGGAGGACGACCCAGTGGCATGCTGCAGCGGAGAGCATCTAGCCCGATTCGCGTATACGAATTCAAGAGGCGACTCTGACATGTACGTGTACCGATGTTTAGGAAAGCGCGTTTTCTAGAAGGCAAGAACGGGAAGCGTTTGTGGGTTTCCCAAGAATCTTGGGTTGGAAAAAAAAGCATTCTCCTCGTCGTTTGGGATGATTTCTCTCGTGCGGTTGCCATTCGACGGGAAAGACCGAACGAGGACTTGGCCGTCGCTTGGCATTCTTGAGAGCACACAAGCAAGAGTCAAGACCGCGGTTCGCTCTGGTCAGCATGGGAACTCCCCTTCGTTGACTGACGGTTGCCAGTCGGGCCAAGCACTGGCCAAGCGCCAATCAGCATATGACTGGGCGAGGGACGGATAACCCCTGGATGTGAGAGTGTGAGTGCTGTGTGCTGTGTGCTGTGCCTTTTCGCCTCGCGTGTGTGTGAGATGGAGGGGATCAAATTTGGGAAATTGGGGTAATGCAATTTCTTGCGCCGGCGATGTGCATTCGGACCTGCCCAGCGAGGATTTCTTGGTCAGACTGGGTTTTGAAGCTTGGCGAGGTATTTCTCTGCCTCTGCGAGTCTGCTGTTCAAAGATGGCCGTTTGATTTTGGGTTGAAGGTCGACGTCTTGGATCGGATATGAGAAGTGGGCGGAACGGATCTGTTCTGTTTATTTGCCTCCAGCGAATTCCGTTTAATGATACCTCAGGCCCTGGGTTCTGTTCTTTTTCTGGACGCGCGGGCAGGCAGGGAAGGACCCGGACGCGGAATGGGACCAATCTATCCGCTCCCGTCAGCCCTCTCTTGACGATTGATTTGGTCGCACGTCGTCGTCAGTTTAAAACCGGCATCTTGAATTGGGCAGGAGTGAGTCGGTGGAACCGGGACGGTCTTGGAAAGTCTTGGAGGGTTCGGGATGGGAGATGATGTTGGGCGATCTCGTCGACCGAACAATCGATCGAGTAGTTTTTTTTCTCCTTCCTTGCATGGGCGGGCGGTACTCCGAGTTGATCTCGAGATGAGGACCGAAGCGGCGAATGGATTCAATATTGTGCGAATATTCAGCAGTGGTCAAGACCGCCGGGTGGAGGTAGATGGTGGCAGTGTTGGGCGTGGACTGCGCGGCAGCATTCCCAAGCGAAGTGAATCTTGATATCCGCAATGGACCATTTCTTAGCTGCATGCTGGTGCTTTTCTTGGAGCTTTCTTGGGACCATTATCTAGAATGGCGGGCGGTCTTGGCCAATGGAAGTGGTTTAGAGGTGCCGATACGGCGCCTTGGGCCACTGGTGGGCGGCGGAATGCGACACTCGTGGTCGAGGGGAGGTGTGGACTGTGGAGGCCTGGCGGGTGACGATGAGGACGATGATGATGATGATTGCCCGTGGGAAAGGACGTGCGCGCGTTGTGTCCCATTGATCGCTGTGGCAGTGCATGGCCGGTGTCGTCTTCTGACTGGGGGGTGTGGAAAGGGACGGGGAATTATCTCCACTATTGGATCATGTCTCTGGAGACTGCAGCTGGAGTCGTGCCTGGGTTCTTTCGGCATGCGAAAAAGGGGGAAGCCTGCCGGTGGGCGGGACGGGTTCTTGCTCACCTTGGCCCTCACCGCAGTCTGGAACTTGCAGAGACATCAGCATCAACGACCTGTTTGCGCTTTGCTTGAAATTCCTCGAATTGCGGTGGGGTTGGAAGGGAAAGCAGCCGCAACATTGAACGGTGGTCGTTGTGGACGGTTTCCATTGTGTGAGTAGGTGTGGAGAATTCGTGTTTTTTTTCCCGGTCGTCGGCGCGTGTCAGCGGCCATGTCAGTAAGAGGCGCAGATAATAAACATGATGATGAAGGTGATACGAGCACAACCAAGAAAACAAACAAAAACATGTTGGCTGGTTTGCCACATTCAAACGCTTGGCTTAACGCCCGTATGTTTGAAGTTGGCGATGCGAAACCAGCAGAAAGCCATTGATTCCGATTATCCGTAAGGCGGGCGATTGAATTAGTGAAGCAAAGTGGTTGAGTGGCTTCCATTGTCAAATTGCAAGAAAGAAGACGAGAGCAAATGTCAGTGCCCAGACGCGCTGGTGCAACGCGCTTGCTGGACGCTGAACGACACACCCGACGGAATTACATCACCAATGGCAGCCTCCCGTGTTGATGGGAGACACGAAGTCAACGCGGGCGTGCGCTTAGCACCGCGGGCTGGAGGTGTAGCTGCCCCGGAGCCAATGATAGTCGTCTTCTCTTTCTGCCGGGTGACCGCCTGGCTCCATCCCACCCTCCCGTCCGATGTGGCCACGCCCTCGCACGGTCTCCCGCCCACGCCTACGCTAGCTGGGCAGGTACGGCATCCCCTGAATCAGAATGAATTGCCTCCAAAAATTGTGAAGGTCGTCGACGGTCAGGGACCAAGAGGACGGGAGGGAGAAGAACAGCAGCTGCCAGCCAGTCATGGCTTGTCTGACAGCCCAATTCGACTCGCTCGGTGGATCTTCAGCACCTCCTGAGGTGTCTCCTGAGTCCTGTCTCCTGTCTCCCGCCGAGGACGACCCGGGTCCCGTCGTGTGTCCAAAGGTGGTCCACCGTCCACGTCTCCTGTCGGTCCTTCCTTGGCAAGGAAAGGGAAATCTGGGCCAGGACGACGCCAGTGGAGAGCCCAGATGTACCAAATGTCCAATCCTGTCAACAGTTCGGCAACTGCGTACGAATACCCCCGGACTTGTTCGCCCACCTCTCCTCTCCTCCTCTGATGCAGGTGCCAGGTGCAGGGCAAGGGTGTGCAAGGATGTCTTGTCTGCTGGGCTGGAGACTGGCGTGGAAGAAGGGAAGGAATTCGTTCGTTTCGTTGCACCACCACCGTCGACAACGCCGTTTTTTAACCATTCCAGTCCCTCCTTCCCCTCCAGCCTTGACTTTTACTCTCCTCCTTCTTTCCCGTTCTTCACCTCCCCAAAGACCGACCTCTCGTTGCCGCCTTCCCGGGTTTCGAGTCCCAAATTTTCCTCTTCGATACCTCAAAAGTCAACTCCCTCGCTTTGGTTGACGCCTTTTGCATCTGTCTACTTTTCTCAACATCCGACCAAACCCTTTTAATCAGACAAACCTTTTGGAACCCGAACGCCGTCGCTTTTTTGCACCAACTCTCCGTCACTCTTTCTACGCTCTATTCGCTCGGCTCATATTCCATACTCATCACACACGCGTGGTATTTTGGGAACGCAGAATCAAATCAGTCAAGATGAAGTCCTTCGCTGCCATCGCCCTCGTGGCCGTCTCTGCCGTCCAGGCCACCCCCACCGCTACCACCCCCGAGGCCCCCGTCAAGGTCCGCTCTCTCCCTGCCGTCAGTGTCTCCGGCAATGGTACGATATCACCACCTCGCCCCTCTCCTCTCATCCCCATCGTTAACATGCTGTCACAGCTTTCTGGAAGGACGGCGAGCGCTTCTACATCCGCGGTATCGACTACCAGCCCGGTGGTTCTTCTAAGAACATCGACCCCCTGGCCGACACCAGCATCTGCAGCCGTGACATTGCTGAGTTCAAGAAGCTCGGCGTCAACACCATCCGTGTCTACTCCGTCGACAACTCCAAGAACCACGATGACTGCATGAAGCAGCTTGCCGACGCCGGCATCTACCTCGTCGCCGACGTCAACAACCCCCTCTACTCCATCAATAGAGCTGACCCCCACCCTTCCTACAACGCCGTCTACCTCCAGAGCATCTTCGCCACTGTTGAGGAGTTCGCCAAGTACGACAACACCCTCGCCTTCTTCTCCGGAAACGAGGTTATCCACGACGGTGCCAACACCACCCTGACTGCCCCCTACGTCAAGGCCGTCACCCGTGACATGAAGAACTACATGGCCTCCCGTGGTCTTCGTCACGTCCCCGTCGGTTACTCCGCCGCCGATGTCTCCGACAACCGCATGCAGACCGCCCAGTACTTCAACTGCGGTAGCGACGATGCTCGTTCTGACTTCTTCGCCTTCAACGACTACTCCTGGTGCGACACCAACTTCAAGGAGGCTGGCTGGGATGTCAAGGTCAAGAACTTCACCGACTACGGTCTCCCCATTTTGTAAGCCCTCTCCTTCTGTTTCTATGATTTGCCCTTCGGACACCTCGCTAACTCTTTTCCTAGCCTGTCCGAGTACGGCTGCATCACCAACGGCCGCACCTTCGGCGAGATCGAGGCTCTCATGAGCGATGAGATGACCAGCGTCTACTCCGGTGGTCTCATGTACGAGTACTCTCTCGAGGAGAACGACTACGGTATCGTCACTATCAACGGCGACAAGGTCACCGAGGAGAAGGAGTTCGCCAGCTTGTCCAACGCCATGTCCAAGTACCCTGCCCCTACCGGCAACGGCGGTGCTGCTTCCACCACCCACGCCGTCAGCTGCCCTACCTCCGACTCCGTCTGGATGGTCGACCCCACCAAGATCCCTACCATTCCTGAGAAGGCTGAGAAGGTGAGTAACATGTAGACAAGCGTCGGATTCATAACAAAGGCTAATCCACCAAATAGTACATGACCGACGGTGCTGGCGACGGCCCTGGTCTCAGCGGCTCCGGCTCCCAGCAGGCTGGTGACAGTGCTTCTGAGGGCGAGACCACCGGCGGAAGTGCTTCCCCCACTGCTTCCGGCGGCGCCTCCGCCACCGGCTCCCAGAACGCTGCCCCCGGCCTCACCTTCGGCGGCTCCGTCGAGAAGGCCCCTCTCATCGTCAGCGGTCTCACCGTGATGTTCACCCTGTTCGGTGCCGTTATGTTGTAAGAACCTTTGCTACGTCAAAAAGCCCAGCCCTCGTGCGGGATGTACAAACGATTTTGGAGGGCAATTGCTCTTAATTGGTATGAGCAAAACTAGATATGGTTAGCTATTTCATTAGTCAATGACCGGGGCGTCCCAAGGATCCTTTTCAACGCTGGCGCCAGTATTTGTAGTAAAGTTGTGCAACAACGACGATTGTAATCCATTTGTTAAGTTCCATCGTCTTTTTCTTCGGTGTTACTGCATCCACCTCATCGGCATTCGGCGTCGTTCCTGACGTCCTGCATCCGTGTCTGATGTGCGTTGCTGCTGTAACTCTGTTGACCTCATCGCTGTGCGTTGCCTTGCGGCTGGAGAAGGCGCCATACAATATCACGACGAGATCATCAGTTCTTCCTGTGACTAGTGCCGAGTGTGGATTTGAGACGCCTGGTGAACCTGTTAAGTCAGCTTCCATACGTGGCCCGGGAAGTACACCCTCCTGAACCATCCCGCAAATGAATCATTTTCATCAAGTTGAGCCCAGGGCGGAAAGATCTCTTGTCGTTGCGGCCCGGGGTGGAAGCGGGGTTAACTCAGACAAGCATCCGTCGGAAGGATCCCCCGGCATCAGACCCGGTGAACCGCAGTACAGCCTCGAAAGTGTGTGCCTGATGAGACGGCTTCGTCCGAACGCTAGCCAAGGGCGGTTGTCGCGAACTTTAAACCTACCAGGTCGAGAGTTCTTGTGCTGGGGTTTGGGCCACTCGATGAGTCTAAGCTGTCGCCACAGCATTGATGAAGCGTCTGGGAACCCGCACCCGTTCGGCGAAAGGTGTGAACTTGAGGTATTCCGCCCGAGGTGACGTCGCTGCTATGCTTGCCGGTGAAGCAGTCACCTTTCACCCATGATCGATCGAGTGCTTGGTGTCTGTGTAAGTGGGCCGTTGTCTATCTGGCCGGGTTGAAGTTTGGAGAGATGTGTGGGAGGTATGTTTTGGAACCCGCGGCAAAGAGACTGCGTCGGTTCCTATCACCCTTCCTCGCCGGCGTTCGGTCCGTACTTACCGGCGACAGGAACGGGAGGAGGGCGATGGATGTAAAGGCGGGCGATGAATGAGGGGGTTGCTGAGGAGCTGCGAAGAATTTCGGAGAGAGCGCAGTTGAGGAACTGGATGGTCTAACGTATCTTGCAATGGTACCCATCACTGGATAATCTCTGTTCAAACATTAGATGGCGTGGGGAGATGTGCAGACATCGTGGCAGGCCCCGCTGCACTTTTGCAGGCGGGGCCGGCTGAGCCGGTCCAGCGGGATCGGGAATAGTGGGTCGCCTCCGTCAGTCTCCCGATGCCCTCCGGATGGGGTCAAATGGCCTTTGTCCTGTCACTGTGACTTCTTGATACTTGGTATAGCCTACCGGCTTTCATTTGATGAGTTAATATCTGTTTTCGGGGCTTTCTTCTGGCCTAAAATCGGAAAATACATCCTTTAAAATCACAGCTAGATTCTCCGGACGAAAATTTGAGTCCCAGAGTTTGCCGAGTTATGCCTATGAGGTCCACGGCATCGCTCACTTTGATCTCTTGACTATGAACTTACATGCCATCGGCGTATCTGCATTTGGTTCGCAAATCCGGGGGTTGCAACGGAGCAATTGTCAGATATATAATGATTGGTGGACCGATGTCAGCGGGCTTTGGGGGTTAATCAACTCCAGGCCAATACGCAGCGACCCCGCTCGACTATATGGCCTCACGGTACCCTTAGAAAGGCATCTTTGACCAGATCACCCCGCTTGGCAGATGAATCAGGCCATGGTTCCCCAGACCTCCGAAGGACTGCCTTCCCAGTAAGGAACTACTTGAACTTTTCGCGCCTTGTTGCAGTACCTTGGGGTTTTATAAGGACTCGAGTCTCGAGCTGCCTAGCTTGCCGCACATCCGGCCCCGCCCGGAGCAGCCAATTATGCTTGGCATGGCGTTGTCAAGACGGCGTTCCAATCTCCGGACGACATTTTGGCCAACCCCGTGTTCTGTTTCCCAACGTCGTTTTTCTCCCTCGAAACCTTCGTCGGTATTGGACCCCGCCTGGGGTGTCGCATGTACAGGAACCCTGGGTTCGTCACAACGTGACACCCCCGTGCCGATTCACCCGTCTCCATGTCTTTCGAAACTTGACGGCTCAGAGTGTTTCTTGAAATGAACACCTCCCATCAACTTACATTGCGAGCCCTTCGCGATACGGGGGACGACGAAAGATGCGCCAAAAACAGGCTGTAAGGTGCCTTTGGCCTGTCCTCGTGGCATCTACTCTCGGGCTGATCGCCTATGGAATCCTGTGTCCATCGAAAATCGGCTTTGGGAGCGGTGCGTCGGGAATCGCTTTGGAGTATTCTTCCGAGTCTGCCTCATCAATAGCCCGAGAGCGAGTTTTCAACAATTTGTTTCTCGCCGAAGAACAATGCCGGTCAACGTTCCCCGGTCTGACCAGAGAAATAGACTTGGCCTCCGCTGAGGGCCTTTTTCAGATCGGCCTCGACGATGCCTCTGTGTCGCTGCTTGGCCAGATCAAAGATAACAAGCTGCTGGTTATTCGGGCGCCCAGACCGTCGGACATGTCTGATCAATGGAAAGAGGTCGGTATACCTCATACAGGCGAAATCGGGGGCATACCTGAATCGTCACCGCAAAGCAGCGGCTAACACTTCAACAGCGACAAAGAGCCGCCCTGAATCAGATAAACCGCGCCATCCTCACTTCGCCAACCCGCCTCCCGGACACCGTTTTCAACCTCTACATCCAGGATACGCCCGTATCCAAGTCGTGGTCTCACAGCCGGCCCGTCATATCCTCGTCTCCGAGACACATATTCCCCATCCCTCACTTTGCCTTTTGGGCGTGGAACCAGCCGTTCATCCGCTCCATCCCCCACGCCGCGGCGGCTATCGCTGATATCGAGGCGGACCTGCCCTTCGATAAGAAAGACCGCCGCGCTGTCTGGCGCGGGACGGCTTGGTTCAACAACGGTGCCAGCGCGAACCCGAGGTCAAGACAGGAACTCCTCAGGGTTACCAAGGATGCGCCATGGGCTGATGTAGAGTCATTGGAATGGACGAACAATGGGGAAAACGCGACCAACGCCCTCAGGATCGAAGACTTCTGCCGACACAAGTACATCATACACACCGAGGGCGTGTCGTACTCCGGGCGCCTCCAGTTCCATCAGCTGTGCGGGAGCGTGGTCCTCAGTCCGCCCATCGAGTGGATGCAGCACACGACGCACCTCGTCAAGCCGGTCTACTCAAGCCTCTTGCTAAACCAAGCCAAGGCAAAGAATGCTGGAGCTGGCTCCTCGGGCAAACCAGGCCCATACCAATACCCGTCTTCGAGAGCTCGAGAGACGTGGCCGGCGACTGTTCGGCCGGAGGAGGCAAACATGGTCTTCGTCAAGCCGGATTGGTCGGACCTGGAGGCGACGGTCGTCTGGTTGGAGGGGCATCCCGGCGTGGCACGTGGCATCGCGGAACGGCAACGGGAGCTGTTTGCCGGACGCGGCTACCTGAGCCCGGCCGCGGAGGTCTGCTACTGGCGGGCGCTGATCAGGGGTTGGGGCAAGGTGGTACGCGCTGACGATGCCGTTTGGGAGAACACCGAGGCTGTCAGCTGGGAAGAGTTCAGTGTCAAGACCGAGAAGACCCAAAAGCGGCCGTGAGACCAGATGGTTCGTCTGGGACTGGCCAGGAGGCTGTGAGGAAAGCGATCCGTTCGGGGCTGTCCTGATGTCAAGGTGTAGCAAGCCCAGCATGCTAATTCTTGACAACATGCTCGTGTACGGTGCCACGGTCAATTTCACCGGAGGCGGGAAGGCACGGTCCAATATGACGAGTCCGTGTTGGAATCAACCTCCAGCACCAGGCAAAGGGCTCAGGTCAACCGCGAAGGGATGTCGAGCCGCACCATATACCGATGAGGTTCGACTGAACACGCAAAGGCGCGAAAGAAGCGTCGAATACCTCGGCAGTACCGACCGGGCGGACCTGGTAATGCCATGGAGTTGACATGTCTCGCCGCCGCGCACTGCTGATGCCTGCCTGCCAGCGACGTCCCCATGCGAGATTGACAGAACACAACAACTAAGCTTACAGGGCTTTTGGACAGTGGGGAACTGATGTCAAGGTCAGGGGGTGGGAACAGGGAATGTCTGACATTGCGGTGGGAAACATTTTGGACGTCTGTTGGTCTGTCTGTATCCGTAGCGTACCAACAACGACTCCATGCTCGATATGGGGCTCAGGGTCAAAAAGTCCGAGAGCTGTGGACGAATGGCCTGATTGCATTTGCTTGTTTGAGCCATTACCGATCAGCCGAGAAAGGGATGCCAAATATTGCGTTGCAAATAGTTTGGGAGAATTCCATGGAATTATCGAGATGACATCTCCGCCCCATGGAGGAAACAGACAGATGCGACTTGCGACTGGCCCTAGAACGAGAACCATTTCCGCGGGGCCGGCAACCTGGACGTTGGATGAAGGTGTGTCGATCTCGAGGTGAGACCTTTGCCGGAGCTGCCTGCCTTGCTGCAAACAGATTTCCAGACACCAGGTAACGATACGGCCGTCCATCCGCTTGGCGAGGCCGACACCGGCCATGCGGACAATGGGGGATGGTGCTACATCGTCTCATGCATCTCGACGAACAAAGCCGTGTCTGTCTGGCTCGGCGGAGCTGCTGACATGTTGCCGCTGCTGTCTTGTGTAACCGGCGCAAGTTTTGTGACATATGAGCCATCAGGGAAATTTCGCATGGCACGCCGCACAACACGACCCGGGCGTTTGGGACGGGGTGTACAAGTGTCTCCCGAGAAAGGTAAGACCGGCCTCGTTGTTTTTCTTTCTTGTTTTGCGGGAATGGTAGTGTCTCAGTGTTTGACGAATTACGGGGCTGGCAAGCAAGATGTACAGTATCCGAGGCAGAAAATCGAGATATCTGCGGTGTGTGTGTGTTGGTTGGGAGCTTCTCTCGGATGCGTGGCCGTCTATCTATCACCAACAACCAACGGGACTTTTGCAGCTACGTCTCACACCCCTCACTCACCAACGCCGACGTGCTGGGTACAAGGCCTGAGGGCCCGAGAACCTGGGACAGGACTGATTTCTGCGGCGCGGTTTGTTGGCAGTCACCTACATAGTAATTCCGCAGCCATTCAGGTTGAGGAGACGAGCAACATGTGGCTGGTGGTTGCATACGCATCATCACGTTTCTTGCATGGGCATGAACTGGGATTCTGTCGACCCGTCACACCGTTCTTTTGACCAAGGTAGCTGTACCCCTCGCGCGGCCGTTCCAGTCACCGGACATGGTTCACGAAAGCGAGCTGTTCAATAGCAATTCGATCCTTCGTGCCGGAACCAAAATATGACTTTGTCTAATGTGTTCTTCAGTGACCCTCTCTTTCTAAGGGCCTGGACGTATATTGGATTGGCAGGGATACCGCCGGAGCAGTTCTCTCAGAGCGGATGTTACCCCAACTCTTCCCACTAACGAGCTACCTAGCCATGGGGCTGGGGGCTCTGCAAATCATGTCCTGTCATCCTCCTATCAGCGCATTTGGTCTGACACCACTTGCGCAGCATTCCCACCGCAAGGGTGCCCGCATGTGCTACTGGGTCGGTCGTGATATTTTGGTGTTGGGACGCCAGTTTTTTTGCTTCCAAAGGGGGGCAAGAGGAAGAGGAAGAGGAAGAGGAAGAGAGGAGAGAGAGAGAGCTCGTCCCTCTTCTCCCGTCAGATGTCAGATGGATCATGTCGGTAGACGAGGTCCCGTCCTGTCGTTCCGGTTGGTGAATTGGGCCTGATATCCTGTCATTTTGGTCAGCAAGAGATCCGGCGACCTTTCCTCATTGAAACGAGATCCTCGTACAACCACCAGGTAAGAGAATTGATGTGTGGCACCTCTGCAGAGACTTTTTATTTGCTTTTCTTGTTTTTAATTCGGGACTGGACCACCGGGTCAAGCTTGTTGGTTCCAATTCCACACTCGAAGTACCTCCATGCACCTCTTTTGCCATCTCCTCCTTCTCATGCAGCAAAATCCACATTGACTACCTCCCACGTACCTTAGGTGGCTGCACGAAACTCCAATGGTGGTTTAACGCCTTCTCATGCAAAGCCGAATCTAGTTTCCAGCTCGCCCGTCTCCTCGGTTAGCTAACAAACGCCCGTTTACACAGACAGACAGACAGACAGACAGAGTACACTGCTACTGCTGCATATCTTCTTCTGCTTCTTCGATACCCCTGTTAGTCGCTCCCGACAACTCGTCTAGACTTGGAGTACGGTAGCAAATCGGGGAAGAAGGCGTCTGGAGGGGCTTCACATATCAAATCCGCGCCAACGCGCAAGCCCGGGGTCCTCGAGGTTTGTTTCCGGTCTGGATCCATCCCAAGGACCATTGACAGACGGCGAAGAAGGGGAGCACCCAAAATCAAAATTCCCAAGTTCCAGGGTCCAGGGTCCGCCCCCTCCTCACCTAGGTAGGTTCCCAGCATTGTGGAATCGTATCAGTCGACACCAACAAGTTCCAAAACACCCAACACCAGCAACCAACCTATTGGGTCCTCCCCCGTGTTTTCGTTCCCGCCTTTCCCGCCCTCGCGGATTCAGACCGACTCAGGCCGACCCAGGTCTCCGGGTCCAGCGCGCGCACATTCAAAGACACCACGATTCTCCTCCCCCCGTCCCCGTCCCGTCACCGAGCGCCTTAATCTCTCGTCTCAAACTTTGTCTTGGTCGGCCACTTCCATTGAACAATACACACCCTCTTTCAACCTCTTGATCGCCGACTTCCTGCGAGGATCTGAGTCGTGGCGTCGGCCGTCAACCACCACCACTACCACCACCAACCCGATCCTGATTCGCAATCCCTCAGTCGTTCGATTATCCCCGTCCATGATGCCCGAACCCCGCCCCTAGTTCATCTACCTGTCTTAATACCAAAAGGGGCGACTACACACCAGGATTCCCATTCCTGCGAGATCTACTTGCGAGACAACATTCATTTCGACAAGTAAACACTACAGGAACGCTACTCTTTGTTCTCTATTCACCACGCGATTGAATCTGTTATCTCCACTTCTTCCTCGAGGTGTTCGCGAACGCTGGACTTGGCCGCAATCGTCCTGTCGTTCCGAATCCGTCACTCTGGGTCATTCAAAACGCCGTCGCACCGCCGTCTCAGCTACCCATTTTCTGGCACGTTGACGTTCTCGACATACCATTATCACCTCCCGACCGGCTTCCCATGTCACGGACCGAGGTCATGTCTTTCTACCCTCCCGGCGCCGTCAACGGCCGCCTCCACGGCTTCGAGTTCACTTTCGAAGCCATCCCCGACAAATCATCCCTGCACGACAGCTTCTTAGAGCCCGATGTACGTTTGGATCTTCCCGCGCGGCCCGGTTTCTTGTGTTCGTCCGAAGTAACTCATTAACTCTTTGCTTAGCCCGATCCTCATGAGGGGTATGCCTGTCATCCAAAAGTCAATTAAATTTGACCTGAGCGCGAAAACTAATCGTTCGAGCTAGGGAAACCGACTCTTTACCAGACAGCGTGGAATGCTTTCCGCGACACTTCGGGCGGACGTATCACGCTTACCAGGCCGGCTGTGAGTGCTATCGGATTGAGGCGACTGCGCAAAGCTCGAGATATTAACGTGCGCCGCAGCTTATGTCTTCCCCAACGACGCAGCAGAACAAGAACGTTTGGACCTACAGTCGCTCGCTCTCACAGAACTCTTCAGTGGCAGGTTACATTTCGCCCCGATCAATGAAGAAGCCTCGCCAAAACGGATCCTCGATGTCGGCACGGGAACGGGGGCGTGGGCCATGGACATGGGCGACAGCTACCCGGAAGCCCGCGTCATCGGAGTCGACCTCTCGCCGATCCAGAGCAACGCAGTCCCGCCAAACGTTCACTTTTACGTCGAAGACGCGTGAGTCGTAATCCTCAGTAAGGCATGCAATTCCATCTGACGCGAATGTGTAGCTCCCAGCCGTGGGCATGGCCTGACCCCTTCGACTACATCCACACCCGCGTCCTCCTCGGCTCGTTCGGGGACTTCAAAAACGAAGTAATCCAGCAGTCCTTCGACTCCCTGCGTCCCGGCGGCTGGCTCGAGTCCCAGGACTTCAACGTCGAGGCCACCAGCGACGACGGCACCCTGGCGCCGGACGGCCCGCTGTCCCGCTGGGTCTACGACATGAACTGCGCCAGCGAGCTGATCGGGCGGCCCCTGGCGAGGGCGCACCTCCTGAAGCAGTGGTACGAGGAGGTCGGGTTCGTCGACGTGCGGGAGCGCGTGTTCAAGATCCCGCTCAACGGCTGGGCCAAGAATCCCAGGCACAAGCACGTCGGGAAGCTGTGGGAGCAGAACTTCCTCGACGGGCTCAGCGGGTTCAGTCTGGCGTTGTTCACGCAGGTGCTGGAGCGCAAGCAGGAGGAGGTCGAGGTGAGTAGTTGGCTCTCTTTCGAACGTCCGCGGGCGCGCAAACTGACTGGTAGCGGCAGGTCTCCTTGGTTGGCGTACGGAAAGACATCAGCAACATGCACATCCACGCGTATCAGCACGTCTGGGTGGTTTGCGGCCGAAAACCGTACCCCGAAGAGACCGTGGCGGCATCGACAGAGGACGACGACATGGCCGAGTGACGAATCGAATGACCTAACGACTGCACTTAGATTTACGTTCTTCAAAGCATGGAAAGCGGGCGTTACGGCTGTGTTACTTGCATTTCTCCAGCAGGGGAGAGGATGATGATCTCCCCATGACATTCGGGGTCTGCTTCTCATCGTAAAGCATATGCCAAGGGGCAAAAAAGAAGCGTTGGCATCAGGCGTACAGGTTTTTCAGGGCGGATGCAAGCGGAACATCTGGAGCAATACCAGAGGCCCTGTATGATGATGACTCTTGCATGCTGCTACACAGCGACGTTTCTTTTCAAAATCCGAATCATCATAATATTCGTTTTTCCTTTTCATCGTGGAGACTTCGAGTTGCGTCCGCTGTGACCTTGACCAGCAGTAAGACGATGTCGAATACAGAGCTGATGACTCATAAACCCGAAAGGAAGTAAGCATCAAACAGTATTGCACTAACTCAACGGCATCCCAAGACTCTCCTACTACGAAGTTTAATGTGTATACTGACAGAGAAAAGCTGTGAAGCATATGGGCATGTCCGTGTTCGTAGCTGTTTTGCGAGGCTTTCGACATGCGGATGAGCCGTTTGCAGAGCATTCGTCTTTCTCTGCTGCTATTTCCCACCCTTCTTTGCGTATTCTGCGCCGAATACCCACGAAGCCCCCCCCCCCCCAGGATGTCGGATAATCTCAGCAGACGTCGCCTAGGACCCGGACTGCTGAAAATGGTCAAATGGAACGGCGCGAAAAGACGAGGTCATGGGAGACAGGAATAGCTCGCCGTCCGGGATGTCAACGAGTTGGATCGGTTCTTCCCTTGCAACGCCAGATACCATGGTGACGGAGTGTTCTTTGTTCATCCGTGAACGATTTATTAGAGAGACAAACATCCAGATGAAACTCCTTCGGCGCCGCTCATCGCGATCCTCCGCCTCAACTCATAAGTATACGAAAGTGACATGAACGAAGGCTCAGTGGTCTGGGTCGGGATGAACCCAGGGATAGCTTCGCGTGGAAGAACTGGGATTATCGACGACGACGACGACGCGTGTCGAAGAAACTGAAAGACTGCCGAGGAGGCGAAATAAGTGGGAAGAATGTGCTATGGTGCGAGGTTTTCCCTTAGGTACCAAGTATTGTGATGTGAGGAAGATGAGACGCGGGAAAGAGCGGAACTGATATGTCAACCATAGAGACGCCTCCGTAAGGGAAAGAAATATCGTAGCGTGTTTGGTCGTATTTTGACAGGGAACATACCTTGCCAAACCGGGAATCCGTGCTTAAGCGTGTGAAGTTCGCAATAACTCTGCATCCGTACGGGCCTGTTCTGAAAAGCTCTGGAGTTGTCAACTTCTTCTCGGTTCTAGTAATCTCTTGAGGCCTTACCAAGTCGTGTTTCACCCAAACTGAGTGAGCATTAAGCAAAGCATATTTCATGTAATATAAGTTAGGCAGGAAATCCACATATCACAAAGGGAGAAGGGGAGTATCGTGTCAAGGTCAAGTTCACGAGAGTCAAGCTGCTCGATGGCTGATGGAGCTAGAAACGAAAGAGATGATACAACATACATAGCAAGCTTCGAAAGTGCTTTGATATTGACGTATTTGGAGCATGGCTGTGGGCTGTTGAGGATGGGGTATGGAGGACGCAGGCAAGCTGCGCACTCACGAACACGTTCCGGAGCTATGTCGGGCGCGGGATCTTTAACGTCTATTCGGTTCCAGTCTGAACTGTAGAGCTTATATCCGGTTTCTCGCCAAAGCCATGACAATCCCGAGGAGCAACCTCAACGGGGTGCCTGAAGAGGTTCCCCGACCACCGTTTGTCCACGATGTGTATGTCCAAGCCATCACGGACCCCTCGCGCCGACTCTCGGGCTCCGCTACCAGGTCTACCGGTCGTGGACTCCCATCCCCCAAAACAGAATGCACCACCCTGCATGAGTGAGACCTGGCGCGGAATCCGGTATCCCCATTTCCTCCCCAAAGTCCTGCTCTATCTACATGGCGAGCCAGGTGGAGTAGCAAACTCCGAACGCGACGAGCCCCTAGCTCTCCAGAGAGGTCGTATGTGTCTTGCTCCGCTAAAACGTAATGCTGAAATCGTGGGCAAAAAAAAAGGCGAAACAAAAAGCAAAGGCTCCTGAAGAGTACCCAATCAAGTACAAGTCGCATCTAGTCGCGAGGCCGGGAAAAAAAGATCATGTGCAAATACAGACGCAGCGAGCAGGCCGCTGCGGGAGACGAGTTCCTCTTCCTCTCACAGCTTGGCGCTCTCGCCGACGGTGCCGATCTTGAGCTTGCCGCCGTACTTCTCGAGCACCTTTTCGTTGTGGTACTTCCAGAAGACCTTGGTGGCGTTCTTGCCGGCGAAGCGCTTCAGGATCTTCTCACCACCGGGGTGCTCTGATTGGAAGGCTAAGGAAGGGCAGACATATCAGTATTTGCGCGTGTTCACAGCCGAGAGGAGGAAGAAGAGGAAGATCTTACCGGTGATGTCGTAGACGCCGTCCTCGACGATGATCCACATGTCCTTGTCGGTCTTGTGCTGGGCGACCTCGGCGGTGGTGAACGTCTTGGACATTTTGACTGTTTGAGGGGGTTCGGTATTTCGGTTCAAGTAGTGGCGTGAGGTTTTTGACTCTCTTGTCTTACGACTTTGCTCAGGGGGTCACGAGTTTCTGAGTAGATGTGTGGTTTGAGTGAAAGTTGACGATGGCTGGGTGAGAGAGAAGGATGAGAAGTTTCCAAGAAAACGGGGGACACGGTGAGAAACGTCGGGGGTCTGTCGGTGTCGTTGCTTTAGCGCAACCTGGCTTGCATCAGGCGCGTGTGCTGAAGCGGCAACACGAGTCAACTTACCTCGGCTCATCTATGCGCGATTGGGGGGACAGGGGGGCCGGGCGGTTCACAGTGGTGTTCGTCGGGGGGACCCCCCGCGACGTCATTCGTCCGCTGATTGGGGGAGCTCCGCCCCCGGAGCCTGGAGTAAAATGCGGGAACAAATCACGAGACTCCGATTTCTCAGCTCGTGAGATCCGGGGAGAGAGATCCGAGGCTCCGCAGGTTTGTCACTTTCACACGCCTGAGAGACCTCGATTGTTCTTTACGGGTGTGTCATCGCCAAGGATTCCGGGGTCTTGGGAGAGTTTGTTTGGCGTGAGTGGAGTTGTTGCTGCCAACGATGCGGATGAACGATCTAGAAGGTGGGTTTGATATCGCTGGTATCATTTCCGGAAAGTTCGCTAGACTACTATATAGTTGGTGATATTGATGTTGATACATGGAACAGGGTGCTTCTGCGAGAGCCCTCATCTATGCTGTCGTGAGTCCAAAACCGCATGCGCCGTACACCCAGCATGCTATGCTACAAGGCCACCTCTGTATGCGAGCTGACGATAAGTCTTTAGAATTCCACAATCATGCTTCCCTGATCTAATGCCTGCCTGAACATGTTGGCGAAGCTGGCTGTTCCCTTACAATCGCTGGCCTCCCACTTCTCAAGGGCTTTGGGTACCCACTCTCTACACTTTTCGATGCGGTGTTCATTCTGCAAATGTCGAGGTCAGCAAATCCCCGGGAATCAAGGTGAGAGGTTCGAGATCGCGCGTGAACAAGGGTTTTCCCGACTTACTGAAGGATGCGTGCTGAGGAACTCCGGTACCTCCTCCGCCTGCCCCCTCTTAGCCCACCAGTCCATCCGCTGCCACAACGCGACCGCCTCCCGCGGGTCGAAACAAGCCTCCGCCATGAGCATCATGCCGATATAGTCCGCCTCGCTCTCCTGCAGCCGTCCCATAGGCAGGCTGAAGAGGACGTCCATCATTCCGGAGCCGAAGTACTGCACCAGGAGGAAAGCCGGCGGGTACATGAAGGACATGCACATGAGCGTTCCCAGCAGGATGTTCGGTCCGATCTGCGAGCTCATCCGTTCGCCGACGTGGCCCGCGAGGTTGTGCGCGATCTCGTGGCCCAGCACCGCGGCCAGGCCGTCCTCGTTCTTGGTCACGCGCAGGAGCCCGCTGTGCACGAAGACCTTGCCGCCCGGCAGCACGAAGGCGTTGACGGTGTTGGGGTCGTCGATGACGCGCAGCTCCCACTCCTCGCCCTCCATGGCGGACACGGGTATCAGGCGCTTCATGACGCGCGCGACCATCTTGGCGCGGGGGTCCCACGCCGGCAGGAAGCGGCCGCCCTGGGACTCGACTTCGTGGATGATGCGGCGCACCTGCTCGGCCGAGACCTCCTTGACGTAGTAGTCCGGGAAGCAGTTGAAGCGGCGCCGGCCGGAGACGGGGACGGTCTGGATGTTGTACCAGTAGAAGGCGACGGCGGCGAGGAAGGAGGCTATTACGACGCCCTTAGTACCGCGGGAATATGCGACTCGTTTGGCGCCTTCGGTTGTGAAGAGGGGCTTCGCGGTCCGTAATCGGCTTTGGTGGTACTGCTGTTGCAGGTAGTGTTGGTCTATTTGATGTCGGGGGTCGGCCGGAGAGCGAGGGGTTTGGCTGAAGAGACGTGTCTGTCTAAGAGGTCTTGATATTGGATTTGGTCTGCTTCGGAGAGCGGCTTGTGTGAGGGAACCGTGAACCGAACGAGGCAACAGTGGACGACATGATGCGCTGAGGGCGTGTTGTCGGAGGACGGCGCGGAGGGGTCGGAGGGGTAGCATGATCGAGCATGCGCGGCGCGGCGGGCGCAAGAGGGGGTGAGCGAACGGAAGATATATCTTGGTTTGCGCGACCTGGCTCCGGTGGCCTGGCGGCAATTTGAAACTAGGAAGGGTACGGTACGTGGTTCGTAAATGTCGTGGAAGATGACGAGCTCCATGCTGTTATTCGTAAGTGAAAGCCCCGACGATAACGATAAGGAATCGTGGCGCAGAGAGGGCACCAGCCACGCCGTGGGCTACCTCTCCCGTCCAGTCCCGTCTCGTCTCGGTCACCTCAGCTTCCCGTCTATTCCAGCTTACTCGAGAAATATAGCTTCGAAACGTTTAGTCATTACTTTGCCCGTGAACTATATACAGCCGCTGAGTACCAATGGCCGGAGAAAATTATCGTGCAAGCCCTGCCGCAGCGTATCCAACCCTCGTGGAAGCAAAAGCGCGCGTACCCAGGTCCCGTTTGCCTCCCCCATTCCAAGGGCAGTTCTGTCTAGATTTTATCATTGATCGGACCTCGGTCTCTTTCCCTCTCGTCCATCTCTATAGCATCCTCAATAAGCAAGATCTTCGTCCCCGTACGTCTGGTCTCCCCCTTTCCAAGCCATAGAGGGTATAATGCAATTCGTCGTTCGTCGTGCGTTATACAAACAGAACAAAGTGAAAATGTCGATGCGAGCAGGACCCTCCTGCCCATGCAATACCGTCGTTCAAAGGCGGCATGGCTCATTCTAGACTCGAAATAGGAAAGTTCGTGAAAACTCATGATTGCGTCCCTTGCGACTGGTTCAGTAGCCGCCGATGAGCGAGTCGTCGTATCTGTCTGGACTGCCGGTTCCGCTGCCGGTGGCGCTGTCGCTACTGGAGAAATAACTTTGGTCGATGCGGAATATCCAGTCCATCTTATCACGTTCGCTGCGTCCGGCGAAGAGCCATGTGTTGTCTGTTCCGTAAATGGCGAATACACCAGCCTGCAGTCTTTCGCTGAGTCGCTGGAGACCGCCGTTTGGCCCATTTGCCGCGCCGCCCATACCAGTTCCTGTCCAGATGGTCGAAATGACTCGTCCGGAGGCAGTCCGGCGATGGCTGGGGCGGAACTCTTCGACGCTGCCGTTGGTTTGTGATGCTGTGTCATCATCCTCGCCCGACAACAGACCGATGACGCCGGGTTGACTGTCAACGCGAGAATTACGCAGACTGACAATAGCCACTTCATCCCCGTCTGTGACCGAGTGGATGTGGAGGTACGGCCGCCGTAATTCCACGAATCTCTTGACCCATCTCGTCGAGCTGCTATTGGGGACTAGCAGGTAGCCTCCTTTGAGCACTTTCGGGTTCTTGGGAACACGGATGATGGTCGGGATCAAGCTTGGTGGCGCAGACTCTGGGGCCGCTCCATCAGCGGGTGGATCTGTGTTAATTGGGCTGAGAATCTGCAACAGAGGATCAGGATACTTGTTCCAGAGCTTGATGCATTTCTCGATGAGATGCTTCTCGTGTTCTGGAAGTTCCGGCTCCTGAGGAGCCTGCGCTGTCGTGGCCTCCTGCTCCTGCAGCGGGGTTTCTTGACCGTCACCGTTCACAAGTTCAAGTTCATCGTCCGGTACTTGCGAACTCTCAGGTGTGTCGTTTAGAAGATCGTCGTCATCGTGATCGAAAGTTGGCTGTGGCGGCATGTCGTCTTCTTGTGGTTCTTCTTCGGCTGGTTTTGACTTTGGCTCAGGAGGGCCAATTTTCTTTAGAAGAATTTGCACGGCCCCTATTTCTGCGATACGTCTCCTCTTCTTGCGAGAAAGAATGAAGTCGCTCACAAGGGAAATGCCGCGAGGGGTCCAGGTGGTCAACTGCTCTTCGCCCTTGACGTAGTCGTGCTGGCTGCTCATCCTCCACAGGTCACCAACCCTCTTAATAGGCGCCGGACGCATTGAAAGGGTGAAGATCGCGCTGGTAGCATGGACAAACCGGACGCTTTGCCACAATGCCGAGAACATGGACGTCTGTCTAACGTAGGATCTGGACATGATCTGGCAGCAAACGTGCATAGCAAACTTCATTGGCTCTGAGAATTTGTTGGAACTGATTTCCCACGCCACTGTCATCTGCACGCGATACTTGTCGGCGGTGACTCGATCCAGCAGCAGGGAGTTATGCAAGCTCGAGTCCCACTGACCGGTCAGAGTAATGCTCCTGGTCCCGTTTGCGTTATCGCGGAAGGCGGGCTTGTTGGCGAGTTTGAGAGTGATGGTTGGCGACGTGGAACCCATGTCGGGCGACTTTCCGGCCTGGTCGAGAAGCTGAATTTTGCCGACCCTCAAATTCATCGCGTCATCCCACGGCAAGGCATCTCCAGAGCTATGCGTGACGTTGATGGCGATCCGACGTTGCAGCCCCTGGTGAAGCTGGAAAGTGCCACCATCCATCTCACTTGTTTGTGCGACCTCAACAGGAGTATACTCGCCTTCTTCGTTGAGTTCCAGGATTTGTATCCTGGCAAGCATGTCGTGCTTCTCCTCGGTGAAGAACTGAGATTCCGCTATCCGCGCGTTTTTGCCTTTTCCGCGAGACAGTGGCACGGCGTCTCTCATATCGTCCCAGCTCAAGAGCTTGTCTAGATGCATGGCAGAAACTTTGGCGAAAATGGCCGCCCTCAGAGTGACCGTCTGGGGGCTGAAGAGAGGAACACTCATGCTGTGCACACTCTCGAATCGGATCGGTCCCTCGTCGAAGTCCTTGATCATTTGGGTAGTCGTAATACCGTCTTCCTCAGAGACTCCCGGAATGAAGAGTTGCGCATGGACTTCAGTGCCCTCTCTCTCGGCGAAACCGACCATCTCGTGCATAACGACATTGAACTTGAGAGTGTTGGAAGGAGCTCTGGCGTGAGATGGCTCCAAAGAGAGCTTGATCATGCCGATGGCGTGAGACGTGTGTGGAGAAAGAACGTCGAGGGCAAAATCCTGCACTCTGCTTTGGAACACTGCCTTCAGGGGTACATCGACTTCCCCAACAAGAGTGTACTGCGGCATACAAGTCTCAACGAATGGATTGTCAAGACTGAGATGTTGGGCGTACTCAGGTTGGTCGAGGTACTGGTGCATTTGCCTCATCTGACGGACTCGGTCATGAAGCTTCTCCAAACTCCAAAGATGCACAACGCTGTTCTTGTAGTCAATGACGCGCACACCGATGCAGGGCTTCTGAGCTTCGTCAAGAGCGATGTCGTCGCCTTCGCCAGTCAGTCCGTTCAAGACCATGTCATACGAGGAGCACAGCGAATGACCGACGTCGATGACGGTGAACTGGAACACCACACCTTCATCCAGCTCATTGCTCATGATTTGTGCCTCCTTCAGCGCTGACGCATGTGAGAGCACTGCTTCGGCCATGCGCACATAGCGCCTTGTCCGCCAGTGCTTCACGACTTGCCGGGCTGTCTCGATCTCTTCTTCTGACAACTTGGGGTTCGCCTTTGGCCTCTTAAGCGGGTCCATCTTCTCGAGTTTCTCCTCAAACTGTTGCCTTTGGACAGCGAGCTGCTTTTGCATGTCCTCCTTGATCGTTTTCAGAGTCTCTTCCATGCGAACCTTCTCCTTCTTGATCTCCTCGACTTCAACATTGGCGGCCTCGGCAGTCTTGAGCTGTTCTTGATATTCTTCCTTTTGCCGGTCGAGCTGAGATTGCATCTCTTCTCGCACCTCTCTCATCTTGTCGTCGACTTCACCAGGCTTCGGAGTAGATGGCATTGTCAGAGCGGTGTCCAAAGAAAAGTTGTCAATGGTGCCAGTCGACATATACTTTTCTCGGATCGGGTAAGACGTAACCGATTCGGTGTCCTCGTCCCCATCGCGACCATTGACACGCTCGGCACGTGCTCGTTGAATGCCTTCGAATAGAGCGTTGAGCTCGTCGTCTGTGAGGCTGGCCAGGTTCTGGTTCGTACCGAGGATTGCTTCGGCTGCCTCACGACGCGCAAAGCTCCAATCATTGTCGCGGCCAGTGCGAAATGGGATTGGAGAGTCCGGTCGACTATCCCCAAAATCCGACCCGGCCTTGCTCCAGTTGCGCTCGTGACCCGGCCGAGGGCTTGCTGTAGGCGTAGACACCTTGCTATCAAGACTTTGCAACTGGCTGGCAGTGACCGACTGGCGCAGAAGGCTCTTATCGGCTCGCTCCTTCTGTGCTTCCATCGGGTGATTGAAACGGAAGATATGGAAGTCACCAAGGATGACACGGTAACCGGAATGCAACTGCTTAGGTTCTTCAATCCGTTTACCGTTCACCATGACAGACGCTCCTTCTCTGGGGATGATCATAACGGTGCCGTCTGGCTGGTTTTCGAAAGCACAGTGATCGTGAAGAATGCGCGTCCCGTTAAGACGAATATTAGCTTGGTTTTCCGCATTGGTGTCCATGTTTCCGACCGTCGTCATACCCGGCTTGAGGTTGTAAACCAGACATTCGGCAAGCAATGGGTCGTCTGAAAGGTTGACCAGATGAGGCATCTTCTTCGGCGTTGAAAGTCCAATAAACCCCTTCTCGATACTGATACCAAGTTCTTCAAGAGCAGCCTCGCGCTCTTTGTGAATCTCTTCGGTCTTGGCCAACTTTTGCTCCCAGGTCTGGTTAAGATCCGTCAGGAGCTTCTCGCTTTGGTTGAGCTGCTCGGCAATCTCGGCCTTGGAGACCTTCTTGACGGCTCCGTCGCTTGAAGTGATAGAGACGAACTGTTTTTCTAGCGGCGTGCCTTCAGGGTAAACTTCTTCGGCTGTGATAGTACCACCTGCGCCGGCTACTCCAGCCGCACCTCCCGCACTACCACCACCGCCTAGTTGACCTCTTAAAAGAGCAAGTTCCTCCTTGAGTTCTCTGATCATGCGCGCGTTCGCATCTTCGTTGACGACCGCGTGGTTCTTGATCCTCTTGGCGGAGTCGGCGTATCGGAGAGTACTGAGAGTTTCGTCGTAATTGATGTCTGCTGGACTGATGGCTGCAATCATAGCCGTCATACTGTTTCCACCTAATGAATCCTTGAGAAGCCACGTGAGGACACTGTCTCTGTAAGGAACTTGCCCACCGGCACCTTTCTTCTTCTTTCCCGTCGAAATATCTGCGAGAGCAGAGATGACACGACCCAGAGAGGACAGCGACCTGTTGATCTCTGCGCCTTCCTTTAATCGAGCACCAGTCGCACCTGTTGATGTGGCTCTTTCTGAACCGGCCAAATCGACCAGACTGATCTTGGCAACTTTTTCCATTTCCATCTTGGTGTCGGGGTCAAACTTCTTCTGGGTGAGCATCAAGGTGAACACAGCGTGACTTCGACTGGACGTCTCGTTCATGTTGGTCGCCGCAACTGTTCTGGCCTTGTTTCCTTCATCCATCAAGTGTTCGATTTCCTGGAAGCTGCCGACAACCAGCTTGGCCAGATCTTCGACGTACGGACCGGTAGAGGGATGCTCGCGGACCTTGAGGTTGCCCTTGGTTGATGGGTTGAGCAAGTCCCTCACACGTTCGTTGTAGATTTCGAGGTACGATACTTCGACGGTACACCGCAAGTGCTTATCTTCCTGCAATGCCGAGATTCTCCTAAACATGTCTTGGCAAATGTTCGGAATGATACCAACTTCCTTGCCGTATCCCATCATGGAGTAGGACTTTCCGGAACCTGTCTGGCCGTAGGCGAAAATACAGTTGTTGTAACCCTCGAAGGCATTGTCCAGAAGGGGCTGACCGAGATCATCGAAGAGGTTGTCTTGACCAGCGTAGTGGTTGTCTTTGCGATCGAATGACCAGTAGGACCTATCGAAGGCGAAGACCTTTTGACCCGAATCCTTCTGGCCTTTCTGTTGAGCATCGGCTGGCGGGGTCAGAACCGTCTGGTTCTCTTTCATTTCGATGATACATTTCGAACCCCGGTCGATCTCTGTGTCGCGTCAGTTGGTGTTCCGTCAATTTCCTGTATCAACTGCCCCTCGTGTCGCAGCGGATCTATCGTACCTCGACTGTTGAACGGTCTGACTCTCACCACCACCTTAATATTTCCACCACCGGCTGGAGGCATCTTTGCGACTGTTTTGGGGGCACCTGCCGCCCGACTTCACGGCAGGCCGTGCCGGTTGTGCGGATGGCAGGTTGTCTGCAGCTACCACTGCTGGGAATGTCCTAGCCGAAGCGGTACACCGTCTTTGCGACTGGACGGCAGCGAGGCTCGATTTTTTCAAGTATCGTCTCCGTGCGATATCGGAAAGGCCTTTCAATTGTATACCGGTATCATTCTCCAGGTGTCGGAGGGGGTGAAGGGCTGTCTTGGTGGACAACCGCGGATCGCCAGGCGGGATTCTGTTGATTTCGAAGGCCAAGTATTCCCGCTGGAATGACGCAGGCAGCGGCCCCGCAAACAAAGTGGTTGCTCTCGCGGACGAACACCGCTGTCCCGGTCGTTTCTCGAGCTTCTTCGTATGCGAATTCGAAATCGTTTCGGCGTCGTAGGATCGTGGTCGCGTAACACAAAAGGGATTTGTCCTTGAGTAGAATGCGAAATTACGGTACGGAGTACTTCGGTGTCAACAAAATCTCGGGAGGAGGACGCGGTCGGTCGCGCACCGCATGACGGCCCTCTGCAGGGAAAGTGCGTTGTTTGATTGGGTCGGAAATTAGCTTCGCTCAGGGTCATTTCACGTGCCAACATCCAATGTGCTCAGCGGGGTGATTGTTGTTGTTTCTGATTGGCTTATATTCGATGTGACTAAGCAAGACGAACCATTCAGCACAAACAATATCTTTACAGCCGTTAATCATCGCTACCTCAAATCTCAACGTCTTCCATCTCGCAACAACGTCGACATCGACATCAACTACACGTTCTCAATATTTATTTGACACATCTGCGGTTGTATCTCCCGAGGGCGGCAGACTAGCATCAACGGCCATGGCCAATGTCGCTCCCAACGACTTTAAGGTTACTGCAAGATCCTACGCTTGAAACCGCCTCAAGAACGCAAGTGCCTCGAGCGTCGAATCAACGTTTGCGTTTGGATCTCGTTTTCGCAAGCTATCAACAACTTCAAGATAAACGTGTTGTTGCCATGGCAGACGCATTCCTACGCCTCCAACGTTATTCAGTTTCGCCCTGCTTTTCAGCTGCGGTGTCCTCTTCTGGCGAAGTTCATCTCAACCTTAGCAACCCATCTTGGTCCATCCCTGTCAAGTCGCGATCAGGACGCGTGCAGCCGTTCAACCCTTTTTCGGTACGCTCGAGCGGAAGCCCGCAGCGGGAATCTTGGAGTGCATGTGCGGATCCCACGAGGTCTTTTGCCAGCCTTGTCTACCCGACTGCCGTTGACCAACACTGGGATCATTTTCCGCCGGACGGCCGTCTTTGGTTCTTGGAAAAGCCAATGATGGGGTTGCAAGGCGTCATCATACAGCCTGGCATACATGATACGAGGTGTTGATGTTGGATAGCATCCAACCCAGATGCGGGCCATGGCTCGAAGCTTTTCCCATGTACCGTTCGCCGCCGGTAATAAAATGCGCCGGTCGTTCGCACGCTGAGCAATTCTCACGAGGAGAATGAGCTCTCGCTGGCATAAGGAAGCCAAAGCCGCTCGCTTTTTCAGCTATTCCTAGGTCAAGTATTGCGCTCGCAACGACTCTTATGGGGTTCAAGGTCTCCATCGATCTCGACGACGCTATTAAGCTGGGAACCAGAACGAAAACGAAAAAGGAAATCAAGATAAATGACGGAGAAATCCTGGTTGCTAGAGCCAGCCGGAGATCTGGGGGATCGGAGCACGAGCACCTCATCACCTATGAGCCAGTAGGGACGACGGGACCTGAACGATAGCTCCACCAAGCCACACCTGCTTTCCAAACAGCCACAAGGCCGTCGTCGATTACTAAGACGAGCTCTCGGGAGACAACGTCGAGAGGTTGGAGTTAAAAGCCAACAACATGCACAATTTGGCATAACGTCGACACTCGTCATCGTTGGGAATTGTACGAAGTGATTCCCAAGTTAGGCAGGACGAGGACGCTGAGACTGCCCCTTGAGCGAAGTCGTCTTCGTTTTATCTGCGACAACGAAAGGGCACGTCTCGTGGGTCGTTCCCCCTTCCCCCGGGTCGCAAAACAAAGCTCCGAAGATAACCTTCTCGACAAGTCTTTTTTCTTCAAAGTGCCGCCGCCCCGATACGATGCCTGCACTTGCAGATTCAGCAACAGTTCCCCGGTGTGCCCCGAAGGAGCTATCCAGCCACCAAGGACCCCCGGCCAGCCCCCAAACCGCAAGGATCTACAAAACGACCATCGGACGCTCAGCCTTGGCTTTGGATGTCTTCGACGATGGGGCGTCGACCTCTGTGTGAATGCCCTCCTCCTCCACCGGTCTGCAACAGATTATATCTACGCGAGCGCACGCAACAAACCAGCCCCTTCCCCACCATCCTTCTACAAGCCTTTCTAGAACATCCCTTCCTCCTCGTGTCGTGGTTCGCCTCTGTCTCAGAAGGATGCGCTGAACCACCACGGCGGATGGAACGTCCGGATGGCAATGGCATCTGGTTCTACACCTCCTGTCCGCCTCGAAATTCCATTCCATCTCATCAGTCGGGCACGGCACCCGAGCGTGTTCTTACACGAAGAGTCCCGTCCATGAGAAACGGCCCCAGTGTTCCAGAGCAAGCTTGTCGACAGCAATGCCCCACAAGCACAAGAAATCCGTCCTTTCTCGACCCTCGAATGCCACGGATTTCCCACCCCGCCTCGGCCGCAACGGCCCCCATCACCTCTGTCACCCTGCAGCGCAGCGCGGCGGAACCCCGTCACCTTTTCTCAAACAAGCTCCCAGCTTAAGGTAACGGGGGCCCGGCGGCTTGACAGCTGCTTAAACAGCCCGTCCCCTAAAAACCCCGACCCTTCTCCTCCGTCTTAGCGGCGCCCTTTCGTCAGAACGTGCGCGTACGGACCACATCCAACACTGAACAAGAAACGAGGCGAAAGCGGCGAGCAAACCGACCTGCCCAAAGTGCCCAACACTAGCGTTTCGCTGGGAGGGAAGTGGACTCGTTCTAGACATCCCCCCTCTCTCAAACAAAACCACGCTTCTCGGCGAAATTTTCCTCGTCACCGAAGAACAGTGATCGTCGTCCTAAACCCCGGCCGATAAGATGCAAGTAAGCAGCAAGGGTATCGTGCTCCGTTTATTTTCACACAGCAACGACAGGGGTCCCGACGTCCTCAAACACACTCAACGTCCGGTTGACCCGTGCCGGATCCGGGCACGACGCCGCTCCATCTTCACCCACGTTTTCCCTCGTCTACGCCCTCCTGTCACCCGGGAGGTGCGAAAGAAAAGAAAAGCAAAGCGAGGGGGAAAAAAGAAAAAACCCGAGCCAGTGAACCATTCCCCCGTTCCTGCAGAAGCAGTCCGTCGCAAGCACGCATTAGCGTATTGAACCAGCAGCTCCCACGTTGCCCGCCAGAAAATGACGTCCGCTCTGCCGTCATATCACGCCAAAAAAGAACACTAACACATAACCTTGAATCACCATACCACCACCCAAGGTGCCATTGCATCGAGAACGATTTGACGTAAAGTAGCAGGAACCACATCTAGCACAACACGATCCAATAATGCTCTGCAGTATAGGTGATATAGGTTGAAGCTTACGATTATGATCGCCTTCGACAATTACCCCACACGGCGAGCCATGCTTCCATCCATCCATCCATCCATCCATCCATCCATCCATCCCTCCCTCCCTCCCGTCCGTCCCTACCAGCAGAAAACTCTCGCGGTAGCTGCGCGTTCATTCTGAACCCAAAATAACGCGTGCTTCCAGCGACGTTCTCGACTCGCGGCAGCGTGGTATCTAGTCTGCCGATCGCCGTCACTTGCGACTCGACAGGTTATCGCTATCTCGACCTCTCTCCCGCACCATCCTTGGCGAGATTTCAAGTATATTTTTTGCAACGGTGAAGATCAACCGCGCCCGTTGTCAATCTGAACCCAACCATTGAGTTTTGTGTAACTAAACAAAGAAACCGTCCCTGGAAACTAACACCGCAGCCTTCAAGCTTGTTTAGTCGCATGCTATTAGTTAGTTCCCTACCTCTACCGCGCGAACACTAAAGCCGGGTGTGTTCAGTAGCAGTAGACGGAGGGCTAAAACCGCAGATCATCGGCCGACGCCGTCCCGTGTCGCGTGGCGATGGGCCACCACCACGCCGGCGGGCGCCAGACCAACCACTCGGATCTGCGGCCGCCATCGAGACCCCAAAAACAGCAGCAGCAGCAGAGAAGAGAAAGAGGAGCCCATGCGGCCATCAATCCGCGCGCATGAACTCGTCCCGTCCCCCTCTTTTTGACGTGTTTCCGACGTGAACCGAGTTCGGAATATTATCATGGTCGTGTATGATGCTCAACAGGGGTCATGGCATTGGTGTGGAAGTACTACTGTTGATGATGGTGACGGAAGAAACAAAAAAGGTCGAAAAGATTGTCGCGCTGTCAAGAGCCTCGGAAAATGCGTCACTTTTGCGTAATGGTCTAAACTGTGTTATTCTTGATTCTAGCTTTTGCAGGGTCTCATCGTCTAGTGATTTATCCAGTGTGGTGGTGACTAAGTAGGTTTCTGTGTGCATGCTTGCTTTTTTGCCTTTGCTTTTCGCGCGAGTGGCGGCGTGCAAGTCATGCTTAACGTTGTTCTTCAGAGGAAGAAGTAAGAAACATTCCGATTGCCCGGATCGGTGCATCGTGCCTGTCGATCGCCAAGTTAGGCCACGCAACCTTCACGCAAATATCATCATGTCACGAGAGAGGATCAATTGAGTTGGTATCATGAAGTGCTTTTGATTTTGACTCTTTCCTCCTAGCGAGAGAGTGCTTTCTGTTTGGTAATACATGGCAGCCATTGACTTTGCAAGGCTGGGGGTGACTGAATGTAGATATATGGTATTGTGACAAGAAAAGAAAGAAGACGAGGCTCCGAGGCCGTGCCCGCCCGTACTGATGCCGAGACTGTTTTGATTTCCCCAAATACAGTAAATGTAAAAATATGAAAAACGCCTCCGGCACCTGTGATGATGATGATGATGATGATGAATGGTAGATGAAGATACGACAATGAGATGAAAGGAAGGTGGTGGGGGCCGATGATTGGTTTATGAAACAAGAATATATATGTAGAAGAGGGAGCGTCGCGGACGGGTATCAAGTTGGAGTAACAATCAAAGTCGCTTCTCGGAAAGGAAGGTAAGAGGGTCAGCCGTGAAGTCGTTTGAGACGTTAGGGAGCGTGAGCGTCAGTCAAAGTGAACGCTGGTTTCATACAGAGGAAACAAAATGAAGATTGGATGAAGTTGTAAGGGAAAACAAGATGGAATGGAATCGGAGCTGTCGTGGTTGGCTCTTAGCCTCGGAAGACGGCATTGGTGAGGAGAATGGGTTCATCGACGGCCGGGCTATCCTTGATTGTAGGCGACGACGATGCTTGGGTAGATGGGACGGGACTCTTGGCCCCCGAGGAAGACGATCCACTTAGGGCCTCATGGCTGCGAGCTCGATAGATTTCTCGGCGTTCGTCGTCGGACAGGTTTCCGGAAGTCTCGGTCTGGACCGCGACGGCGCTCATCTTTGTGATTTCATTCTCCACGTCGGCGAACAGTGCATAGACGTCGCTGTCAGCGTAAATGCGGATGCTCTCCACGTTGGCACGACGCTGGCTGAAGGTCGAGGCGCGTCCGTCGGCGGATTCCTCGACTACGGGCTGCTCCACGATGGTGCTGGGCACCTGGGCAACGACGCGTTGAGGTGAAGAAGAAGGAGAGCTGCTCGTGTGCGAAGAGAATCCGTTCTTGGTGGGGCTTCGGGGAGGGGTGGAGATGTTGCCAACACCCACTTGTGGAGTCGTCCGGACACCCATGGCGAGCTGCAATGACTCGCTCGCCGTCGACGTCGCCGGAGTAGGGAGGGTAGCTGCAGCAGCAACGTGTTCCAGAAGCTTTTGGCGTACCCGCGTACGGCGGTTCTCGGCCTGTTCAAGCTTGTTGACCCAGTCGTCGATCGACGTGTCGAGCTCCGCAAGAGCTTCCTCTTGCTTGAGCATTGAATCGGTGCTGAACTTGGCCATGCGAGGAGAGCGCAGGTACTGGCAGATACGGGAGTGCAAGTTGCGGCGGCCGGCACGTAGCGAGTTGTACGTACGGCGAAGGTACTCGGTGCGCTCGTCGAGCTGACGAAGCTCCTGTGTTGAGGTCAGCAAATGTCAACCTCCTGAAGAAAAAAATGTGCACTCACTCTTGAGAGCAACTCAACGTCCTCCTTCTTGAGGACCTCAAACCTGGACGCCTGACCAAAAGCTTGCATCTGGAGAGCCGCCAGCTCCTCTTGGTCAATGTGCTTAGGTGCCTCGCTGGCCTTCCAGCCCGTCGGCAGCTCCTCGAAAGCCTTTCGCTCGGCACTCTTGTTGCGGGTCGAGCAGCTCCGCTTCAGCAGTGGACCGTTGTTGTTGCGTACGTCGCTGCGCTTCCTCGGTCTTCCCCGATCCATAATGCTACCAGACTCCGATTGACCTCTCCTGTGTCCGTGGAGATACGGTTTCGGTGCGGCGTCAACCTCTGGTGATGAAGTCTCCCTCGATGGGTTAGGTGTCGTCGCAGTCGGGGTGCTGTGTTCCCACGGCCTAGGCGAGGATCTGTTCTCCATGATGGGGGCGGACACGGGAGTGGTGGCGGATTGAAAGCTGGGGCAAGCAGACAACGGCGTGGTAAGAGCGGTCGAGGAGGTCATGGGCGTGAATGGGGTTCGGGCTTGCGATCTGGGTGAGTCGTCGACTCGAGCGGAGAGCTGACCACAGTCGTAACCGCTGCTTCCAGAACGCATGCGGGTATGAGAAGTCTGTTTAGCTAATCGAGGAACGTTTCCAATGTGAGTGGGAATGACGAGAGGAGCTAGTTGCTTCGGTGAGATGGGCTGGCGAGGAGTCTGGTTCTCCGATGCGGAACGTTGGTGTCGGTCTGGTGAGCGGGCGGGCGTGGTAGTACCGGCGTTGTCGACCTCGTGTGTAGCTATAGACGAAACTGAACCATTCGATCTGTGGTGCTTGACATGGTGGCCAGGAGCGCTAATTGACCTCTCGTGAAGAGGTGGCCTTCCCGGAATCGTAGCTGGGACATGATCAGTCAATGGATCGGTGCCGGAGAGGTTGTGCACTTACGCGAGTCCATAGGAACTTCTTGTACAGTCGTCATGGGTCCTAACTCGGGAATGCTGACTTTCCGCCGCCTGATGAGGTTGTGCTCCTTGATGCGCAGACGCAGCGAGCCACTGGTGCTGCAGGGCTTTTCTGATTTCTCGTTCTGTCCCATGGCGAGGGCGAAGGCTTGCTCAGGATCTAAACTCTTTCCCGCGGGACGTTGTTGGCGATCCTTTGGGAAAAGCTGGTACTTTCGAGTCTCTGGATGGTGCATCCTCCAGACGAAGGGCTTGTGTTCTGATGGTGGTTGTGTCTGTGGTTAACCAAGCCGAGTGGTTAGCTTGTAGGTAAAGCAATGGTGGTGAGGTTGTGTATTGGATGGTTGTAGTAGGTGGTGACGAGGTAAAAGAGTGATGGCCATACCGGTTCGTTGGGAGGGAGTGGAGAGGGCGGCTTCGCTATATACGAAGAGCTCCTGGAGTTGTCGACATCGAGCATACAGCTTGCGATGTGAGCCATTGGGAAGAGGGATTAGGATGCGGCTGCAGGGTTCGGGGAAGTGAGAGATAGATGAAAATGACAAGCTGGTACAGGTCAGGAGAAGATCTGGTACAGCTATAGCCAAGGACAGGCAGGCTATAGGTCCGGTCCCACGCTATTAGTTGAACGGTGACACGCTGACTGATGAAGAAGTCGAGCAGTGAGGCTATATATGTCTATGCAGTGGAGAGGAACCAGAATGGAGAAAGACTGGAGAAGAGGAAAAAAGCTCGACTTGCAATGGACATGGACATGGGCCCCCTCGGCTGCTTCGATGCAGGCTGGTCTGTTTTTTTTCTGACAGGGAGCCTTGACTCTCTCACGGGGAGGCGATGGGCCCTGGGCGAGGATGCAGCAAGGGAAGGGGAAGAGAAGGGGCAGGCCCAGGGACTGAGATGACCGGGGGGTGTGGGGGACGGCTCGAGTTGGGGCGAACGGGGGAGAGAAACAAGAGAAGTGACGACTTGGGTTTGAATAAGCTAAGGTATCCGTACTCTTCCTAGCTTAGTTTCCAAAGGTGAAGGTTGTCTGTCGGTTTCTTGCCGGGACGAGGAAGGATGTCCAAGGTAGAGAGGAGACAGGACGGAAGAGGATGAGATAGGAGATGTGTGTGCATGTATCGGGCAGCCGGGGATGTCCCTTGCGACGGGAGGCAGTAGCAGAAGCAGAAGTAGAAGCAGCAACAGGAAGCAGCAACATCGATTCTCTGGTTGAGTTGCAGATATCACCTCCAGGTTAATACCTTAGTTCCCAATGTTGAAAGGGAGCTAAGGTAAGGTGGGTGGACTTGACTGGTTGTCTCCTCTGCGGTTGCAGCAGCGTCCTAGTGCAGCATGGCTGCTACTGCAGAACCAAGGGTCATGACAACGACAATGACATGCTCTTGCGGATACCTTAAGCTGCGCAATAAGGTAATATCTACAGGAGTCTGTACGGATAGGAGGTGGAGATTGAAGCTACGAGATTGAGGTCCTCGTCCTCGTCCTCGCTCTTCGTCCGAGTCGACCTCCACAAGCCTCAAGGCAGTGCTTCCAGCATGCTTCGTTTGGGCTTCTGGATGACAGCGAGGACCGAAATTGCATCTCGATAGGCGGCCAAGCTGGGCGAAACACGAGGCCGGCCGTGTCCGACTGCCGGAGAAAGAATCAGAATCGGGGATAGGGCAAAGGGTGGGATACTGTAAGGAGACAAGGGCCACGCGTGGAAAGGAAGAAGAGGAAGTGAAAGTGGGTGTGAAGGCAGACAACTCGAGACTTGCGGCGGCGCACACTATACACTAGCAAGAACCTAAAGAGATGGAAGGTGGTGTAGGGTATCCGTTCTTTGCAGCAGCCAGGTGCTGTCGAAGTGTGTGGCTTGTTCAGAATGCGGATGAAGGTATGCAATTGAGGAAAGATGTGCAAGTGTGCATGCATATTCTGCGTTGCTCTGCATGGGAAGGAGGCCAAGTTGAAACGGCTCGAGCGCAACTGAGCCAGCAGCTCAAAAAATGGTCAGGGATCCAGCATGTCTCGAGTGTCAGGACGTGGAAGCAGGTGGCAGGGGGGGTCATCACGGCTGGACCCTAGAACGAGCCCCATAAATTGGGACACTGGACCGGGGTCCCGCTCGTGAAAGGTGGGTCGTTTCCAATCTTTGGGAGAACTGCTCGGTACGTATCTTTTGCAGGGGCCTCTCTGTCCCACGGAAAAAGATACTTCTCTGATACGCTTACTAGCCAGCAAAATGAAGTACCTAAAGAACCACCCACCGGTGCACATGGCAAACCTCAACCCCCCTCCCCTACCTTGCCATTCTCCGAGCAACCGATGGCAGCAATGCTTGTCGATATCGCCATCCTGATAACCTTTTTTTCTAGCAACACGGGTGGTAAGTGAAGGGTCTCTGCCACATCAAAAGCTGCAGTTAGAGAACGTGGTGGTCTAGCCAGAGTCAGGAATGGTAGCCACTGCGGTGGGTTGAAGCCACTCTTTGCCACAGGAGGGAAACGTGCTCGACGACGGCAACGTTAGATGTAACCCGATGCTTCTATCAATAATCGACATGAGGAGCAAGCGAGTTCCAACTGTCTTCTGGGTGTCCAACAGTTGCCGGAATAAGCCACACACAGACATTGATACTCGCCGCCTTCGACACTTGCCTCCGCGGCCCGAAGACAACAATGAGGGGTTTGCCTTGTGCTCTTGCCCTCAGTCATGCGGACTAAGAGCACTTCTCCTTAAGCTATCATTATTCTCCGAAGACTAGCGGGTAAATGATGTAAATGTCAAGGAAGTCGAGTGCAGCTTCTCTTACACTCAGGGAGGGCACTTGGACTTGCTTGGTTGGCAAAACGGCTGGACCGCTCCGTACGTGACAGCTGAAAAATGAACCGGCATGAGTTTCCCAAGACAGAAAGTGCGGCCCGACGACTTCAACTCGACTCGTGCTTGCCTCTTTTTCGCAACTAGGTAGATGCCTCACTCGCTCACTCGGAAGGCACCAAAAAAGACGACGCACCTTCCATTTACCCATCCAAAGCGCAAGTTGCAAGTGAGGGGTCGAGTGTCGTCGTTTTCATTCATCTTCAATCCCTGCACTTCCAGGTTGACATCCTCCATCCTCCATCCTCGCCCCCTCTCTTTGCTTTGCGCAATTGGCCGCACCAACTTCAACACGAAATACAAGAAACGCACTAAACAACTACTCGGGGTCCTGCGCCTTGCTTGTTTCTACCAGAAATGGCTTCAATGCGCTAGCATTCAGCCCTCCTGACTCCGATACCTGGACTCTCTCCACTCGTCCTCCACCCGCCATGTGGTTGCCAGCCGATCATCACCATCACGAGCCGTCGTTCTAGGTAGCAGCATTCACCTGCATCAAGCATCCACCTAACCTCACTGCACCCATCACGCCTGCTCGAGACCATTCCCTTCTCTGCCGCCGAGGGTTCCCTCACCACTCGACATGCCAACAACGCGGGCGCAACTCCAAAACCAAAACGACCTACTGATTCTCCTTCGACTCTGGTACAACGGTGTGGCATCTTCGCGTCGAACTCGGGCAGGGCATGGCGATCAATGCAATACAGGAGAAGACGAGGGCTCGGATGGGAAACTGCGACTTCAGTGCGCTCGTACGACTCTACCAAGTGCACCATCGTCTTCATGCGTTCCCTTCCTCCCGCCAGTCCTGTGGAGAAGTGGAATTTGGCGATTCATTCATTCTTCTCTTTGCAACCCGTCTGTTCCGTCTCTTGCAGCTCACGGGCCTTCTTCGCCATGTGCGTGTAATCAAGGCTATTCAGATGTCGACGGCCTGGCCTATCAGAATGCTGCGCAATGAGCTCCTCCGGCCAGCCAGCTTCATGTCACCTTATCACAGCCCTCACTCAGTCCCGGCACCACCAGCTTTCTTTGGTTCGCACGTCCCTTCACCTGCAGTAGGCCGACCGAGCCCGAAGATCAGCAACGCCGTATTCCGTTGACCCCGCGAGCCGAGAGAACGCCATCGTCTCAAGCAGTACATCCACAGCGTCACCTTGATATACCCGTTGCGGGGTGCCATCTGATAGACGATAGCTTCTGAGTCGCCCTTCAGCCAGCGAGGTTGTATGGCCTCGTCGCTGTTTCTCTGCTCAGCCAAATACGTGCAACGATACACAGCCCGAGCGTATCCTTAATATGATCCTGCTCCTGTCGCGGGCGCTTCACGTTGTCTTTCTCTGTGGCATCGCAAACCCCGCAATGTCGTCTTCGGAAGTGGGGTAATCTCGAGTTGGATTCAACATGACCCCGCGGGTTACAATCTCAGCACCAAAAGGACCAAAAGGACATCACTGCGTCGGGTCGTCAGCTCACTACGGCGCTTCCGGATCCTGCTATGGCCTAGACGTTGCCATATTGTTGCTGGCTGGCATCGTCCAATGGCACCTTCACGAGTCGGATGCGCGCGGCGAGCACCGTGCAGCTTGTTACAGCATTGAAGGAAGACGGCGTCAGTTAAAGAGTTCGCATGAAATTTCGGGCCTAATTGGCTACTTCGCCGCGGGCCTGGTGATCAACCTGGGCCGTCTCGGCGCCCCAGCTCTCGTTAATGGAGGGAAACGCTTCCGCTCTCATGGGAAGGGAACTGCCTCGTAACGCCATGATCCGGAGAATTTACGGGATTTGTTGAACTCTCTCGGCTCGCACAGGCGCCCATGACGGAGGTCCCTCAATGCCTTGCATGAATGATGGTCACAACCAGCGACTCGGATTGGACGACAAGCTGAAAACCAAGAACACCGACCAATACACGACGTAACGAGACCATCGCATTCGAGCATCAACCTACAACTTTCGCCCTGTCTGCAACGAACTGGTGCTACAGCCACTATTCAACCAACGGTCGTCGGAATCTAGCGAGACGGGGTCTACAAGCGGGACGGCGTTGGCGCTCACTAAGACGAAGCTTATCTGTTCCTTCGGGCGTTCGGAAAGCCACCATTCGAGAACTAGACGATGAGCTTGAGCACTCGTGTTGACAGACCAATGGCTGCTACGGTAGTCAAGTCAGCAGAGTTCGGACCAGCAACGGCCTTTCAGCTCTTTCTAAAACGCCTCTTGTCGTTCTAGACTCACTACGTCGGCTTGACCTTAAGCTTTTAGACTT